TCTGGCTGTTGTGGCCATTTAGGGAGTGAACCAGCAGATGGAAGACCTCTCTGCCTCTGCCTCTCTGTAATTTTGCCTTTCAAATAAATAAATAAATATTAAAAAAAAATTTAAGTAATATGTCACATGCATGGTTAGTGTTTTATTCTTTGATGAATGGTTCGAAAACATTACATTAAGTCAGGCTGAAAGGCAAAGTTTAAAATAGACAGTTGTACAGCAAGTTATAACACATGTAATGACTGTTCACTCTATAAAACCTTGATCTCCGAGAGTTTATGGTATACCCAGCTGGCAGTAGTACCAAGTTTTCCAAATGGACAGTCCTCATTTTTCTCTTGTCTGCAGGGCCTTCTTCTCATTAGCTGCTTTCTGCTTCTGTTGCATGATCTCAGAGTCCCTAAAATAAGGTAAAAGTCTGTAAGCTGGTACAGAAAAACTCATTTTATGTCCTCACTTTTTTTCTACACATAACTATGTAATAATATTATAAAATTCTTGAAAGATGATATAAACATTCATATCTTTCTGTTTTCATGCAAGAAGAAAGAATGGAAAGGCAAAACCTGGAAAAGCTTTGAAGGCAGATCTTACTTTGAATATCATCTCTACTGTTATCAAAACCTTGGGCAAATAACCTGAAGCCCTCTCAATATTGGTACAACCCCTATTGAGGTTGTTCATAGGCACAGCTATGAATACATATTGAAGTATTTGATATTTTTTTACCTTTTTGTTTTTTCTTTTTCATTAACATATTTCTGTATCAGTTTTGTAATATTTGCCATATATATTTTTTGTTTTTCAGTTTATTTATTTATTTGAGAGGTAGTGTTACAGTCAGAGAGAGGAACAGACAAATAGAAAGGTCTTCCATCCACTGGTTCACTCCCCAAATGGCTACAACAGCTAGAGCTGGGCCAATCCAATGCCAGGAGCCAGGAGCTTCCTCTGGGTCTCCCACGCGGGTGTAGGGGCCCAGGCACTTGAGCCATCCTAGGCCATAGTAGAGAGCTAGATCGGAAGAGGAGCAGCCGGGGACTTGAACCAGTGCCCATATGGGATGCCGGCACTGCAGGTGGCGGCTTTACCCGGTATGCTACAGCATCAGCCCCAAAAATAAATCTTAAAAAATTAAATAAATAAAAGGAAAAGATAAACGCTTTCCATTCTCCAAAACCTGGCTTCAGTCACCCGAGAATTCTATCAGCACTGCTCACCTCTGCTTTCTTTGAGAAGTAGTCAAGCTATCTTCTTTTCTTTTTCCCTTGCTAATTTCCTGCGATTTTTTCATGTTTTTTTGGCGGGCAAGTTCGCGTTGATTTCCACCTGCAAAGTCAAACAGTTACACTCTTTTCTCATCTCCAAAAGCATTAATCATTCCATTAAAAAGTTCTTATTTGAACGCATCTGAACTTTGCCTTTTCAGTAGAGGATTGCATTATCCGACAAGGATGCTTAAAAGGTAAGCACGGGAGGGCTTAAGAGTATTATCCTGCCAAGCTAGGTGTCCAGAGCTATAAATGGCAGACCTTTGAGAGCAGGCAATTCAATCCTCTGTCTGAAGGGGCCAGTATTCCAAAATAAGTTCTGGCTTTTGAGGGGTGTGCGTAGAGAAAGGCAAGATTCAGAGAGCACCCCTCGCACAGGTTCAGCTCTTCGCAAGGAATGGTCGTGGAGCAGGAGTCCTCACCGTGCTAACGGGCGCACCCGAGAACTGGCACCTGTTCCGCCCGAGAGGCCGGACCCACGCCCAGCATCCCTCTCCCTCTGCTGCGGGAAGCCGGGGTCCCAGCCCCACCAGCCCCGCCTGCCCACCCCGCCGCGCCCCTGGGTTCGGCTCTCTCGCTGGACGCTTCGCCCACCCGTCCGCACACTCACGGGCCATGCTGATCACCGAACGGAGCCTGGAAGAGAGCGACTGGAAAAATCAACGGCTCCCCGGCACGCTCACACGCTGTCTCCAGCCGCCCACCGGGTGGCTGAGCCCGAGCGGGCCCTCGGCCCGGTGACGCCTCCGCTCGCTCAGCCCCGCCCACCGGCTCCGCCCACCGCCCCGGCGAGGTTCGGGAGCCGCTGCGCGTGCGCGTGCGTGCGGGGCCTCCAGACCAGGGCTGCCCTGTGAGTGGGGTGCGGGCGCCATAGGCGTGTGTATAGACCTGTTTCGCGATAACAAACGACGATGAGCTCCGCGATATCTAACGTTTTGCCAACGAATGTTAGCTTTCATTTATCCCCCGGCAGAGGAAGGAAGGAGACTGCCCTTGCTGGAAATACGTGTAAAACTGCTCTTACGGTTCATTTGACTGATAGCTGCTTTCTTCCCCTTTTCCGTTATTAAAAGATGGTGTAGGGCTCCCTAACGGTGCAGCGGGTAAAGCAGCCTCCTGCGACGGCTGCGGGCGCCGGTTGGAGTCCCGGCTGCTCCACTTCTGATCCAGCTCCCTACTGATGTTCCTGGGAAAGCGGCAGAGGCTGGCCCAGGTGTCTGGGCCCCTGCACCCACATGGGAGACAAGGAAGAAGCTCCTGGCTAGCCAACTAGCCAGCGTATAGATCTCTCTCTCTCTCTCTCTCTCTCTCTCTCTCTGTATCTCTTTCAAATAAAAAGTTTTTAAAAAATTGCCCTGTGGGGGCCCGTGCTGTGGCGTAGTGGGTAAAGCCCCCGCCTGCAGGGCCGGCATCCCATATGGGCACCAGTTTGAGTCCCGGCTGCCCCACTTCTGATCCAGCTCTCTGCTATGGCCTGGGAAAGCAGTGGAAGATGGTCCAAGTCCTTGGGCCCCTGCACCCACGTGGGAGACCCAGAAGAAGCTCCTGGCTCCTGGTTTCAGATCAGCACAGCTCCGGCCATTGCGGCCAATTGGAGAGTGAACCATTGGATGGAAGACCTCTCTCTCTCTCTGCCTCTCCTTCCCTCTGTGTAACTCTGAGTTTCAAATAAATAAATAAATCTTTAAAAAAATTACCCTGTGGGTTTTTTTCTTTCTTTTTTATTTAGAGAGGGAGTGCTCATCCAGTTGTGCACTCCCCAAGTACCCAAAACCCCTGGGGCTGCCTGTTGAACCCAGCCACTCTGACACAGGATGTGGACTTGTTAGGGCAGATGCCTGCTCCTTTTTTAAACCTTTTATTTTGGAAGATTTCAAATGTACACAAAAATATGGAAAGTACTGTAATGTGCTCCCAAGTACATTACAATAGTACCTCAGTCAACTGCCTACCTTAGAGAAGGTGGGAGCAAGTGAGGGAGACGCTCTGGAGCTGGAACGCCAGGGCTGAAAGCCTGGCCCTACCCATGAGCAAGTATGCCAACTTGGGCACATTGAAGCTTCCTCAGCTGTAAAATGAGGAGGTAATCGTGCTTTTCATTAATTGAATTAACATGTGCAGTACAAAGTGCCCATAGTATGATGACATAGAATACACTAGCTATTATTCTTTCAATGGCAGAGAGTCTCCTGCAGTCCCTGTGGTCTGCTCTGCACACCCTCCTCAATGTGTCCACATGAGCAGGGAGAGAGGCTTGACTTTCTGGCACAGCTGCTCAAATCGATAAAGAGATCTGCTACAGAGGAAGGGAAGGGAAGCAATTTGGGGTTTATTGCAAGGGTACTAGAATTATTTTTTTCTTTTTTTTTAAAGATTTATTTATATATTTGAAAGTCAGAGTTACACAGAGAGAGGTCTTCCATATGCTGGTTCACTCCCCAGATGGCCACCAGGGCTGGAGCTGCGCTGATCTGAAGCCAGGAGCTGGGAGCTTCTTCTGAGTCTCCCACGTGGGTTCAGGGGCCCAAGCACTCTGGTTATCCTCCACTGCTTTCCCAGGCAATAGCATAGAGCTGGATGGAAAGAGGAGCAGCCAGCACTTGAACTGGTGCCCATATGGGACCTCAGCACTGCAGGCAGTGGTTTTACTCCTTATGCCACAGCTCGGGCCCCCATTGCCACCTCTTCAAGATTAAGCATTCAAAGTTTCAACTAATTATTTTGGGGCGAGTAATACATTCATATTTTAAAAATACATGAGAGGGCCGGCGCTGTGGCTCACTTGGCTAATCCTCCGCCTGTGGCTCCGGCACCCCAGGTTCTAGTCCTGGTCGGGGCGCCAGATTCTGTCCTGGTTGCTCCTCTTCCAGGCCAGCTCTCTGCTGTGGCCCGGGAAGGCAGTGAAAGATGGCCCAAGTCCTTGGGCCCTGCACCCCATGGGAGACCAGGAGAAACACCTGGCTCCTGGCTTCGGATCAGCGTAGCTCTGGCCGTAGTGGCCATTTGGGTGGTGAACCAACAGAATGAAGACCTTTCTCTCTGTCTCTCTCTCTCTCACTGTCGAAGTCTGCCTGACAAAAAAACCAAACCAAACCAAAACAAAAAAACACGAGAATACTGTGACTGATCTTCCCACAGTTTTCTCATAAGCTCAGGTTCTCTCCTTGAGGTAACCTTTATCAGTTCCTCACACCGGCAAAGTTCATCTGTGTTTTACCCAATTTTGAATTTCTAAACCCTGAGGATACACTGGTCAGCGGGCGCTGCTCTCACACTGTGTAACTGCTTTTCAGGAGCCTCTAACAACAAAATCAGCCAGCGATTTTAAAACTTCTCTTTCAAAAATGATTAAAAATTAATCTTAATGAAGAATGGGATGGGAGAGGGAGTAGGAGATGGGATGGTTTGCGGGTGGGAGGGTGGCTATGGGGGGAAAAACCGCTATAATCCAAAAATTGTACTTTCAAAATTTATATATGTTAAATAAAAGTTTTCTTTAAAAAAATACTTCTCTTTCAGGTTTGAGCTGAGCAGACTGCCTCCTTTTTCTCTTTTCAATAATTCCTAAGGACGCCACCGATAAGGAAGACCACGACTTTGCGTCTCAATTTCCGGTTCACAGGTAACCCAGGCTCGGTAGCTTGATAGTTACCATGACTCCCGGCGCCATGCGCCTGACGCAATCAGCGGCGCCGACTGATGACGCAATGAGTTCCGACGCCCTCTGAAGGTGGGGGAGCAGGGAGGAGGGAGAAACTTAGCTATTAGTGTGGCAGGGTCATGAAGAAGAGGCGGCGGTGGGAGAGAGGAGGCGGCGGCGGGGGCCTGAAACTGCGGTAGCTGCCCGCTGGGCTGGTGGTGCGGCCTTGTGGGGAGGGAAGTCGTTCCTAGCCCCTTCGGGCTGGGGTCGGGGCTCGGGGCTGAGAGCGGCCGTGGGGCCGCCTCCCCGGGCCCCCTGGCTCCGCCATGATCCGCAGGGCACGCCTTAGTGTGAAGCCGAATGTCAGGCCGGGTGGAGGTGCCAGGGGCTCCAGCGCCCCTGTGCCTCAGCGTGGACAGGAGTCTCCCAGGCCGCCGGAGCCTGCAGCGCCCTCTGCCCCGAAGCCAGCGGAGCCCACGGATGTGCCTGCGGTGGATTCTGGGGGAGCGGAGCCCCCAGAAAAGGCTCCCAAGAGCAGGTAAGCGCTTTCGGGAGGGAGTGTTTTCCTGTGCCTCGCCGCCCCGGGTCTCCTACCTGGAATCGGAGCGGCTGAACTTTCTCCGAGGAGCACGAGGCATCCTTTTCCTTTGAGACTGGGTGAAGCCACTGCACACTGCAGTTTATCCCCCGGCCGGTGCGGACCACGTCTGCCAGTGGTGGTAGGAGAGGTGCGGGTGTAACAGTCCTAAGGTGAAGAATATCGCCGTCTGCATTTGAGAATTTCCACTACCGTGCTTTTCGGTTTTGCCGCAGTACTTTGCTGGGAAAATAGTTTAATTTCTTAATATTTGAAGGGAGCCGACCACAGTGTGTTTGGTTCTGCTGACTTATGTCAATGAGGAGGACATGTGGTTGCTTGCTTTGGGTTGAGGGTGTGCCTCTTAAACTATGCTGAGCGTGTTTCCCCAACGCCGAGGCTCGGCCGGAGCCTCTTGTGGCACATTTGGATTCAGGACCGCCTCACTACACGACTTGGGTCGATTTTTCCCAGGCAGGACTTATTCAGCTGTAAAATGAGGATAATATAGCATTTTTCGGAGCGGTGCTGTGTAGATTAGAGGTAACTTGTAAGAATTCAGGGCATAGCAGAATAGTTGCCTATACAAAGTTTTTAAAAAGTGATGGAGCAAAGTAACTGAGACTCGGTCAGACTAAGAGGGTCTCTGTTTCTATGTGATATACTCATATATGAGCAAACCAGCGAACAGGCAGCCTTGTTAAGTGACAGTGGCATTGTACAAATTCTGTTTATGCCAAGAAAGATGAACATTTTCTTTCTGGCACAGCTTCCTCTATTAGCCTGAACTGTTGCCACCATGGGGTGCGATTTTGATATGGGTAGCTCAGTGATGCTTAGTAATTTCCAGGTTTCTTACTTGAATCTGTTACAAAATTTCTACTCAAAAAGGAGATACCAGTATTAATCACTGTTAAATTAATACAATTCTCAGGGTTTGTTAACTGTTTATGACTGTATGATTGATAATTTAATAAGTGACCTTTGAATCTGTCGGTAGGAGACATTTATGTGTGAGGATATTTAATTGTTTTAAAGTTGACTTTTACTGAGTATGCTTTTTAAATCTCATCTTGCCTTTTTTATGGATCTTTGCTAGTTGTAAAAAATCTATAGGGAATGTATTCTGTCCTTATGCATTTAGAATAATTGATGAAAAGCAAATGGTGCATGTATATCATGCTGAGGTAAGAATTGATATTGGAGACTTTCTGGAAAGATTGTACTACAGGTTTTCTATTTTTACCTAAAACTAATTATAAGATGAAAAAAGGGGACTTGTTAGTTCCCTATCTCCTCTTTTTAAAAACATTTTTAAAAAGTTTTAATTGGGCCGGCGCCGTGGCTCAATAGGCTAATCCTCCACCTTGCGGCGCCGGCACACCGGGTTCTAGTCCCGGTTGGGGCGCCGGATTCTGTCCCGGTTGCCCCTCTTCCAGGCCAGCTCTCTGCTATGGCCAGGGAGTGCAGTGGAGGATGGCCCAGGTGCTTGGGCCCTGCACCCCATGGGAGACCAGGAAAAACACATGGATCCTGGCTCCTGCCATCGGATCAGTGCGGTGCGCCGGCTGCAGCGGCGGCCATTGGAGGGTGAACCAACGGCAAAGGAAGACCTTTCTCTCTGTCTCTCTCTCTCTCACTGTCCACTCTGCCTGTCAAAAAAAAAAAAAAAAAAAAGTTTTAATTGACACATTATTGCACATACTTACGGGGTACACTGTGTTATTTCAATACATATACAGTGTAATGATACATAGATTGGGTAATTGATATATCTATTACCTCAAATGTTTATTATCTCTGTGTTAGAAACAATCAAACTCTCTACTTGCTATTTTGACATATACAGTTAATTGTTGTCAGTGATATTTACATCCTGTAGAACTTCAGAAGTTATTTCTCCTATCCAACTACATCCCTGTTCTCTGTTCTTGACTTAATTTTAGACCAGACTTGCAATATTTACATCTAATATGTAATTTGGAGTGATTGAATACTTATTTTGAGTGAAGAGTTTATTCTAATGATGCATAAGTGAACTTATATCTGTTGAAAGATATGTGATTTCTGCTTCAAACAGAATTTGCCTTGGGTCATGTAGCTAAGCGTGCATCTTCAAACACTAATACAACTATTTCAGAGGTTTGAAGCTGTGCATATCGGATCTGAGTGATTTTTTACATTGATACATAAATGGCAGTAATTTAGACTATTTTTGGAAATGTCAATGTGAATTATAAGCTAAATTTTAAAAAGCCAGCTCTGTTATCTAGTAATTCACATTAGGCTAATTAAGCTTTGTTCTGTAACTTTTGTTTTTTATTTTTTGTCTTGAGGTGTTACGCATATAATTATGTGCTCTAATGTACTTGGGGACTTGAAGTTTGAAAAAGATTGACTATCTTTTTTAGAATTACATAGCTGAAAAGAGTTACTAAACAAAATCTTTTATTACAAGTGCTGTCATAGTTATGAGAAATCTCAAGTTATTATTTTAATAATGAGACTTTACCAATTTGGATTTTCACTATGTTGGATTTTAAAACCAGCATATATAAAGGAAGATTCATGTGCCTTTTTTTTTTCCTTTTTCAATTTCAACAGTGATGAAAAGACTGGTGGTGGTAATGGTGTTGAAGAATCCAGTAAATCTCCCTCTACTGTTTCACAGAGAAGAAAGCGAGTGTCAAGTACTTCTAGTCTGGCTAAACCCAGTGTCAGTGTTCCTTCAGAATCTCCTCCCATAGCCACAGCTGTTCAGGATGCTCCACAGCCGAACCCCGTTCCAACGAAAGAGAAACAGCCGTGCTCAGACAGATACCGAATATACAAAGCCCAGAAACTGAGGGAAATGTTGAAAGAAGAGTTGAGAAAAGAGAAGGTAAAGAAGGAGAATTCGAATGTGATGTTGCCTGCTAGACTCCTGCTGTTACTATTTATATGTTAGGCGGTATCATTTCGGGGAAGAGGAAGCATCTTAGCATTTTATGGGGCAATAAAATCAAATCACATTTCTTATGTTAATAAAATGTCTCCTTTTGTTAATAGAATGATGGAGAGACACCCAAATCTTAAGCTCTTTGATAGTAATTTTGACATATTTGTATATTTTTTAAAATTTATTTTTTATTTCAAAGGCGAAAAGAGAGGCAGATAGGGAGAAAGAAAAGTTTCCATTGTTTTACTCCCTAAAAGCCTGCCATCACCAGGGCTGATCAAGGCTGAAGCCAGGAGCCCAAACTCCAGCTGGGTCTCCCATGAGGGTGGCAGGGGCCCAAGTGCTTGAGCAGTCATCTCATTCCTCCTAGAGTGTGCATTAGCAAGAAGCTGAAGTGGAAACAGGAGTCAGGACTCAAATCAGGCATTCTGATTTCGAATGTGGGCATCCCAAGGTGGGACCTAACTGCTGTGCCAAATGCCCACCCCTGATTTATTTTTTGAATATATTTTATGCTTTTTCGTTGTTGTTTGTAAAGGCAGCAAAAGTTTTATGTACATGCATATACACACAAGCATATTCATATTGTCAAGCAGATTTTTTAATGTAAAGATGTCCTAATGATGTGATATATTTATTTGAAGTAAGAGAAACAGTTAAGCGATATGAATTGATAATTTTTTTATAGATTTTGAAAAAATGATCTTATTTATTTGAGGCAGAGTTACAGATGGAGAGAGGGAGAGACAGAGAGAGAGGTCTTCTGTCTCCTGGTTCACTTCCCAAATGGCTACAGGTGCTGGAGCTGGGCTAATCTGAAGCCAGGAGCCAGCAGCTTTTTTTTTTTTTTTTTTTTAAGATTTATTTATTTATTTGAAAGGCAGAATTACAGAGAGGCAGAGGCAGAGAGAGAGAAAAAGACAGGTCTTCCATCTGATGGTTCACCCCAGGTGGCCACAACAGCTGGAGCTGTGCCAATCCAAAGCCCGGAGCCAGGAGCTCCTGCGTCTCCCATGTGGATGCAGAGGCCCAAGCACCTGGGCCATCTTCCAGTGCTTGCTTGCTTTCACTTTTTTTTTTTTTTTTTAAGCTTTATTTATTTGAAAGTCAGAGTTAGAGAAGGAGAGAGGTCTTCCATCTGCTGGTTCACTCCCCAGATGGCTGCAATGGTCGGAGCTGTGCTGGTTTGAGGCCAGGAGCTTCTTCTGGGTCTCCCACGCCAGTGTAGGGGCCCAAGCACTTGGGCCATCTTCTACTGCTTTCCCAGGCCATAAGCAGATTGTTGGATTGGAAAAGGAGCAGCTGAGACTCAAGCCGGTGCCCATACAGGATACCGGCACTGCAGGCGGTGGCCTTACCCACTACGCCACAGTGCCGGCTCCTTCCACTGCTTTCTCAGGTTGTAAGCAGAGATAGATTGGAAGAGGAGCAGCTGAAATGCAAACGAGCACCCATATGAGATGCTGGTGCCACAGGCAGAGGCTTAACCTACTGTGCCACAGTGCCAGCCCCTACAGATTTGTTTGAAAGGTAGAATTAGAGAGATCTGCTGGTTAATTCCCCAAATGGCTTCAATGGTCAGGGCTAGGCCAGGCCAAAGCCAGGAGCCTGAAATTCCATCAGGGTCTCCAGTGGTGGCAAGTACCCCAAGTACTTGGGCTGTATTCTGCTGCTTTCCCAGATGCATTTACAGGGAGCTAGATTGGAAGTGGAGCAGCTGGGACTTGAACCAGGGTACATATGGGATGCCAGCATCACAGGCAGAGGCTTAACCTGCTGAGCCACAGTGCCAGCCCTGGTGGAGTTTTCTAAACTGATATTAAGGAAAATTACAAATGAGAAAAATCTGTGGTAATGCACTTATAGTGGAATTTGTGTTCTTTTCAGTGAGATTTGTTTATTTCCTCCTACTTTAGCTATAGTGAATCCTGCTGGCGCTGGAGTTAGATACTTAATTGAATTTTAGCTTTATTCCCTTACTAGCTGTGTGACTTCGGCCAGTTTAATTTATCTTTCTATGTCTAATTCCTCATCTGTAAAGTAGGACTAATAATATCTGTCTCATTGGTGAAGATTAAATGAGTTAATACATGTGAATCACGTTTAAACTAGCTTATGAAAAATACTATGTGTCTAACAAATGTCATCTCTGTAAATAAATGTTAATTATATATATATATTAATTTTTTATTTTTAATTTTTTTCTTTTTGAGAGGCAGAGAGAAAGGTCTTCCTTTTGCCGTTGGTTCACGCTCCAATGGCCGCTGTGGCCGGCGCGCTGCGGCTGGCGCACTGCGCTGATCCGAAGCCAGGAGCCGGGTGCTTTTCCTGGTCTCCCATGGGTGCAGGGCCCAAGGACTTGGGCCATCCTCCACTGCACTCCCCGGCCACAGCAGAGAGCAGGTCTGGAAGAGGGGCAACCGGGACTAGAACCCAGTGTGCCGGTGCCACAGGCAGAGGATTAGCCTATTGGGCTGCGCCATCAGCTATATGTATATATTTTTTTTAATTAAGAGGAGGGCATTTTGCTTGGTGCTTTGTATCTGTTAGGTAATTCTCTCAGCTGTGAGAGGCAGAGGTCATTGTTAAACAGTGACCTCTGTTAAACATGACCCATGCTCATGTAGGTTTTCTGTTTTATGTCTGAGGGAAGGACATGTGTTCTGGACTGATATCCTCAAACTCTAGGCCTCTAGAAATGTTGTGCCTTACAGAATCTGTTTAATTTGACTTATTTTGGAGAACTGAAAATTAAACATTTGCTTCAAGAATTTTATAAAATTCAGAGTTCCTGTTCACTAGAGGGTAAACAAGCTGTATGAATGTTATTATAAATTTTTAGTAAGCTAATGTTGTTAGAGGGCATTACTAAGCAGGATTTTATACACTGAACATTTATCCAGTCTCAGTCAGTTTAGTTTTTAGGAAATATGCTACAAGTTTCTGATGCTCAGTTTATAAAATTTCCACTAGAATTAGGTTTGTTAGGGGTAAGAGTGATAGTAAATCATTTGTAGTGAATGTAAATGTGAACTGTGTATTGGAATATACTGTGTTTGAAATTCATTAGTATTTCTAACATCAAATTGAATCTGTGTGCATACAGAAACAGTGGAAAAACAAATATGCCCTAAATGAAAGTCAGAGACCACTAGATCGTTCAAAAATGACTATGAGAGACTTCATATATTACCTACCAGATAACAATCCAATGACGTAAGTTAAAATTTATTTCTTTTGTAGATCTTGAGGTTATATAGTGATTTAAGTAGCACATTCAGAGTACAGTTCATGTTTTCTAAAAGCATACTGAAAAAATTTGTAGCACATCTAATATTTCATTAGGGAAAACTTAATAACATTAGGTAACTATTTTCTGGGAATGATAAATGATACTCTTTATCTCTGAGATTAAAAGTAAGTTTCCTTTGTTCTATTAAAAACCAGGTTTAGTAAAAACAACTAGGCCACTTTCCTTTCTCTAATCAAGATTGCAATTTCCATCATATACTATGACCTGATCTAGAGTGGTAGTTTAGTTTTGTGCCCTACCTCATAATTAAATACAGTGGCGATTTGATGAACGAATCCTCCAAGAACAAAGCTTCTTTAATCAGTGTTAGCCTGGGCACAATAGGGGCAGAGCAGCCAGCAAGTTTGCAATGAATCTTTCTGTTTTTTTGTTGATGAGTTAGTAGGTAGAGGTAGGAACAGTGGCATGTTCTTCTGTATAGGCCAGGTCTTTGGCCCAGTTGAAGCCAGAAACCTAGGTTTTGAGTTGTTTGATGTCTAGATGCTGGAGACAAATCAGCTAGGTTGCTTCGTGCCTTGGGACCAGGAACATCCTGTACTTGAGGAGTTAGAGGGTAAGAGCATTTCCTGCCTAAGCTGACAAATTATTTGTACTATTAGACAAATTCTTGACTGAAAAATTGGTTTTGGTTTGTGCCATTATTAGTAAAGTGCTATAGTATATTATACAAAAGGAAGTTAAAATAATTTGTTTTGTGCCTATAGATAGAATTGACAAGATGTAAATTAGTAATTTATTAAAAATATTCTGTTATTTATATTTAATAGTTCTTCATTGGAACAAGAAAGGAAAACTGAAAAATTACTGCCATCAGTCCAAACAAAAGAGTAAGCATCTAATCTTATTTTTTTTCCAATATATTTCTAGTACTGGGACATTTAAAAAAATATTTATTTATTTGAAAGAGCTACAGAGATGGAAGTCTTCCATCTGCTGATTCACTCCCAGGTGAAGCTGCTGGCTCCTTGGCTTCGACCTGGCCTTTGTGGCCATTTGGGGAGTGAACTGGTGAATGGAAGACCTCTTTCTCTCTCTGCCTCTGCTTGGCCCTCTCTGTAACTGACTTTCAAGTAAATCTTTAAAACAAATAATTTCTTATTTATTTTGTTTGAAAACTAGCATGATACAGGGAAAGAGAGGGAAGTCCTTCATCTGCTGGTTCACTCCCCAATCGGCTGCAATGGCTGGGGCTGATGTAGGCTGAAGCCAGGAGTGTTGAGCTCTATCTGGATCTCCCACGTGGGTGGTAGGGGCCCAAGCATTTGGGCCATCCTCTGTTGCCTTCCCAGGTGCAGTAGTGGAGGGCTGGATCAGAAGCAGAGAAGGTAAGACTCAAACTGGTGCTCTGCTATGGGATTACAGCATCGCAGGCAGTACCTTAGCTCACTGTATGATGATACCAGCCCGTGTCATAATTTCAAATTCATAGTGTTCAGGGAACACCTCTCATAGCTATATGAATTAAACCCGTCTTTACTTTGGGTAGGCCAGAGAGTAAGAATACTCCTGATGCTGAAGGTAACGAAGAACTGGAAGAAGAGACAGATGATGGGCCGTTGCTGGTCCCACGAGTGAAAGTGGCAGAAGATGGTTCTATCATTTTGGATGAAGAAAGGTGAGTTGAAAAAGAGAAAGAGGTGTGGATTCGTAAGAATCTTTGTCTAATCAGAAAATTCTGATTTTGTCCGTCATTATCACTTAGACCCTGGTGTTTGTATTTTGTGTAATGAATATTGTAAATAAGAAAGTGGGTTATATTCATTTATAATGTGTAGCATTCTTTATAATGTTGTGTTTTGTGTAAGGTGAAACTGCTGTGTATTAACCTAACCATTGTATTACTAATTTTCTTGGTAATTGAATTGAACTACTGAATAATCATGCCCTGTACTCCACTGGGGAGAAATTTCTTAGGCTGATTCAGTTCTGAGCTCAGTGTCCAAGTTTTCAAATTTACTAAAGTCATATGTGCAATGAAACATACACTTAACATTTTCTGACTTTTCTTTTGGTAAGGTGTGATTCACTTTATGGTTTCTAAGTCATAGCATTACATTTCTCATTTTTGGTATGATGGAATTATTTATTTATTTATTTTTGACAGGCAGAGTTAGAGAGAGAGACAGAGAGAAAAGTCTTCCTTTTCCGTTGGTTCACCCTCCAATGGCCGCTATGGCCAGTGCGCTGCGCCAATCTGAAGCCAGGAGCCAGGTGCTTCCTCCTGGTCTCCCATGGGGGTGCAGGGCCCAAGCACTTGGGCCATCCTCCACTGCCCTCCCGGGCCACAGCAGAGAGCTGGCCTGGAAGAGGAGCAACCAGGACAGAATCCGGTGCCCCAGCTGGGAATAGAACCCAGGGTGCCGGCACCGCAGTTGAAGGATTAGTCAAGTGAGCCATGGTGCCGGCCAGAATTTAGTTATATTTTAAAGTATGGTTTTTTAAGAAGGATTAATTAGTTAAATTAGAGGGATAGAAAGTCTTGACAGTTTATGAAAAATTTTATAGCATTTAGATCCTATGATAGTGCAAATATCATATAAATTCTATGATGATGCAAATATAATATTGGTAATAATGATTGTTTTTGCATAATTTTTCCATTAGTTTATGATGATGATTTTATTGGTTATTAAAGGAGTATTAATTGCTTTGTTTGCTGGGTTGTGAAATGTAAATATAAAATACTTATATTTCTCATTATCCCCATTGTGCCTAGCACAGAACTGTATGTTGAATGTAGGAGGTATAAGTCAATAAAAATATTTTTTTTAGATAGGCCAAAGATATTTTGTGAATTTTGTTATTGTTAAGAATTTTGAAAATACGTGGGTGCATTTGTTTCTGCCTCCTGGGAATCACATTTTAAGTGAAAATTGGCATATGCTTAGAAAATACGCATATTTCAAATGTACAGCGTTTTACTTTTGGAATGACTCCATGGTAAATTCAAAATGAAACTATTTAAATGTCATTTGCCTTTGCCTCTTCACTTCAGTGTGGACTTACATGAAAATTTGTTTGTTTCAGTTTGACTGTAGAAGTTTTAAGGACAAAAGGCCCCTGTGTCGTTGAGGAAAATGACCCTATATTTGAACGTGGTTCTACAACTACATATTCCAGCTTTAGGAAAAACTATTACTCTAAACCATGGTCAAATAAAGGTAAGTAATTTTCATTTGAAATTATGTGTTACTTGTTTAAATGAAATGAATTACTTGTTTCTGAATTAGTTTCCCCTAAGCAAATAAGATGTGAACTACCATGTTGTTTTCTCTCCAACTAATTTTATTTGCATCTCTCTTGTCTGCACCATGAACTGTATCTCTGTTTTATCTTTCCATTTAAAAGATTTTTTTAAAAATTATTTTTATCTTATTCCACCACAGAGAGAGCTCTTTGATCTACTAGTTCACTCTCCATATGCCTGTGACAGCCAGGGTTGGGCCCAGCTGTAGCTAGGAGCCTTCCAAACTCAATAGAGGCCTCCTGTGTGTGGCAGGAACTCAAGTACTTGAGCCATCACCTACTGCTTCCCACCCCACAGCAGGAAGCCGTATTGGAAGCAGAGTAGCTGGAACTCAGACCAGGTACTCTGATACGAGGTGTGGGCATCTTAAGTAACATCTTTTTTTTTTTTTTTTAATTTTTTTTTTCTATCTTTGACAGGCAGAGTGGACAGTGAGAGAGAGAGACAGAGAGAAAGGTCTTCCTTTTGCCGTTGGTTCACCCTCCAATGGCCGCCGCGGCCGGCGTGCTGCAGCTGGTGCATCACGCTGATCTGAAGCCAGGAGCCAGGTGCTTTTCCTGGTCTCCCATGCGGGTGCAGGGCCCAAGGACTTGGGCCATCCTCCACTGCACTCCCGGGCCATAGCAGAGAGCTGGCCTGGAAGAAGGGCAACCGGGACAGAATCCGGCGCCCCGACTGGGACTAGAACCAGGTGTGCCGGCGCCGCAAGGTGGAGGATTAGCCTATTGAGGCACGGCACCGGCCTTTTTTTTTTTTTTTTTTTTAATTATTTGTTTATTTGCTTTATTTAGTTGAAAGGCAAGGTGGGAGAAGAGAAAGATAGATAAATAGATATAGATATAAGTATCTCTCATCTGTTGATTCATTCCCCAAATTTTCATCACAGCCAAGAGTGGGTCAGGCTGAAGCCAGGAACTGGGAGCTGAATCCGGGTATCTTTCCTGGGTGCCAGATTCTCAAGTACTTGAGCTATCACCTACTGCTACCCAGGTTGCACATTAGCAGAAAGCTACAGTTGGAGGTGGAGCCAGGACTAGAACTCAGGCACTCTGACGTGGGATGTGATCGTCCCAGGCTGTGTCTTAACAATGTCACCAAATGCCTGCCCCAGAGATCTTTTTAAGAATTAGCTTTGGGGGGCCTGTGCTATGGCACAGCAGGTTAATGCCCTGGCCTGAAGCCCCGGCATCCCATATGGGTGATGGTTTGAGACCCGGCTGCTCCACTTCCAATCCAGCTCTCTGCTATGGCCTGGGAAAGCAGTAGAAGATGGCCCAAGTGCTTGGGCCCCTGCACCAGCATGGGAGACCCAGAGGAGGCTCCTGGCTCCTGGCTTCAGATTGGCGCAGCTCTGCCCATTGTGGCTATTTGGGAAGTGAACCAGAGGATGGAAGACCTCTCTCTTTATTAGTCTCTACCTCTCTCTGTAACTCTTTCAAATAAATAAAATAAATCTTTAAAAAAAGAAAAGAATTAGCTTTGGGCTGGCCCTGTGGCATAGAATGTTAAGCCTCTGCCTGCAGGGCTGGCATCCCATATGCGTGCTGGGTCATGTCTCTGCTTCTCCACTTCTGGTCCAGCTCCCTGCTAATGTGCCTGGGAAAGCAGCAGAGGATGGCCAAAGTCCTTGGGTCCCTGCACCCTCGTTGGAGACCTGGAAGAAGCTCCTGGCTCTTGGCTTCAGTCTGGCTCAGCTCCAGCCATTGTGGCCATTTGGGGAGAGTGAGCCAGCGGATGGGAAGATATTTCTCTCTCTCTCTCTCTCCTTCTCCTCTATCTCTGCCTTTCAGATAAATAAGTAAATAGTTTTTTTAAAAAAAGAATTAGCTTTATGGTAATCTTGGCTGAACTCTTCCTCTCTGTCAAATGCCTTTTTGAAAATAATATCATTTTAGTAAAAAATAAGCAATATTTTTTAAGATTTATTTTATTTATTTGAAAGGCAGAGTTACAGAGACAGAGATAGAGGGAGAGACGTATCTTCCATTGTCTGGTTCACTTTGCAATATCTGGTTCACTCTGCAAATGGCCACAATGGCTAGAGCTGGGCCAGGCTGATGTCAGGGGCCCAGAATTTCTTCTGGGTCTCCCGTGTGGATATGGGGGCCCAAGTATTTGGACCATCTTCTCTGCTATAGCTCATTAGCAGGGAGCTGTATCTGAAGTGAAGCAGCTGAGGGTCAAAGCATTGCAGGCCACAGCTTAACCTGTTACGCCACTATGCTGACCCCAAGAATATTTCTAATGCTCATAATATTCCGCTCAGTATTGTATGATAATTTTTCTGTAGGTTAACAGTTATGCTGTTAGAAAAAGTACATTGTACCTATTGCATGGTATTGTTGTTTATTATTTACTTTTTAAAAAAATATTATTTATTTATTTGAAAGGCAGAGTACAGAGAGGGAGAGCCAGAGAGACAGGAAGATCATCTATCCTGTGGTTTACTTCCCAGACGCTGGCAACAGTTAGGGCTGGGCCTGGCCAAATTGGAGTTCCATGTGGGTGGGTTGGGTGGCAAGTGTTTGGGTCATCGTTGATTATCTCCCAGGCATATTAGCAGGAAGCTGTATTTGTAGACACTGAGTGGTCAGGATTTGATCCTAGGCACTGAATTGGAATGCAGGTGTTCCTAGCTGTGGTTTGATCCATTGGGTCACAGTGTGACTGATAATTTTTCTCAAGACACTTTGAATTTGACCTGATAGTCAGAATGTCTTTTTAAAGTTTTCAGCTGCTTTGTGATGAGAATGCAAATATTTTGTATTATGTGTTTTTTTTTTTAATTTGAGGAAGGTGTTTTTAGATATTGCTTAAGATTCTATCTAATAAAATTATTTTTAATTCAGAATATTTGCTTATGTAAGGTTTTTTCCTCTGAAATATTTACAAGATTGATTTTCAGGTATTCTAAATCTTTTGTCTTTACAGAAACGGATATGTTTTTTTTAGCCATCAGCATGGTAGGAACTGACTTTTCTATGATTGGACAGCTTTTTCCCCACAGAGCAAGAATAGAAATTAAGGTAAAGTAAACCTATCACATTTGTTGATTGGAAATAGCCCAAAAATTAGTGACAGTGTTGTTATTACTATTCCCTTTGTTTTTTTCCCTCATGATAATGTTTTTGTTACCTTTTTCACTCTTCATTACTTGAAACATAATGGAATATTTTTCAATAGTTGCAGTCTCCTTTAAAGTATCATGTTTTCTTACTTATATCTTGCCCACTTCTAAAATGAATTTGAGAGGATACCAATGAAGGGCATTGAAATTAAAATAAAAGACAATGAATAGGGAAGATAAATGCACTAGTGTACTTAGGTTCAGAGTAGCTTTTTGAAGACAAAATGTATTTCTGAATTTCCTAGGCAGGTATATAAGGAACGCTGTGTTCTGTAGTGCTCAGTCGCTGATGTCTTGCTTTCCTAGCACACCTTAACTCTGAGGACAGCCAGTGGCACTGTTGGCAGCTGAGGGTCTGTCAGTTCCAGTTGTAAATGCTGCAGAGGAAGACCTTCTCTGCTTCTTAGTCTCTTTGCTGGAATCTGTCACACTGTGTTGTTGTAAGGCACTCCCAATTCTTAGTGAGAGCTTTTCCCAATCATGGCCTTTTCTCCTCATTTCACGTTCCCATCATGTTCATTACATTAATAAAAGGAATCATTGGGAAAGACAAATCTTTTTTCCCTTTTCTTTTTTTTTTTTTAAAGGCAGAGTGGACAGTGAGAGAGACAGAGAAAGGTCTTCCTTTGCCGTTGGTTCACCCTCCAATGGCCGCCGTGGCCGGCGTGCTGCGGCCGGCGCACCGCGCTGATCCGATGGCAGGAGCCAGGAGCCAGGTGCTTTTCCTGGTCTCCCATGGGGTGCAGGGCCCAAGCACCTGGGCCATCCTCCACTGCACTTCCCTGGCCACAGCAGAGAGCTGGCCTGGAAGAGGGGCAACCGGGACAGAATCCGGCGCCCCGACCGGGACTAGAACCCGGTGTGCCGGCGCCGCTAGGTGGAGGATTAGCCTAGTGAGCCGCAGCGCCGGCCCTTTTTTCCCTTAATTAGACAAGGTTTGGGTTGGTTGGAGACATTATTTAAGAGGTATTGTATGATATAATGGGATAGTCTTACTGTATTTCACATGAAATGAGAAACATTCTTCATGTTCATTTTCTAATTGGTAATATTTGATAAAAGGGGAAGAAAATGAGAAATTGAGGGTTTGGGTGTCTGATGATCTAAGTAATTAATGATAAATTTGTTGCTACCCTATTGCTCTCAAAAATCATGGGATTCTTCACCTAAAAGCTTAATGTGGCTCCAGCAGGTCTTTGGGCAAAGTGTAGAAAAGTGAAAATAGACAGTATTTGAGGTTAGTGAATTACATCACACTGATTGTCAGATGCTGAACAAACATCGTATTCTTGGGATACATTACTTTTAGTCATATTGTATTTTTCTTTTTGTGTGTTGCTGAATTTTGTTACATTTTCTTGATGAATTTTTGCACTTTTGTTTATGAGGGATGCTTTACATTCTTTGTCCTATTTGAATTGAGGATCAGGCAGATCACATAAAATGAGTTGGAAAGTGTTTCCCTTTTATTTTTTGGAGAATGTGTTTCAAATCATTACTATTTCTCCTTTATTATTTGATATAATTCACCACTGAACCTTCTAATGCAGCACTTTTCTTAGGAAGAGGGTTTAGATTATAAATTCAGTTTCTTTGAAATTTCTTTAATATAAATTAGAACATTCAGATTGTTATATCAGATTTGACTTTGAATTTTCAGGCATATGATTTTCATCCTGTTCCATTATTATTTAAAATATGTTTTATTTGTTTTTATCTACTTGAAAGAGATGGGGGTTTGAGGGGCAGAGAAACATAAATATCAATATTCAATATGCTGTTTCATTTCTCAAATGCCTGCAATAGCCAGGGCCAGGCCTGGTCAAAGCTAGGAGCCAGCAAGTCCATCTGGGTCTCCATGAGGGTGACAGGGCCCAAGTACTTGAGCTGCTGCCTCCCAGAATGTATTAACAGGAAGCTGGATTGCAAGTAGATAGCAGGGACTTGAACTCTGATAGGGGATGTGGGTGTGTCAAGCAGCAACTTAATCCACTGCCCACCATGCTGTGATCATTTTCATGTTTTAAAGATAAGTGATATTCCAATATGAATGATAAATTTGTATTTTTTAAAAAATTTACTTATTTACGTGGAAGTCAGTTATACAGAGAGAGGAGAGGCAGAGAGAGGTTTTCCATCCACTTGTTCACTCCCCAGTTGGTCACAACAGCAGGAGCTGTGCTGATCTGAAGCTAGGAGCCTGGAGCTTCTTCCAGGTCTCCCATGCAGGTACAGGGGTCCAAGGACTTGGGTCATCTTCTACTGCTTTCCCAAGGCATAGCAGAGAGTTGGATTGGAAGAGGAGCAGCCGGTACTTGAACTGGCATCCAAATGGGATGCTGGCACTGTAGGCGGTGGCTTTACCTGCTACATCACAGCGCCGTCCCTGATAAATATGTATTTTTGCTCCACTTCGAGAGAGAGATCTTTTCCATCTGCTATTTCATCTGGGTCTCCCACGTGTTTGGCAGGGGCCCAAGCACTTTGGACATCTTTTACTGCTTTCTAAACAGGCACAGTAGCAGGGGGTTAGTTCAGAAGTGGAGCGGTTGGGACTTAACCAGCACCCGTATGAAATGCCTGTAGGCTGCAACTTTACATGCTGTGCCATGAGACTGGTTCCACAAAATTTTAATTAAACAGATAAACATTTCAATCTCACATTGATCACTTTTTTTTTTTTTTTTAAGATCTGTATTTGAAAGGCACAGTGACAGAGAGAGGAGAGACAGAAATCTTCCATCTGCAGGTTCACTCCCCAGATGGCTGCAACTGCCACAAGCTGGACCAGGCTAGAGCCAGGAACCGTTAACTTTACCCGAGTCTCCCCATTTGGTTGGCAGGGACTCAAGTACCTGAGCCATCAATTGTTCCTTTCTTGGTACATTAGCAGGGAGCTGGATTAGAAGTAGAGTAGCTGGGACTCAAACTGGAATTCCAGTATGGGTTGCTGGCTTTGAAAGCAGCAGATTAACTTGATGCACCACAATGCCAACCCTTGCTTGTCCATTTTTTATTTATTAATTTTTAATTTATTTGAGAGGCAGAGAGAGAAACAGAGACAGAAAGGCAGCTCCTATCTGCTCATTCACTCCCGGAATGTCCACAGCAACTGGGGTTGGGCCATGCCTCAGCCAGGAGCCAGGAACTCAGTCTGATTCTAACATGTGGGCAGTAGAGACGCAAGCTCTTGAGTGCACCTCCCAGAGTAAATATTAGCAGGTAGTTAGAATCAGGAGTGAGGCCAGGACTCTAACCTAGATATTCTGATATAGGATTTGGCCATTCTAAGCTGCACTTGGCCAGATGTCTGCCTCCTGTTTATTTTAAAAATCCTGAATAGAAATTTTGTATATAATTTGACAGACTGAGTGTGCATATATTGTGTATATATACACACAACACGAAGTGTATGTGATTGTACATGTATATAACATATTTTTAGTTTTGAATGAATTTCTAGACTGAGATGAAGCCAGACCTCTCTTTTAAGTATATCTGTAGAATATAATATCACTGCTCCTCTTGCCCTTATTAAGGTGATATAGAAGAGTCTGATGTTGTGGTGCAGTGGGTTAAACTGCCACCTGTGACCCTGGCATCTCATGTGAGCCCTGATTTGAGTTATAATCCAGCTTCCTGCAAATGTGCCTGGGAAAGCCCAAGTACTTGAGCCCCTGCCACAAGTGGATGGAAGCTCTCTGTCTCTCTCTCACTCTCTAACTCTGCCTTGCAAACAAATAGTTCTTAAAAAAAAAAATCACCAACTGAAAGTTTCTAATAAAGTTTCATCTCAGCTAAGCAGAAACACTGGCATTGGAAAATTGTCAGGCCAAAGAGCTGTTATCCATGCTAGTATAATTTTCAGGTTTATAAATTAGTCAAACTGAAATTACCAACTGCCCACCATAGAATGAATTTTTTTAAACAATAAAGTACAACAGGAATGAGATTTGTTTTAAAATTTAACATACTCTCATCCTTTGTTTTCAAGATTTATTTATTTGAAAGGCAGAGTTACAGAGAGGCAGAGGGAGAGACACACACAGAGAGATCTTCCATCCACTGGTTCACTCCTCAGTTGGCTGCAATGGCCGAAGCTGGGCCAATCTGAAGCTAGGAGCCAGGAGCTTCTTTGAGGTCTCCCACGTGGGTACAGGGCCCAAGCACTTGGGCTGTCTTCTATTGCTTTCCTAGGCCATAGTAGAGAGCTGTATCAGAAGAGTAGCATCCGGGACTTGAACCGGTGCCCATATGGGTTGCCGACACTGCAGGCGGTGGCTTTACCTGCTATGCCACAGCGTAGGCCCTGCTCCTGACTCTGACTTCCTGCTAATACACACCCTGGGAGGCAGCAAGTGATGGCTCATGTGATTGAGTCTTGCCTTAAACATGGGAGACCTGCATGGAGTTCCTGGCTCTTGGCTTTTGCCTGGCCCAGTCCTACTTGTTGAGGGAATTTGAGTGAACCAGTGGATGTGACATCGTTGTCTATCGGTCTGTCTGTCTCTTTCTCTCATTGTCTGTCTTTCAAATAAATAAAATAAAAATTTAAAAGTCAGATTAGTGGTTAGAGTCTAAGCAGTTCCTTTGTGTGCATGTGTGTGCGTGTATGTGTGTGTTTGCAATTTTTTTCATGTCTTTTTTGCAATAAAAAATTTATTTTTGTGTATGTAGTAAAAACTTAAAGAATACTGATATAGAAGGGAGAGATGGGCTGATTGTTCTCTCATCCAGTTGCGTGTGCTTGATTAGACATCCTCAAATACACATATGCCCTCAGACTTCTTCTTTTTTTTTTTTTTTTTTTTTTGACAGGCAGAGTGGACAGTGAGAGACAGAGAGAAAGGTCTTCCTTTTCCGTTGGTTCACCCTCCAGTGGCTGCCGTGACCGGCGCGCTGCGCTGATCCGAAGGCAGGAGCCAGGTGCTTATCCTGGTCTCCCATGGGGTGCAGGGCCCAAACACTTGGGCCATCCTCCACTGCACTCCCTGGCCACAGCAGAGAGCTGGCCTGGAAGAGGGGCAACCGGGACAGAATCCGGCGCCCCGACCAGGACTAGAACCCGGTGTGCCGGCGCTGCTAGGCGGAGGATTAGCCTATCGAGCCACGGCGCCAGCCCGCCCTCAGACTTCTTAATGACTTTAGGACGGATTGAGCCATAAGCCTTAAGTGTTTCCATCTGGGTGGAACTGAGGTTAGTGATCTGTGGTGCCAAGGAAGACATAGGAAATGTGACTGACAAAATATTCTGAAGATAAACTTGGCCTGCTTTGAAATTTGCTTAGTTGTATCTCTACAGTCTCTTCTCTGTGCCACACTTGAAATATATTAGAATGATGTAAGAAGTTTAACCTGAAATGATTGTTTTAGTTGTTAACCTCATTGATTATAATTTTGATATTTCCATGCTAGTTGGCTTTGTTTTTCTCTGTCTTCTGTAAACCCAACTTCCATTGTCAACTCATGCTTATAGGTAATGCATAAGGAGGAGCAGGAAGCTCAGTATTAGTATTTCATCTTCCTTTTTTTTTTTTAATTAATGATTTAACAGGTAACTTCCCTCTTGGCAAAGAACTATCATTTAGTAGAGGATAATCTATTATTCATTAGAATTTCACTTTAATGTTTACTGTTTCTTAAAAAAAAGATCTTTTTAATGAGAGAAAATTTCTATAGCTTTTTTGTTGTTGTCGTTAACAGAATAAATTTAAACGTGAAGAGAAAACAAATGGATGGAGAATAGATAAAGCCTTCCGTAAGTATTAAGACCTCTTTTATAGTATGTCATTTAGAGGACCGAACAAAAGGACCAATGTTTTGTCTTAGGCTCCAGTGTGTTTTAGATTTGTTTTGTCCCTATATTGGTGTAAGAAGAATATGAGTGAAAATTCTTCTATTTATCAGTATGGGTCTGGCAGTTGCTGCAAATCTGTAGACACCGGATTAGCCAAAAGAGCAGGTGTGTAGATTTCTAAGTCTAAGAGGTTACAAAATGACAGATGATACCTTTTCTAACTATTCTTTACTCTGAAGGAATTGTATTCTAGGAGTTAATTGTTTTTGGGTGATAGAGTTCTGTAGATGGTTTTTTCAGTAGTCAATCATTTTACTTCATCAGCTATGGTACCACCTGCTGTTTGCTAGTCACTATTCTAGCTTGGGAGCAGATGACAATTCTGTTTTTAGATTTTTTATCAGCCAGGAGCCAGGAGCTTCTTCACAATCTCCCATGTGGGTGCAGGGTTCCTAGGACTTGGCCAAGTTCTACTGCTTTCCCAGGCCATAGCAGAGAGCTGGATCAGAAGTGGGGCAGCCAGGACACTAACTGGCACCCATATGGGATGCTGGCACTTCAGGCGGCGGCTTTACCCACTACGTCACAGTGCCAGCCCTTAGATTATATTATTATTTTTTTAAATTTATTTATTTGACAGATAGAGTTATAGACAGTGAGAGAGAGAGACAGAGAGAAAGATCTTTCTTCTGTTGGTTCACTCCTCAAATAGCCGCTACGGCTGGGGCGGCTGGTGCCGCGCTGATCCAAAGCCAGGAGCCAGGTGCTTCTTCCTGGTCTCCTATGCAGGTGCAGGGGCCCATCCTCCACTGCTCTCCCGGACCACAGCAGAGAGCTAGACTGGAAGAGGGGCAGCTGGGGCTAGAACCCGGTGCCGCAGGCGGAGGATTAACCAAGTAACCCAGAGCTTCAGCCCCCTTAGACCTTTCTCTCTCTCTCTCACTGTCTATAACTCTACCTGTCAAATAAAAAAAATATTTAAAAATTTTTAAAACTTTCTGAAATTTATTTGGGAAGGAAAGAAGGGGAGAAACAGAGAGAGAGTGTACGCTCACCCTGTCCACTGGTTTACCCTCCAAGTGCCTGCAATGGTGGGGACTGGGTTGAACGAAAGCTGGGAGCCAGGAACTGAATCCAGGTTTTGCACATGCATGGCAATCACTCCAGCTATCACTGCTGCCTCCCAGGTTCTGCTTCAGCAGGAAGCTGGGGTCTGGAGCCAGCAGTGAGTATCACATGCAGGTACCCTGATGTGGGATGGGGTATCTTAACTGGCATCTTAACCACTAGGCTAATTTCCTGCTCTGCTTTTAGGATCTTAAGTCTCACTGGATGGGGGAGGGGAAACAGTTGATAAGCATAATCTCATAATGATTAATTTCTGAGAAGGAAAGTGGTGGATGTTTAGATTGGGTTTTCAGGGAAGTTCTGTCTAAAGAGGTAACATTTGAATTTAGACCTGATTTGAAAGAATAATAGATATCTTTCAATTTTTAACTAATATTCTCATTAAAATTAGCATTTTTTTTCAGTTTAGAAAAGTACATCAATACTCAAGGGATCTAAAAGAATATTATTTAAAGTAGTTCTTACATTCTTTTTTAGAAGGTATATATTTTTTATGGACCTGTAATTATCTATATTTCATAATTAATATATTCAATGTTCATTTATTCAGGAGATTAATGATAGTATAACTTTAAAAGAACTAGAATGAAATTAAATTTCTTAATTAAAATTAGACATAGTGCTAATTTTAGAAAAAAATCCAAGTAAGGACTGGCATTGGGGTACAGCAAATTAAGTTGCCACTTGCCATGCTGGTGTCCCATGCCACGGTACTCATTCAAGTCCTAGCTGCTTTACTTCTGAACTAGCTTTCTGGTAATGCACCTGACAGACAGGTGATAATGGTCTGGGTACTTGAGTCCCTGCTGTCCATGTGGGAGACTGGGATGGAGTTCCTATCTTCTGATTTTGGCCTGGCTCAGCCCTGGCTATGGTGGGCATTTGGGAAGTGAACCAGTGTTTGAAAGATCTCTGTCTTTCCCTCTTTCTCTCTGTTACTCTGGCTTTCAAATAAACAAATAAATCTTTGGAAAACAAAGAAAAAAAATTCATATATGGAACTTAGCTTGTGTAGCATGTTTGAGTATGAGTGAACACTAAGGTAGATGAGTGGATCCTGCATCCAGTGTTGTATTGGTTCTTGGGGAAACCACTTCTAGGAATGGCTCCTCGAAGATTTGGAATACTGTAATCTTCAGCCCTTTCCATTTTAGACAAGTGGTCCTGAAACTTTATTAGGTTTAACACATTAAAATAAGAAAAAAGTTCGTAAATTAGTTAATATCCTGGTTCAAGTATGAAATCTTTAAAATGTTTATTACATATTTTCATCTGTTAGGCAGAGAGAAAGAGAGTGAGCAAGCAAAAGCTATCTTCCATTTGCTGGTTCACTCTGTACGTGCCCACAATAGCCTGGGCTGGGCCAGGCTGGAGTCAGGAGCCCAGAACTCTATTCTGTCCCTCATGTTAGTGCCAGGGTCCCAGGATGCCTTTGCCCGGAAGCTAGTTCACAAGCAAAGTAGCTGGGATTAAAATCTGTGCTATTATAAGGGAAGCAGACACCCAGCATGGTAGCTTACTTGTGCCACAGTGCCCAACCATACATGGAGCTTTAGGAAAGCCATTATACCAGATGTGTTTAAAACACTGATTTTAGTGCTTTTTTTTTAAAAGATCTTTTTTTAAAGATTTATTTATTTATTTGAGAGTTAGAGGGTGAGACAGAGATAGAGATATCTTCCATCCACTGGTTTGCTCCCCAGAGGGTCGCAACAGACTGATGCCAAGAGCCAGGAGCTTCTTCTAGGTCTCCTATGTGGGTAGCAGGGGTGCAGGCACTTGGGCCATCTTCCACTGCTTTTCCCTGGCTGTTAGCCCGGAGCTGGATAGGAAGTGGAGTAGTCAGGACTCCAACAGGCGCCCATATGGAATGCTGGAGTTGCAGGTAGCGACTTTACCCACTATGCCATGACGCCGACCCCAGAAAATTTTTTCAAAAGTTAAAAGCCAGCTGAATTTTGACTTTTTGTTTTTGAGCTGCTACTTTGAATTCTTCTGAGAACCATGTGGTAATTCTTTTGGACTTTTTTTTTTTTTTTTAAGGTAACGTTTATTCTTCTCTCTGCCTTTAGGCCTCCCAAGAGAGATGAGAATCTATGGTATCTTTATGGTATCTTTTTTTTTTTTGGACAGGCAGAGTTAGACAGTGAGAGAGAAAGACAGAGAAAGGTCTTCCTTCCATTGGTTCACCTCCCAAATGGTTGCTACAGCTGGCACACTGCGCCGATCCAAAACCAGGAGCCAGGTGCTTCCTCCTGGTCTCCCATGCGGGTGCAGGGCCCAAGGACTTGGGCCATCCTCCACTGCCTTCCCAGGCCACAGCTGGACTGGAAGAGGGGCAACCAGGACAGAACTAGTGCCCCAACTGGGACTAGAACCTGGAGTGCCGGCGCCGCAGGCGGAGGATTAGCCTAGTTAGCCACGGTGCTGGCCTTGGATTTTTTTTTTAAGATTATTTATTTTAAAGTCAGAGTTACAGAGACGCAGAGGCAGAGAGAGATCTTCCATCCACTGATTCACTCCCCAGATAGCCTCAATGGCCGGAGCTGAGCCAATCCCGAAGCTAGGAGCCAGGAGCTTCTTCCAGGTCTCCTATGTGGGTGCAGGGGCCCAAGGACTTGGGCCATCTTCTGCTGCTTTCCCAGGCCATAGCAGAGAGCTGGATCAGAAGTGGAGCATATGGGATGCTCCTATGTGGGATGCCAACATTGTAGGTGGTGGCTCAACTCACTCTGTTGCAGTACTGGTCCCCAAAGACTTCTTAGTCATCTTTGTCATTAAAACATTGATTTATACTTATGCATAGTTGAAAGTGTAGTTTTCATTTTGACAAATAATATACTTTTGTAACCACCACCCCAACAGTATATAGCATGTTTTCATTATTCCTGAAGGTCCCTCCTTTTCCTTTCTAATCAATCAGATGCCATCCTCCTAGCACTTTGATTAGATTGGATTAGATTAGTGTGTTCTGAAAGATCTTACTCATGGAAGCACAGGATATGTACTCTCTGAGTTTGGTTCTTTCACTGTGTTTTTGAAATTTACCCATCTTATTGCTGGTAGTCGTAGTTGTTCCCTTCAAGTTTGTTTTATTGCTGAATAGTGAACTATTGTGTCCTTGTTTACCAGTTGCATTGCTAATGTACAGGCCCACTTGCTTTTGATGTTGTGTTATCTAAAAAAAAAAAAAAAACAAACTAGAAAGTTTCCTTTTTTAAAAAATTAAAAACTTGAAAGTTCTTTTCCTTTTTTTTTTAAACAGAGGAAAAGCGCCCTTTTGACTTCGATTTTTTTGCTCATTTGCTTCAGAAAGTTCTTGCTGAAGAAGAGAAAAGAAAACAAAAATCCGTTAAAAACAACAGTTTAAAGGAAAAGAAAGCTTCCAAACCACGGAAAAATGTAAAAGGTATGAATTTTGATAGAAGGTGTGCTGTTTTACTTAGCTGTAATGGGTGTGAGTGTTGTCCCTCAGGTATTTAGAGGGCGTGGAAGCTCTAGAAACTGAGATCATCCTGGCATTCGGTTGGAGGGGATTAAGTTTACTTCATTTTACCAGTTATTTTAGTTATTTTTTTTTTTTTTTTGGACAGGCAGAGTGGACAGTGAGAGAGAGAGAGACAGAGAGAAAGGTCTTCCTTTTGCCGTTGGTTAACCCTCCAATGGCCGCCGCGGCCGGCGCGCTGCGGCCGGCGCACCGCGCTGATCTGATGGCAGGAGCCAGGAGCCAGGTGCTTTTTCCTGGTCTCCCATGGGGTGCAGGGCCCAAGCACTTGGGCCATCCTCCACTGCACTCCCTGGCCACAGCAGAGGGCTGGCCTGGAAGAGGGGCAACCGGGACAGAATCCGGCGCCCCAACCGGGACTAGAACCCGGTGTGCCGGCGCCGTTGGCGGAGGATTAGCCTAGTGAGCCGCGGCGCCGGCCTAGTTATTTTAGTTATTTTTTAAAGATTTATTTATTTATTTGTAAGTCAGAGTTACAAGGGGGGGGGGGAGATCTTCCGTCTGCTGGTTCACTCCCCAAATGGCAGCAACAGCCGGGGCTGGGCCAGGCCAAAGCCAGAAGTTAGGAGCTTCTTCTGGGTCTCCCACATGAGTACAGGGCCCAAGTAGGACCAAGTACTTGGGCCATCTTCCACTGCTTTCACAGGCACATCAGCAGGGAGCTGGATTGGAAGTGGAACAGCCAGGTCTCGAACTAGCGCCCATATGGAATGCTGGCATCACGGGTGATGGCTTTACCCGCTATGCCACAATCCTGGCCCCAGTAGATCCCTTTTAAATTTTATAATAGAGTGATGGGGCTAATTTCTAGTGTCTTGAACAAGGGGTAGTAAAGAGCATCAGAATCTTGGAGTGTCATGTTTCATGTTTTGTTATTTAGTATATTTTTCTCTATAAAATGAATCTGGTATAAGATTCTAATATTTAACAAAATGGAGCTCTAATATCTGGAGGTTTGACTAGATTATATTTGAGCAAATTTACTTCTGAAGGTTAATATTGACTTGTATAAAGTTTCAAACTGTCTTGTGTAGGTTTATCTATTTCTAGGTGTGTATTTCCTTAACTGTTTGAACTCTTGTCTATGAAGATAATGTGTAGCTATAATCATATATATAATTTGTAGAATCTGAGGACAATAGGGCACCTTATGTGTTAGCTGGTCCACATCTCACTGTTTTGTCTATTTGTTTTAGTCACTGTGAAACAACCCCAGAGATCCTGTTACTTTTCCTGGTGTGGTTGCACAGTGTTAGTGGCAGAGGCTGGGCTTAAAAACCTAAGACTCTGAGAACCTTTACTGGGGTCCTTGAGACCACTCTCAGGTTTGATTATTTGCTAGAGGATTTACAGGATTCAGCACTGTCTGCCTGTTACCCACCAAAATTTCAGATCCTGGAAGGAAAACGATTTGTTATAAACCATAGTGAGAAATCAGGTCTTAACAGCTTGGGTAATAGAAACCGTCCCTAAAATTAAGTTCCCTGAGAGCCAAAGGATTAGCCTTTCAAAGGATAGCAGTCAGGCCTCCTGTCCTGTAGTAACTCTTTAGTTGCACAAAGCTAGTTTAGAATTTCTTCTTCTGGAGTATGATGCCTGAATCTTTGAAAAAGAAGTATTGGGCCGGCGCTGTGGCTCACTAGGCTAATCCTCCGCCTTGCGGCGCCGGCACCCCAGGTTCTAGTCCCGGTCAGGGTGCTGGATTCTGTCCCGGTTGCCCCTCTTCCAGGCCAGCTCTCTGCTGTGGCCCGGGAGTGCAGTGGAGGATGGCCCAAGTCCTTAGGCCCTGCACCCGCATGGGAGACCAGGAAAAGCACCTGGCTCCTGGGTTCGGATCAGCGGGATGTGCCGGCCGCAACGTGCCAGCCGTGGCGGCCATTGGAGGGTGAACCAACGGCAAAGGAAGACCTTTCTCTCTGTCTCTCTCTCTCACTGTCCACTCTGCCTGTCCAAAAAAAAAAAAAAAAAAAAAAGTATTGATAATTGCAATTATTTCATTCTTTAGTTAATTTTTTACTTACTATACATAATCCTAGGAGATCAAAATAGATATATTAATTCCTCTTGTTACAGGTAGCATGAGTAATTTACTGTATCTAAATGTAAGGACTATTCAGATATGTTATTATGTATCAGAATTTAAAATTTTTAATTATTTTCAGAACAAATCAAATGTTACTTTTTCAGCTTTAAATTCTTATTTTGACTTTTTCCACAAAAGATTGAGTTTTCTTATGTTGTGAGATTAGCTCTTTTCAGTGAAGATATTTGATAAGCATGGTTGTGAAATTAAGCTTCTTTTGATCTGAATCCATAGTCCATTTTGTGCTGCTATTATTTCTCATAGTTTTGGACTGTGGGAAATCTAAAAGCTATCATGGGGCCTTCTTACCACATCCTTGCAAGGCAGAGAGAGAGAGAGGGAAAAGGAGAGGGAGAAGGGAGGGGGAGAGAAGGACCTTTCTGAATGGCCTGATTACCTCTTAAAAGTTTCTTCTGAGTTGTCACTGTGGTGCAGTAGGTTCATCCTCTGCCTGTGGTGCTGGCATCCCATATGGGCGCCAGTTCTGGTCCTGGCTGCTCCTCTTCCAATCCAGCTCTCTGCTATGGCATGGGATAGCAGTGGAAGATGGCCCAAGTGCTTGGGCTCCTGCACCCACGTGGGAGACCAGGAAGTAGCTCCTGGCTCCTGGCTTTGGATTCGCCCAGCTCTGGCTGTTGAGGCCATTTGGAGAGTGAATACACCGATGGAAGACCCCTCTCTCTGTCTCTCCCTCTCACTGTCTATAACTCTACCTCTCAAATACATAAATAAATCAATAACTTCTTCTTAGTCCCATTACAATGACAAATTAATTTTGGCATGAATTTTCACAGGAGAAAAGCATTTCACAGGAAAATAGCAGGTGTTTCCAAGGTGATTTCTGATTTGTTTTTTATTCATGTTTTCAATATAGTTGATTATTAATATGTCTTTATGGGAAGGGCACTAGAAATTGTTGTTCTTATTATTAAAGAATTATTTATTTGAGAGGTGGAACTACAGACAGCGAGAGGGAGAGACAAAGAGAAAGGTCTTCAATCCCCTGGATCACTCCGCAGATGGCCATAACAGTCAGAGCTGAGAGCTTCTTCTGGGTCTCCCAGGCGGGTGCAGGAGCCCAAGCACTTCATCTTTCACTGCTTTTCGACTGCATAAGCATAGAGCTGAATCAGAAGAGGAGCAGTCAGGACACAACCTGCACCCATATTGGATGCCAGCGCCACAGGTGGAAGCTTAGGCTACTGTGCCACAGTGCTGGCCCCACTAGAAATTATTTTAAAAAATTGTTAAAACAGTTGTTTACTGAAAAACAAATAATATGGAAGATAAGAATCTTGATCCTTGTCTTCTGTCTGTCCCTGAGAGTAAATTTCTTCAGATTTCCCAGGAATAACTGGTTTTAAACCCATTTTTATGCATATATATTTACATATGTGTCTTTGAGTCTATATAATTGCTTTTCTTAAAGATTTATTTTTTATTTATTTGAAAGTCAGAATGATGGAGTGGGGGAGCACTTCCGTCTACTGTTTGACTCCTGAAATGGCTGGAAAGGACAAGGCTGGATCAGGCTGAAGCCAGGAGCTGGGAACCCCATCCTGGTCTCCCGCATGGTGGGCCATCAGCTGCTTCTTTCTCAGTGCATTAGCAGGGAGCTGGGTCAGAAATGGAGCAGCTAGAACTTGAACCAGCCCCCTGGAACAGGATGTTGGTTTTGTAGGAGGCAGTTTAACCTGTTGTGCCACAAAGCTCTCCACTCCACGTAGTTGTTTTTAAGAAAAATGAGATCATCTATATTCTTCTATATTTGACTTTTTTAATGCAACAGTGTGTTCTGAGATCTTTTGCATTGCTGTATTGTAAAAGTACTTGTGCTCTTAGTGGCAGTGTGACTTTTTATTACATGAGTTTATTATAATTTATTTTGTCATTCCCTGCTAAGCATTTTAGGTTGCCTTCAATTTTTTTTTCCTCATAGGAATAGTACCGCGGAAGGCATCTTCGCTTTTAACGGTTTTTTTTTGTAGGTCACTTGTTTATAATGATTCTTCTTATTTTCAGTGAAAAAAGTTGCCAATGAAGGAGTGATTGATGAACCAGAGGAGGAACCAGAGGAGTCAATGAGTACTTCAGTTTTAGACAAAGAAGCATCTCAAGAGGATGCTCAGACAGTGGAAGAAGAGTCTTTGGTCTCAGAACAGAGTTCAGAACAGGTTGCATTAGAACAAGGCCTAAATAAAAAAAAAAGGAGAAGGAAGAATCAGGATGAAACTAATAAACAAGAAGTAAAAAATCTCTCAGGAAATGTGACTGATCAATCAGGTTCTTCTAGAGGGGAAAAACACAAGAGTAAGTTTCTTAAAATCTTATATTTTAGTAGCCTGTGTTACTTGAGTATAGTAGTATAGCGGATGACTTTAATACTTTAGTTCTGGATAGTAGCAATTAATGCCTATTGATTTGCTCATGGTACTATACTAACTCATGGTACTATATTAACTCATTTTTAATTAAAAATATAAAAACATAAGTAAACAGTGGTGTAAGATTATATTTTCAAGTTTGTTTCTGAGATATGTCCTTTATGTTAATATTAACAGTGGTTGGAAATAACATGTTGTATATAGTGAAATGTGTATTGCTTGTGTTGGTTAATAAATCAGATTTACTTGTTCTCTGTCTACAAAGCCCATATGGATTAGTTTTTATGAAACATGTATTCTCATTGTTTTTTACTTTTAGAATGCAAACGTAGTTACATTTATGAGTTCTGCAGGATAATGGCTGAGTTGAAGGTGGCCTTTTTTTTAATTTTTAAATTTTTCTTCATTGGAAAGACAGAGAGATAGAAAGATGGGTCTTCCATCCACTGATTCACTCCCCAAATGCCTGCAATGGCTGGGGGTGGGCTAGATCTGAGCTGGAGCTGAAACCAGGAGCCAGGAACCCAATCTAGGTCTCCCATGTGGTTGGCAGGGACCCAACTGCTTGAGCCATGCTATTTCCCATGTTGCACAGTAGTAGGAAACTGGAATCAGAAGCAGAGCTGGGACTTGAACACAGTTACTACAGTATGTATGGGATGTGAGAGTCCAAAGTGGTATCTTAACTGCTAGGCCAAATGCCTGCCCCACATGCATCATAATTTTTGTTCCAGTTTTCCACAAAGTTTTGGAGTATACTTATCAAGGTTGCTTAATCAAGATAGATTTAAGAAAATAATTTTTTAACATTTTTTAAAATTTATTTTAAAATTTATTTATTTATTTGAAAGGAAGAGTTACAGAGAGGGAGAGGCAGAGAGAATCTTCTATCCTCTGGTTCACTCCCCAAATGGCTGCAACAGAGTTAGGCCAATCCAAAGCTAGGAGCCAGGAGCTTCCTCCAGGTGGATGCAGGAGCCCAAACACTTGGACCATCTTCTACTGCTTTCCCAGGCTATAGCAGAAAGCTGGATTGGAAGTAGAGCAGCCGGGTCTTGAACCAGGCTCATATGGGATGCCAGCCCTGCCCCTGATTTTAATAAATGAATCACTATAGGTGGTTTAGTATGATTTATATTTATATTTATATTTATATTTTGCTCTTTTGTGGCTTAGAATTAAGAATGTTATGCATGACTAGCGTGATGATTCAGAAATCAAAGATTTTGCTGAAATATTTATTTGAGATGAAGAGAGAGAGAGAGAGCTTCCTCTACTGGTTCACTTCCCAAATGGCCACAGTGTCTGGGACTGGGCTATATGGAATCCAAGTGCTGGGAACCCAGTCTGGGTCTCCCTTTCGGGTAGCTTGAGCAGTAACAGCCGCTTCCCAGCGTACACATTAGCAGAATGATGGAGTCAGGAATTGAACACAGTCACCCTGATGTGGGAAATGGGTGTGTCACCTTGCTTTAAATCTAGCTCTTTTATTTACTAAGTATGACATTTGTCAGTTCACTTAAGATCTCTGAACTCAAGTGGTTTTTCTCCTTGATTGAGTCAATCCTCTTAAAATAGGATTGTTTCCAGTATTAAATGAGGAAAAGCATCTCAGGGACTTGTAGAGTTCCTGTCACTTGGTAAGGACTTGTCAAATGATTGCTGGCATTGTGTTATTAATTACTATATTTCTTTTATTAAATATTTATTTTATTTATTTATAAGTCAGAATTAGAGAGAGAAAGGGAGAGACAGAGCGAGAGATCTTCCATCTGCTGGTTCACTTCCCAAGTTGCCACAATGACAGGGGCTATGCCAGGCTGAAACCAGGAACCGTAAGCTTCTTCCAAATCTTCTGTAATGAGTTCAGGGGCCCAAGTACTCGGGCCATCTTCTGCTGCTTTCCCAGGCACATTGGCAGGGAGCTGGATTGGAAGTGGAACACCTGGAACTAGAATCAACACCCATATGGGCTGCCTGTGCTGCAGACAGCAGCTTAACCCTCTGTACCACAGTACCAGTGTAATTATTATACTTCTGAAGTGGCAAAGAGTTAGTAACATGCACTTTACTTCCTGACTAGACCTATAAAACAAGTTAATTTAGCCGCTTAAAATTTAAGCAAAGTAAAGGGAAGATGTTACAAACTGATCAGAAACCTTGGGCTGATCCATAAAGCACAGTTTTCATTATGCTCCAAAAGTAAGATGTGTGCCTTGCAGATAGGAGCATGAATGTTGAATGGATTAATGTTTTGTAGAGAAGACAGTGTTGTATGTAAATTCCCGTATTTTAAAGTTAGGTGTGTTTGTGTTCATCTGTTTAGAATAACATACATCTTGTATTCACAGGTGGGTGCCAGTCTCTCCGGCCTGCGCTTAGTGAAGGTGAATGCAGTGAGCAGCAGGACGTCTCCTGTGTGCAGGACGTAGATGGCAGCATGCACTCAGCCTCTGGCCAGAAAGCTGAGAGAAGAATTGACCCCATCCTTCCATCAAGGTAGTTTCTGCACCTTCACTGCCTTTTTTTTTTTCTTTAAAGATTTGTTTGTTTATTTGTTTGAAAGGGAGAGTGACAAAGAGAGAGGTGACGTCTTTCATTTGCTGGTTTACCCCTAAGTGGCCACAACAGCCAGAACTGGGTCAGGGTGAAGCCAGGAGCCAGGAGCTCTGTCCTGGTTTCCCGTATGGTTGGCAGTGGCCCAACTTCATGATGCCATCGTTTCCTGCCTTCCTAGATTGCATTAGCAGGATGCTGGATCAGAAGTGGAGCAACTGGGCCTCAAACTGACACTATGATATGGGATGCCTGCATCACAAGCTGTGGCTTAACCCACAGTGCTGGCTTTATCTGTATTTTCTGTTGATTACTGAGAGAGGAGTGTTGAAGTCTGCAACTGAAATTGTGGATTTGCCTTTGCCTGTTTCTGTTTTCAGTTTCATCTGTTTTTGCTTCATGTAAAATTTTTTTTTAAGAGATTTATTTATTTATTTGTGAGGCAGAGTGACAGAGAGAGGGAGAGACAGAACGGTCTTCCATCTGCTGGTTCACTCCCCAAAGGGCTGCAACGGTCAGAGCTGGGGTGATTTGAAGCCAGGAGCCAGGAGCTTTTTCTGGGTCTCCCATGTGGTTGCAGGGGCCCAAGCACTTGTGCCATCTTCCACTGCTTTCCCCGGCCATCAGCAGGGAGCTGGGTTGGAAGTAGAGCAGCTGGGACTCAAGCCAGTGCCCATATGGGATGTCAGCACTGTAGGCTGTGGCTTAACCTGCTGTGCTGCAGTGCTGGCTCTGCTTCAAAGCTGTCTTAGGGGCTTGCATATCTGGGATTCATATATCTTGGTGAAATTCCCTTTTATAATTGTGTACTATCCTCTGGTGCTGCTCTTTTCTTCTAACGTGTACCTTGCCACTGTGGTGTTCTTTTGGTTAGTGTTTTTATCAGTTTGTTATTTTCTTGGAAGATAATCCCTTTATCTTTTGTGTTCATCAGTTTGAATATGATGGGTCTTTTGTGTGTCCTTTAAAATTTCATTTATTTTTATTACGGTAAATGCACATGAGATTACCCTCTTAACAAATCTTCAAGTACCAGTACAGTAGTATTTACTGTAAGTTTAATGTTGAGCAGTGGATACCTGGAATTCTTCATCTTGTATGACTGAAATTAGCAGTTTTTCCTTCCCACGGCCCCTGACTTTCCTTTTGATTTTCTGTTTCTATGAATTTGAATTCTTTACATATGTCACACAAGTGGAATTGTGTAGTATTTGTCCTTCTGTGACTGGCTTATTTCACTTAGTGTGATGTCCTCAGTGTTCATCCATATTGTAGCATATATCACACTTTCCTTTACATGGCTGAGTGTGTTGCATGTCTATACCACATTTTCTTTATTCATTATTTGGTCAGTGGATATTTAGGTTGGTTCATCTCTTGGGCTATTGTGGATTCTGGATAAACCCCAGAAGTAGGATTGCTGGATTTCTGGTAGTTCTATTTTTCATTTTTGGGAAACTTCTCTACCATTCTAGTTGTGAGCATACCATTTTATATTTTCATCAACACCACATGGGCTCTGAGTTTTCTACAACCCTGTAACTATTTGCAGTCTTTTGTTATTTCGATAATGGCCATCCTAATATAATGGATGATACTTCATTATTGTTCTGATTTATATTTCCCTGATGATTAGTGATGTTGAGCAGCTTGTCATATACCTATCAGCCATCTGTACAACTTATTCTCAAATGTCTATCCAAGTCCTTTGCATGTTTTTTGTTTGTTTGTTTGTTTGTTTTTTTTTTTTTTTGTTTTTGACAGGCAGAGCAGACAGTGAGAGAGAGAGAGAGAGAGAAAAAGGTCTTCCTTTGCCGTTGGTTCACCTTCCAATGGCCACCGCGGCCGGCGCGCTGCAGCCGGCGCACCGCGCTGATCCGATGGCAGGAACCAGGTACTTATCCTGGTCTCCCATGGGGTGCAGGGCCCAAGGACTTGGGCCATCCTCCACTGCACTCCCTGGCCACAGCAGAGAGCTGGCCTGGAAGAGGGGCAACCGGGACAGAATCCGGTGCCCCAACTGGGACTAGAACCCAGTGTGCCGGCGCCTCAAGGCGGAGGATTAGCCTAGTGAGCTGCGGCGCCGGCCTGCATGTTTTTTAAATTGGTGTATTTCTTTTCTTTCTTTTTTTTTTTTTAAAAAGATTTATTTATTTATTTGAAAGTCAGAGAGTTAAAGATAGAGGCAGAGACAAAGAGAGAGAGAGAGGTTCTTCCACCCGTTGGTTCACTCCTCAGTTGGCCACAATGGTTGGAGTTGTGCGGATCCAAAGCCAGGAGCCTGGAGCTTCTTCTGGGTCTCCCATATGGGTGCAGGGGCCCAAACACTTCTGTTGCTTTCCTAGGCACATTAGCAGGGAGCTGGATTGGAAATGGAGTATCTGGAATACAGACTGACACCCATATGGGATGCCGGCACTGTAGGCGGCAGCTTTGCCTGCCACACCACAGTGCTGGCCCCTGTTTCTACTTCTGAAACTGAGTTGTAGAAGCTAATTATATATCTTGGATATTATGTATTATATTATACCTTATTGGATATGTGGTATATTAGCTTTTCATTACTATAACAAAGTATCTGAGATGGACTACTTAGGAAGGAAGGAAGCCTGTTTTATCTCATGATTTTAGAGGTTTGCAGTCTGAGATTGGGTAGACCCCATTGGTTCAGCCTTACTGGACAGCTGGAACATGGCAGTGGTGGAGTACACATGAAGGAAGGGTCACATGGTGAGTCAGGAAGCAGAAGGAAAACAGTTGGATCCTAAGGCATTTATAACCAACGCTCTTATGAGAAATACCTTCCAAGAGCACGGCCCTATGACCATAAGAAGCTTCCACTTAGCTCATCTCCTAAACACCACAATTGGATTTAGTCTCTCCTCTCTTAATACCATTATTTAATTTTTAATAAGATTTGTTCATTTATTTACTTGAAAGGCAGAATGACAGACAGAGAGATCTATTCTTTGATTCACTTTCTAAATGGCTGCAATAGCTGGGGCTTTGGCTGGGGCCAAAGCCAGGAACCAGGAACTCCATACAGGTCTCCCACATAGGTGGCAGCAATTCAAGCACTTAAGCTATCATATGCTGCTTCCCAGGTGCATTGGCAGGGAGCTGGTCATAAGTGGAATAGCCAGGACTTGAACCGGCACTCTAGCCTGGAATGCATTTGTCCTAAATGGTAATGCAGCCCATGATACCATAGTTGCCTGCCCCTTTGGACCATGAATTTATTACTTTGGAGTTTAAACATCTCTGTGAGTTTGGGAGCCAAATCCTTTTTAAACTATAGCATTTGGTTTGCATATGTTTTCTCCTGCATCCATATTTTTTCACTCCTGATTTTTTCCTTTAAAATGTGTAGATTTTTATTTTCTTTAAAATGTATTCATTTGAAACCCATAGTTACAGAGAGAGAAAGCTCTTCTATCTACCAGTTCAGTCCCTAAATGCTCTTGACGGCTGTGGCTGGGCAGGCCCAAGCCAGGAGTTAGGAACTCCATCCGGGTTTCCCATATAGGTGACTAGAATCCAAGTACTTGGGCCATCATCTGTTGCCTCCCAGGTTCATTAGAAGGAAGCTGGAGTGCAAGTGAAGGTGGAACTCTTCTGAGGCACTCTGATGTGGAATGTGGGCATCCTTAGCAGTGGCTTAACCTGGTGCACATTGCCCACCCAGAAGATCTTCAATTTGATATTGTTCTACTTGTCTGATTTTGTTTTTGTTCCCTGTGATTTTGGTACCATATCCAAGAAATCATTCCCAAAACCAATGTCATGAAGTTTTCAGCTGTGTTTGCTTCCAGGATTTTTGTAGTTGCATGCTTTATGGTGAAGTCTTTAACCCATTTGGAATTGAATTTTGTGTATGGTGCAAGGAAAAGTCCAATTTCATTGTTCTGTTTGTGGATATCCAATTTTCTGAACATGTGTTGAAGAGACCACCTTTTCTCTGTTGGATGGCCTTGGCACTTTTGTCAGATATCATTTGACCATTACTCATGAGTACATGAATTCTGGGGTCTTTATTATATTATGTGAATGTATGTCCATCTTTATGCCTGTACCATACTGTTTTAACTACTGTGACTTTTTAAAAAAAATTTTTTATATTAGGTGAACAAATTCATAAATATAAATTTAAGAACATCATGATTCTTCCCACCTTATCCTAACTCTTGCCCTCCTTTCGTCCTTATTTTTTCTTTCAATTTTTTAAAAAAGATTTATTTATTGATTTGAAAGGCTGAGAGGCAGAGGCAGAGAGAGAGGTTTTCCATCCTCTTGTTCACTTCCCAAATGACCACAACGGCCAGAGCTGATCCAGTCTTAAACTAGGAGCCTGGAGCTTCTTCTGGGTCTCCCATGTGGGTGTAGGGGCCCAAGGACTTTGACCATCTTCTGCTGCTTTTCCAGGCACATTAGCAGGGAGTTGTATTGGAAGTGGAGCAGCTGGGATTCAAATTTGCGCCCATAAGGGATGCCAGCACTGCAGGTTGCAATCTCGCTGGCTATGCCACAGCACTGTCCCCTTTTTCAGTTTTTACAATGATATACTTTCATTTTATTTCATAATTGTAAGATTAACCCTCCACTAAATAAAGAAATTATATGTAGAGAAACCACTGTTCTTTAAGAGTATAGACAAGGGCTATAAACTATAATCAAATCTCAAAAGTCAGTTCTGCTTATATATATTACATTGTTTTGTACTCTGTATATTAGTTACCACACAACAGGGAAAACATGATATTTGTCTTTTTAAGACTGGCTTACTTTACTAAGCATAATGGTTTCCAGTTGCATCCATTTCATTGCAAGACAGGATTTAATTCTTTTTTTATGGCTGAGTCGTAGTCCATAGTGTATTGAAACACCATATTTTCTTTATTTGGTGATCAGTTGATGCACATCTGGATTGAATCCATATCTCAGCTGTTGTGAAATGAGCTACAATAAACTTGGGGGTACAACTAACTCTTTCAAGTGCTGATTTCTTTTTTTATTATTTATTTAATTTTTTTGACAGGCAGAGTGGACAGTGAGAGAGACAGAGAGAAAGGTCTTCCTTTGCCGTTGGTTCAGCCTCCAATGGCCGCTGCGGCCAGCATGCTGCAGCCGGTGCACCGTGCTGATCCGAAGCCAGGAGCCAGGTGCTTCTCCTGGTCTCCCATGTGGGTGCAGGGCCCAAACACTTGGGCCATCCTCCACTGCACTCCCGGGCCACAGCAGAGAGCTGGCCTGGAAGAGGGGCAACCGGGACAGAATCCGGCGCCCCGACCGGGACTAGAACCCGATGTGCCGGCGCCGCAAGGTGGAGGATTAGCCTATTGAGCCACGGTGCCGGCCTCAAGTGCTGATTTAATTTAGTTTGGGTAAATTCCCAGGAGTGGGAATGGCTGGGTCATATGGTGGATCTATTTACGGATCTCTGCGCAACCTCCATATTGTCTTCCATAATGGTTGTACTGGTTTATGTTCATACTAACAGTGTACTAGGGTTTCTTTTCCCTCATTTCTTCAGCAGCACTTAACTGTTTTTTAATTTTTGGATGATAGCCATTCTAACTGGGGTGAGATAAAACTTCATTGTGGTTTTTATTTGCCTTTCCCTGATGGTTGTGTTTAAAAAAAGAAAACCAAATCTGTAAAAACATTTAGAAGTAGTAAAGAAAATTTCTTTGTGATGTCAAGGATTTCTAAGGCATAAAAAACACAGAACTTTATTTTTTATTTTTTTAAATTATTTATTTGAGAAACAGACTGACAGAGAGATGGAGACAAAGAAGGAGAGATCTTCCATCTGCTGGTTCATTCCCTAAATGCCATCTATAGCCAGGGTGAGACCAGACTGAAGCCAACAGCCCAGAACTGTATCCAGGTCTCCCATGTGGTGGGACTGTCTTTCACTTGGGCCATCATCCATTGTCTCTCATGTATATTAGCAGGATGATGGAAGTGCAGAGTAGCTGAGACTCAAACCATCACCCTGACATGGGATGCTGCAGCTTAACTTGCTGTGCTGCAATGCCTACCCACAAGCACAGGCTTTAAGATATAAAATTAGTAGATTTGCCCATAACAAAATTAAATTCTTCCATTAACAAAGTCTCCATAAGGAAAATAACATGTGCGAGAATGGAAATTTTTGTGTGTGATATACAGCCAAAAATATATATATAAAGAGAGAGGTAAAATATAATGGGAACTTTTACTGACATGTCATAAAAGCACAAATACTCAATAGAAGAGACAGACGTAAGGCTGAATTTGAATATGTGTTGAAATGGTGTTAGTACATTGCCATTGGTAATATTGTTAGTTGAAATATTTTGTAATACAGTTGTCCTTCATTTGCAGGGTGCAGTGTTAGCTGCAACTGTGCTGTTGGTGTCCTAACGTGACTTTTGATTAATGTACACTGTGCAAAGTGAAGACTGTATATCAAATTTTAATGATTTACTAGTTTGATTTTGTTTATATTTGATTTGTAAACCCCATCTAATTGGCAGGTTTTCTTTTTGAAACTTCCTGTCTTTCCCAAGAGTGTTAGTTTGGGGCTGCTACTTTCTCTAAAGGTACAGTTCTTTGTATCCTGATAGAAGAAGGATCATAGCAAAGTTGGTATAATAGCTTTGATTATTCCATAATATGAAGGATCATCTTTCAGAGTGTTGGTTTTGTGTATTTCAAGTCAAATTATTTATATAAAAATATGTATTTACTGGAAATTCTTCTCCCCCTCCTGTATTTTCATTTCCATAGTAATCACCAAGATGTGGAGTCAAGAACAACTGAGTCTACAGAATCAAGCACCTCAGACTTGCCTTCAGAAGTTGAAGTTTCAGCAACGTGTGAGCTAAATAATGCTGAAAGTCCTTGTATAGAAGAAAGGAATGCTGACCTAAAGAGTAAATCACTGTAAGTTTTTATATGGTAGGATTTTTTGTTTGTTTCCAAAAGTTTGATAAGGTCCTTAGATGATGATAATGTTGTTTTATATATAGATTAGGTTAACTTGTAGACCATTTAACATATAATTATGCTGTAGTGTATTAAGAGTCTGACCTCAAGATTTTTCACTTCATATTTTATAACAGATGTCTGATATATAATAGTGATAATATAATATATAATATATATAATATAATATAATATAATAGTGATAAGAGTTTTAGCAAAGTATTAACATGATAGAATTTGAAAATGATTTGAAATACAAGGATACTTCAGAAACTTCATAGAAAATATGTAGTATAGAAAACCATGCACAGATTTCAAAATTTTTTTACACCAAAGTAAATTTATCTTTTAATTAGTTTTTCTACATACTTCTGATTTATATCTGCATTTCCTATGATAGTTCTCTCTTTTTTGGCTGGAGTTATTTTTCATGCATTTTATCAAAGTAATAGATTTTGGTTTGACTTTAAGGAGGTGCATATGCTTTCTGGTATGCAGATACTGGTTAAATTAGTATCTTTACTAGCAATAGGATAAATGTACTATCAGAATCTCCCTTTGAAGATACATCTGAAGATTTCAGAGTTTCCTTTTTTTTTCCCCCTGGTAACTCCTCACATAATGGGCTTTAAAGATATTCAGTAAAGCATAGTCACGTCAGGAATTAAGCTTTCTTTCTTTTTTTTTTTTTTAAAAGATTTGTTTATTTGCAAGTCAGAGATACAGAGAGAGGGGGGGAGAAACACAAACAGAGAAGAGAGAGAGAGAGAGAGAGAGATCTTTGATCCGTTCATTCACTCCCCAAATGGCCACAATGGCTAGGGTTAAGCTAAGCTGAGGCCAGGAGCCAGCTCCTCTGGGTCTCCTACAGGTCCAGGCACTTGGGCCATCTTCTGCTGCTTTCCCAAGCTATCAACAGGGAGCTGGACTGGAAGTGTAACAGCTGGGACATAAACTGGTGCCCATGTAGGATGTTGGCATCTTAGGTGGAGGCCTCACCTACTATGCCACAAAGCTGGCTCCAAAACTTTTTTTTTTTTTTTTTAAGATTTATTTATTTATTTGAAAGGCAGAGTCACAGAGAGGTAGAGGCAGAGAGAGAGAGAGAGATTTATCCTCTGGTTAACTCCCACAGATGATTGTAACAGCTGGAGCTGGGCTGATCCGAAGCTAGGAGCCAGGGGGCCTAAGCACTTGGGCCAACTTCTACTGCTTTCCCAGGCCATAGCAGAAACTGGATTGGAAGTGGAGCAGTTGGGTCTCAAACCAGTGCCCATATGGGATACTGGCACTGCAGGTACAAGCTTTACCTGCTATGCCACAGTGCCAGCTTCTTTTTTTTTCTTACTTTTAATTTATTTGAAAGGCAAAGAGATAGAGATGTTCTGTCCATTAATTCACTCTTCAAATGCCTTCAACAGCTAGGCCTAAGCTAGGCCAAAGTTAGGAGCTGTAACACAGACTGGGGTTCCTGTGTGGGTGGCAGGGACCCACACCTGTCATTACCTGTTGCTTCCCATGATGCACATTACCAGGGATCTGGAATTGGGAGTGGAGCTAGGACTCAAATCCAAGCACTTCCTTATGGGGAGTGTACTTTTTTTTTTTTTTTTAAAGATTTATTTGAAGGAGTTAGACAAGGAGAAAGAGAGAGAAATCTTGCATCTGCTGGTTTATTCCCCAAATGGCCATAATAGCCAGAGCTGTTCTGGTCCAAAGCTAGGAGCCAGGAGCTTCCTGTGGTTCTCCTTCATGGATGCAGGGGCACAAAGATTTGGGCCATTTTTCACTGCTTTCCCAGGTGTATTAGCAGAGAACTGGATTGGAAGTGGAGCGGCCAGGACTCAAACCGGTGTCTGTATGGTATGCTGGTACTGTAGGCTGAGGCTTAACCTTCTGTGCTACAGCGCTGGCCCCGGGATTTGTACATGCTAAGCGTCATTTGTCCCCTGCTCCTACTTCCTAATTTCTTCAATTAAAATTTAAATCAGTCTTTGAAATAGTCAATACTTTTCTTTAGTTCCAACATCAACAAAAGTATGATACAGTTATAAATCTCCCCCTGCCCCCGACTCTTTCTTTTCATTTTTAACAATTTAACTGGTGATATATTTCATGCATTATTTCAGAGACTTTCAAAACATATACTTGCAGGCTAATACAAATTTATGTTTTTACTCTTTGGAGACCTGATAGCATACCACACTATACTGAACATTCTATAATTTTTTTAACATAAAGATCTTCCTTGTTTTTTTTTTATTGCTTAATAGTGATTTATTGTACAGATGTAGTATATAATATCAGTGTCCTATTAATGGCTTTCTGTGTTGTTTTTTTTTTTTTTTTTAAGATTTATTTATTTGTAGGAGGCAGTTTTACACATTACACCACGGTGCCAGCCCCAGTGATAACTATTTTGTAGGAGCTCTTTACATTTAGCAAAGTTAACCTTATGTCATGAGTAGTAGTTTGGCTTCTGACTTAGCTTTGATGTGGCTTTGTGAAAGTTTTGACATTTGTGTTGTCAAATTTCAATTTTTTTTCTTTCTCTTTTTTGGCTTTTTATATTTTAGAAAAGCGTACCTTACTTCAAAGCTGTTTATTCTGTGGTTTTATTTAAATCTTTATTTGTAACATAGTATGAGTCAAGGAATGAAGCTAATGTTATTTAAAAATGTTTTATTTTCTATTTCATGTTTATCCTCACTATTTTGAGATGTTACCTTTATTGTAAGCTGAAATTGTGTGTTTTGAAGTTATTTTCTGTTTTGTTTATCTGTTCATATATTATAAACATGAGTTTTAATGACTGGTACTGAATAGTGTGTTTTTTAACATTTGATAGAACAAGTTAGTCCCTTTGTCCGTTTTCTTTACTACTCTTATTATAAGAAAGCTCTTAAAGTTATTTTGGTTCTGAGTTATTTTAGAAATACATTTGAATTTATCTTCATATTAATTGCAATTTAAATAATATTTTTTAGGGAAACTGAGCAAACAGAAAATGTTAAACCAGTGTTGAGAGGTCGACTTCAGAGACCTAAACCCAATTTATCAAGGGCAGTTGGGAAGAAATCTGTTCTTTCACAAGGCAAAGCAGACACTGAGAACAAGAATTCACTTCCTGAAACTGTTGAAAAGGTAGGTAGTGAAAGACTTTATGGAAATAAAAATTTAAAAATTTTCCCACGACTGTGGGAATAAAAATGTTTCCTTATAATCACAAAGTATTGTTACTAATACTAATACTAATACTAATACTAATACTAATACTAATACTAATACTGGTTGTATGTTAACATTAGATTTGTTTCTGCCTTACTAGTTTCCAGTTTACATAATTTTATTTAGAACCTGGCACATATCATTTCAGATATCTTTAGTGGTGATAAATCTGTCTTTTGCCTGCTTATTTGAAATTTTTATTCAAAATATTTCTTAAACCAGCTTTACATTAAATTTTACTTAACAACTCTAAACATCTAAACAGAGTCACATTCTTATTTGTCCTTTGTAAACGTTCTCTCTGTGTAAACATTTATCTAGTTTTTTAATTATCATGTGTATAACACAGTTTTTGTTGTTGTTCTGGAACTATTTATATATTGAATCTAACTGATCTTTTTAATTGCCTTATCAAGGAAAAGTATTGATGTAGTTAGCTATTTCTCGAATGGTGGAGACTTAGATTGCTTCCTATTTTTTTTTTTACATTTTATTTGAGAGACACTGAGGAGCTAATTCTGGGTCTCCCTCGTGGATTCAGGAATCCAAGTACTTGGGCCATCTTCTGTTGCTTTCCCAGGCATACCAGCGGGGAGCTGGATTAGAAGTGGAGTGGCCAGGACTTGAGCTGGCACCCATATGGGATGCCCTTGCCCTCAGGCAACCATTTTACCCACTAGGCTATAGCACCAGCTCCTCATATTTTTATTTTATAATTGTATTATAATTTTGTGAAATGTTTCTTGAATTCTAGAAAATTTGGAAAATATAAAAGGTAAAAAATATAAAACTTCCTTATAACTTTATTATCCGAATGCAGCTAATCTTTTTCATATATATCCAGATTGTCTTCTACAAAATCAAGTAATAGTATCAGTTGAGTTTTGTATTCTTTTGTACTGAACATTTCATAAATATTTATCCATGTTGTTAAACATATTTGAAAACATGGTTTTTAGTAACTTCATAATAGTCTGTCAGTGGGATATAAGTTTATTTAACCATTTTTTCACTGTTACAGATTTTGTCTGTTTACAATGTTTTTTTTTTTTTTTTTTTTTTTTTTTGACAGGCAGAGTGGACAGTGAGAGAGAGACAGAGAGAGAAAGGTCTTCCTTTGCCGTTGGTTCACCCTCCAATGGCCGCCGCTGCAGCCGGCGCACCGCGCTGATCCTGGCAGGAGCCAGGAGCCAGGTGCTTTTCCTGGTCTCCCATGGGGTGCAGGGCCCAAGCACCTGGGCCATCCTCCACTGCACTCCCTGGCCATAGCAGAGAGCTGGCCTGGAAGAGGGGCAACCGGGACAGAATCCGGCGCCCCAACCGGGACTAGAACCCGGTGTGCCGGCGCCGCAAGGTGGAGGATTAACCTATTGAGCCACGGCGCCGGCTTACAATGTTTGATATTTTATAAAATGTTCCATGTATATTCTAGTTAGTAATTAAATCATTTTCCATTTGTTTTCTTAAAACAGTGTCTTTGAAATGATATGGGCATTTTTAAGACTGTATATTGACAGAAAGATTTCTAGTAATGTATGAGATTATTTTATATCATCTGCATTTAGGATTTTTAGAAAAATCTGACTATCTGTGCATTTGTTTATTTCCATTTGTTTATTATAAAATTTGAGCAATTTTTATGGTATAAAAATTTAATTCACAGAATCACATGGAAAAGGATACAATGAAAACATCTGACATTTTGGGAATGGAGAATACACAGAAAGAGAACTCAGAAGCTGACCCTGTCTCAAAGTACGTATTTAGGGAGCCATGTGAAAGTAGTAACTTCAGGAATGATTGTCACACCTGTTTCTATTTAGTAAGGCCTGAATTTTATTTTCAGCTGGTGTGCTTTCTCCATTTTCAAGTGTAGGTGGTGAAACATTTTAATAGTTCATTCTATACTTGACATTGTAGGTATAAATTATGAGTCCATTGAGTTTACAATTACCTTTCTCAACTTTTAACAAAGTCTTGTTAAATAAATGCATAGTTAAAATTATATTCCTGGATAATTTTATTTATACAAGGGACTTTAAAAGAGAAAATTGAATCTGAAGTAGAGGTCTAGGACAGCCCTCATTCCATTGTGAATCTGACCAATAGATTCTGGTCTGTTCCAGGGGCTGTAGTTCCTACTGTAATTTGGCACTAATCCCCTAGAGTTGTACATTATACGGTAGTGTCCTGATTGAGAAATAGTATAATGTGCTTGTCACATGCAGATTTTTCCAATTTTATAATGAAAATTTGATTTTAAAATGCTTTTTATGGTCAGTCTTCCAGGATTATGTCTGTCCCAAAAAGTATAGATATATGAATATCTTTGAAGGTATTCTTGAGGAGTTATTTTGTATTCAAATATTATTTTATATTCAAATGATATATGAATATCTTTGAAGGTATTATTGCGGAGTTATTTTATATTCAAATATTATTTTATATTCAGGTGGTTTCTTTATTCATACCAGGGAGAGGGACATATTGAAAAACAAACTTGTAACTTCAGAATAAACATTGATTTCATTCTTTTGTGGTTGTTCTAGTTTGAATGAGAAAGATTGTCTTCAGGAAACTAATTCACCGAAGTCTTTGAAACCTGCACGACTAATGAGGGGCCGATTGCAAAGACCAAAGCCAAATGTTGGTAATGTTGCTGAAAGAAAAATTCTTGCATCACAGGAAAAAATAGGGGCCAATGCAGAAGAGAATCAAACTGAATCATGTGTTGATAGGGACGTAAGTATTTTGATTCCTTTCCATGTATTTAAGTATGTAAGCTTCCCCTCAACTCATTTTAAAACAATATTTCTGGCCGGCACCACAGCTCACTAGGCTAATCCTCTGCCTGTGGCGCCGGAACCCTGGGTTCTAGTCCCGGTTGGAGCGCTGGTTCTGTCCTGGTTGCTTTTCTTCCCGTTCAGCTCTCTGCTGTGGCCCGGGAGTGCAGTGGAGGATGGCCCAGGTTCTTGGGCCCTGCACCCGCATGGGAGACCAGGAGGAAGCACCTGGCTCCTGGCTTCGGATCAGCGCAGTGTGTCGGCCGTAGCGGCCATTTGGGTGGTGAACCAACAGAAAGAAGACCTTTCTCTTTGTCTCTCACTCTGCCTGTCAAAAAAAAACAAAACAAACAAACAAAAAAAAACCAATATTGCTACATATTTTTGTTCATCATTTATTAAGTTTATGGTCAAAAATTCATAGCCAGCAGCTTTGCTAATTATAAACCCATTGTAGATTTTAAGCTTTTACACAATAATCTGCTTTATTTTACCTTGTATTTGCTTTTCCCTGTCACTCAGTGGATGTTTTAATTATTCTTTCCATTTGAAAAGATAACTAAAGATGTGATTTTTAACTCACTTAAACGGAATAAAATGTTAAAAAATTCTCCCCACTAAAATATAATTCCTAGAACAAAGATTATTTACATAGTCTTTTTGAAAAGGATTTAAGTTGGTGTGATTTAGGTTTGGATATCTCCCGTTATAGTTCCCATGATCTGTTATGCAGTGATAACAATCAGAGAAATTCAGAAAGATGGACCCAGAGGGGATAATTCTAACCAATGAGACTGCAGCAGTTAGTTGTTCTCTGATTAGGAAGAATGGGGGCTTTCTGGTAGTGTAAAAGGTATGATTTATGAAATGTTTTTAAAGAAATTTAAAGAAAAATTACCTTTTGACTATCATTTCATAAGCTTTACTATTTCCTTATCCTCATATTGAACAGAATTTTCAGTGAAATTTTTAAGATTTATGTTTTATTGTGAAACTGAAAAATTAAAAACTTTTGTTTGTTTTCAAGGTTTCTCAACAAATGGAAGATCAGTCATGTAAAAATTTAGAGTGTGAAGATACTACATCCCAGCCTGAGAAAAAGGATATTTCTCTTCAGAGTGCGCAGCCAGATGAACCCCAAGCTCTTAATGAATGTCTCAGGTAAATATCATGCTATTGATTGTATAATTTTTGAGTTTTGTATAAAGTTTTAGAACTCAGTCAGTTTTTAAAGGAAAATTAGACCGGCGCCGCGGCTCAACAGGCTAATCCTCCACCTGTGGCCCCGGCACACCGGGTTCTAGTCCCGGTCGGGGCACCGGATTCTGTCCCGGTTGCCCCTCTTCCAGGCCAGCTCTCTGCTGTGGCCAGGGAGTGCAGTGGAGGATGGCCCAAGTGTTTGGGCCCTGCACCCACATGGGAGACCAGATTGATGGAATTGTTAGTTAAGTTCTTAAAATTTCATTTTCAGGACATTTAATGTGTATCAAAGTAGAATTATAATGGACTCTCAGGCACTCAGTGTCCAGTGTCAAATAATTATTAATGTTTTGCCAAACTTTAAAGACTTGCTTATGCCTATTTTCTTATAACTGTGTTTACCTAATTAATTAATTAATTTTTTGAGATTGAGAGGAGAGATGGAGGGAGAACAAGAAAGCTCCCGTCCTCTGGTTTACTCAGCTAGTGCCTGCAGTGACCCGGGTTGGACTTGGCTTCATTGGGCTGGGCTGAAGCTAGCGTCTGGGAGCTCAGTCCCAGTCTCCTGTGGCGGTGGCAGGAACTTGCATCATCACTGCTGCCTCATAGGGTCCACATTAGCAAGTGGCTGGAATCAGGTGCTGGCGTTGTAGCTTGAGCTGGGAATCACCCAGACACTGGGATGGGATATGGGGTATGGGCCTCTAGCCACTAGACCAAATGTCTGTCCTCGTGTAAGCCTATTTACATAATAACTAACCTTGGGGCAAAAGCTAGATTTCCTGAACTACTTTAAAGGTCTTGTCTCTTGCTTCCTGTGCTTTTCTTTTTACTACCCCTCTTTCTAATTATTTTACTACTGTGCCAAAGAATCTCTGGGTAAGAACTTGTACAGATTTTAATTACAGATATTAGATTGGTTTTTATATTTATTTTTCTTAGTTTGTCAGACTGCATTTAATAATTAATGTGTCTCAGTAGGGGATAAAGTTTTCCCTGAGTGGCCTCTGGGTCTTGGAACTCTTCTGGATATTGTTTTGACTAATATCTGCTCTGATCTCAGAACTGCTCTCTCCAAGAGTAGTGCCCTTTCTGCTCTATCAAGTGAGCCTTCTGGCCTTTGAATCGCCAAGTTCCTTTCTTAAGATCCTGTGTTTTATCAAATCATATGCCTGTCTATATCCAGTAAGTAGTTTCCTTTCCCTCACTCTGAATGTTTTAGCCTTTTCCAGATGCTATGTAAGAGAAAGGGGTAGGTAATAGGGAAAAGAGTCTCAGAAGTGACGAATGCATGAAAAATTCTACTTCATTAGATAAATTAATGAAGATTTCTTTGAATTGTAATCCTCTAGGCTCATTTTGTATCCTACCTACTTTCTGTAAATATTTTGAGGTTTTGGTCATGATTGGTAATTTTTCTTATGGAATATTATAAATATTTGCAGATTATTAAACTTTTGTGATTTAGAAAAACATGCCCATGTGCTCACTTCAGCAGCACATATACTAAGATTGGAACAATATAGAGAAGATTAGTATAGCCCCTGTGTGAGGATGACATGCAGACTCATGAAGTGTTCCATATATATATATTTTTAAGATTTATTTATTTATTTATTTGAAAGAGTTACAGAGAAGGGGAGGCAGAAGCAGGAAGAGAGAGAGAGGTATCTTCATCTGCTGGTTCACTTCCCAAATGGCTGCAGTGGTCATGACTGGGCCAGGCTGAAGCCAGGAGCCAGGAAGTTCTTTTGGTGCAGGGGCCCAAGAAATTGGGCCATCTTCAGCTGTTTTCCCAGGTGCATTAGCAGGGATCTAGATCAGAAGTAGAACAACTGGAACTCGAATTGGTGCCTGCATGTAATGCCAACATTTTAAAGAAAAAAAGAAAAAGAAAAACAGGTCTATGGGCTTTGATTCAGATTTATAATTTTTTCCCTATTCCTTTGTATGTGTTCACCAAGTGTGAATTTCTTTGGTGTTCTCCTTAAATTTTGTGATATGAAGAGAGAACTTGTGGATCCATCGTGTATTTAAGTTGTAAAATAACCTAGTTCAATCATATCTGATTTCTAATCTTAGGTTCTGCCTTCAGCTAATTATGAACCTGTTATGAGCTCTGTGAGAGAAGGTCCATTTTGTTCATTGTATTCCAAGTTCTTAGCACATGCCTTTTTGCCATGTAATAGGTGTTTAGAAATTTTTTTGACTTAGTATTCATGAACTCCAAGAAGTGTGACATATGTTTATTTTTAAGCCATAAGAATAAGTTACTAAAGTCCTTTTATTACTGAGAAACAAGCACATGGAGTATAATTATAGCGTTTATACTTATATGTTACAATCTGAAACAGTTAAGTAGTGAAATTACTAAAACATCCTTTGCTTAAGACCCATGTTTAAAGAACATTCCAGTGTTTAAAATGTGACTTTATAGTTTATCTTTTCTTATGACACCAAACCAAGATGTTAGCATAGAACTTCACTCTAGAAGCAGTTTCTGGGTGGAGTTTAAAAGTATCATAGATCAGGGAATGGAGTGACATCCTTCTAGAACTAACTATATTAAAATTTTTTTAAGATACAGGGCTTTTTTTTTTTTTTTAAAGATTTTATTTATTCGAGAGGCAGAGTTACAGACAGAGAGAGAGGTCTTCCATATGTTGTCACTCCCTAAATGTCTACAACAGCCAGAGTTGAGCCAATCATAAACCAGGAGCCAAGAGCTTCTTCTAAGTCTCCTGCCTGGGTGCAGGGACCCAAGAACTTGGGCATTCCTTCCACTGCTGTCCCAGGTCGTAAGTAGAGAGCTGGATTTGAAAAGGAGCAGCCAGGATATGAACCAGCTTCCATATGGGATGTCAGCGCCACAGGCAGAATCTTAGCCTACTATGCCACAGCTCTGGCCCATTAAATTTCCTTTATTGATTACTATTACTTTTGCCTTTTTTTTTTTTTTTAGTAATTGTATCAATTACTGTAGTTACTGATACTTATTTCAGTTATATAAACAAGTATAATTTGAAAAAGTCATGCTTTTAAGGTCCTACCTTTGCTATCAGAAATTATATTGTAAACAATTGTTATTTCAGTGAAGAAAGATGGGTTAGAACCTAAAGAATGAGCATTGCCCCCCCTTTTTTTTTCTTAAAAAAAAAAAAGATTATTTGTTTGAAAGACTTAGAGAGAGGGGTATAGAGGGAGATCTTCTATCCACTGGTTCACTCCCAAGTGGTGGAAAGGCCAGGGCTGAGCCAGGAGCTTCATCTGGGTTTTTCCTATATGGGTGGCAGGTGGCCAAACATTTGGGCCATCCTCTGCTGCTTTTCCCAGGCTATTAGTAGGGGGCTAGATCAGAGGTGGACAGATGCCCATTATATATATTTTTTTTATTGATTTTACTATTATGATAGAAAACACAGTGGAGTGGTGTGGTTTTCTGGAGAGCAAAGTGCTTATTTTGGCTAATTATTGTATGCCCAATAGCATTCAGCAAAATATTGTCAAGTATTTAATCTTTTTATTCCCAGTTTGTATTGTAAATAATAAGTGATTAGAGGAATGTTTGTATAAGAAATCTTATTTTAATTTCCTTGTACTTTTGTTTCTTTGAAAGACAGAGAAAGATACAGACAGAACAGCTTCCATTCTCTGGTTCATTCCCCAAGTTCCTGCAAAGCCAGGACTAGGCCAGGCAGAAACTGGGAGCCTGGAACTCAATCCTTGTCTCTCATGTGGATTTTGGGCGCCCAGCTACTTGAACCATCACCTGCTACCTTCCAGTGCACCCATTAGCAGGAAGCTAGAATCTGAAGTAGATCTGGTCCTCAAACCCAGGAGGGAGGCAGGCATCTCTAGCTATAGTTTGATTGCTGCACCAAATACCTCTAATTTTGTTTGAGAAAGTATAGAGAGGGGCCAGTGCTGTGGCGTGGCAGGTAAAGCTTCCACCTGCAGTGCCAGCATTCCATATGGATGCTAGTTCAAGTCCTGGCTGCTCCACTTCTGATCTAGCTCTCTGCTATGGCCTGGGAAAGCAGTAGAAGATGGCCCAAGTCCTTGGGCCCCTGCACCCACATGGGAGACATGGAGGGAGCTCCTGGCTCCTGGCTTCGGATCAGTGCAGTTCTGGCCATTGTGGCCATCTGGGGAGTGAACCAAAGGATGGAAGACTTCTCTCTCTCTCTGCCTCTGCCTCTCAGTAATACTGCCTTTCAAATAAAGTCAATAAATCTTAAAAAAAAAAAAAAAAGTATGCAGAGCAGAGTTACTTTTGGTTATTAGACTTTATCTTATTCAAGTTATACTTCCATCTATCTGTTTGAGATGATTAAGCCTGTGTGGCAAAGCATGTCTGGATAAAATAGGTGGTTATGGGGTCCAACTTTGTGATGCAGCAGGTTAAGCTGTTCCTTGTAAGCACTGGTGCAGTAGGTTAAGGCATACCATATGAATGCCCGTTGGAATCCTGGCTGTTCCTCTGCCCATCCAGCTCTCTTCTATTGCCCCTGGGAATGTGGCAAAAGATGGCTCAAGTTCTTGGATCTCTGCCACCCATGTAGGAGACCCTCATGGAGTTCCCCTCTTGGCTTGGCCTGGCTTAGCTGTTGCAGTTATTTGGGGAGTTAACCAGTAGGTAGAAGATCTCTCTCTTTCTCTGCTTCTCCTCTTTCTATAATTCTGCCTTTCAAATAAATAAATAAATCATATATATATATGTATGTACATATAAACATATACATACACACATATATATACACACACAAACATACATACACACATATATATATAAAATAGGTACAGTTTGTAGAAATAGGTGACACAGCTTGCTCTACCTGTAATGCATATTACTGGAGAGTCTTCTCCAGTCAATATTTGTGTAGGATGGTGTGCATGACAGTTGGAAGAGGACTATTCAGGGCCAATTAACTGCCACTCTGATTGATCTTGCTGATAGTTATTGCTATATTTGTCTGTATAGAAGTAAGTATATTTGTCTTAAACTTTTACTATAATTTTAAAGAATTGACATTTTCTCTCATTTAAAAATTTTACTCAGAGATTCATGAGATTTCCTTATTTTTTTAAACTTCAGTGTTTCTAATATTTTCATAGTTGATTCCTCTTATCATCCTCTCTTCAACTGACAGTTTGCTTTAAAATTTATATGTCTTCTTTTCAAATAGCATTCAAGAGAAAAATAAAGCCAATATACACAAACAAATTCCAAGTTTAAGGACTAGATTTCAGAAACCAAAGCCAAATATAGGAAGAGGAACTGGAAGGAGAGAAATTTGTTCAAAGGAAGAGGTACCTGGGGAAATTCTTGTCTCTGGAGAATTGACAGCAGCTTTGGGAGAAACTGTAAGACTAGACACCCTGCCAAGGGAGAATGTACCAGTGGAGACCACTACTACCAAAGAACTGGAGTCAGATTCAAAAGAAACTGGAAGAAACATCTCTCCCAGGGAGAAGGTATCAGAAACGGGTGATGTCACTGTAGAAATGGAAACATATTCCAAAGCAGCTGGAAGAGAGGCTTCCCTGATGGAGGGGGTGTCAGAGGTGAATGATGCCACCAAGCAAATAGACACAGTGTTGGAAGAAACTGAAAGAAGAGAGGTACCCCCACTGGGGAGCATCCCAGAGGAGATCAAGTCTGCAGGTGAAACGGAGGTAGATTTGAAAGAAATTGAGAGAGAAATGCCCCCAAGGGAGATGATACCAGAGATGGTTGATGTCATTGAAGAAAGGGAGGAAGTTTTGGAAGGAACTGAAAGAAGAGAAATATCTTCACTGGTGAAGGCCTCAGAAGAGGTCAGAACTATAGGTAACATGGAAACAGAGCTGAAAGGAATTGTAGAAGTTTCTCAAAGGGAAAATGTACCAGTGGAGATCAGTGCCACAGAAGAGAGGGAGGATAATGTGAAAGAAACTGGAAAAAAAGACATTTCCCTGTTGGAAGAAGTACCAAGAGAAGTAGCTGCCACTGAGGAAGCAGAGGAGAATTTGGAAGAAACTGTAGAAGGAATTTCCTTGAAGGAGCGTGGATCTGAAAGCATCCTTATTGAGGAATCGGGGGCAGATTTGGAAAAAAATGGAAAAGTAGCTGTTTCTCCAAGGCAAAATAAGCCAGAGGAGACATCCCGCCAGACTGAGACAGATTTAATGCAGAGCAATAGTGGTGACTGCAGCAGCACTGTGCCTCCACCAGATATCAAAGTATGTATTTTTCTGCCCTTTAAAACAATTTTGAATAGTTTCTCGGAGAAAACGTTCCAAAAATAATTCTATAATTATTGCCTGTAAGTTTAGCAAGGCTTATACTCTCTAAAAATTAGTTTTTTTTTTCTTAGCCCTAAATTTGTATCTGAGGACCTTGAAGAAACTCTATAATTTTTTTAAACTTAAAAAAATTTTAGTTGTGGAAAAGTGATGATTTTTTTAAAAGATTTATTTATTTATTTGAAAGGTGGAGTTACACAGAGAGAGAGACAGGGAGGGAGGGAGGGAGGGAGGGAGGACTTCCATCTGCTAGTTCACTCCCTAGATGGCCACAACAACTGAAGCTGCGCTGATCCGAAGCCAGGAGTCAGGAGCTTCCAGGTTTCCCATGCAGGTGCAGGGGCTCAAGGACTTGGGCCATCTTCTACTGCTTTCCCAGGCCATGGCAGAGAGCGGTGGCTTTACCTGCTACCCCACAGCACTGGCCCCAGTGAGGATTCTTTTAAAACATTTGTTTATTTTTGTTTAATTGAAAGGTAGAGAGAGACATACACAAATAGAGACAGAGCAAGATCTTCCATCTACTGGTTCACTTCCCAAATGCCTGCCATAGCTAAGGCTGGGCCAAGCTAAAGCCAGGAGCCAGGAACTCAATCCACCTCTCCCACATGGGTGGCAGGGCAAGGACCCAACTACTTGAGCCATCACCTGCTGCCTTCCAAAGTGCGTTAGCAGGAATCTGGAATTGGAAGCAGAGCCAGGACTTGAACCCAGGCACTAGGCACTCCAGTATGGGATGTGAGCATTCCAAGTGGCGTGGTTTTTTTGTTGTGGTTTTAAGATTTATTTATTTCTTTTAATGGAATTACAGAGAGAGAGAGAGAGAATCTTCTATCCACTGGTTACTCCCCCAATGACTGCAATGGCTAGAGCTGGGCCTTGTCACAGCTGGGGCTTGAACTGGTACCCATATGGGATACCAGCACTGCAGGCAGCTGTTTAACCTGCTGTGCCACAGCAGTGGACCCCTATTTTTTTCTTAGATAAGAAAATTATGGTTTGGAAAATTCATAATATATAATTTTAAAGGAAGAGTTTCTTTAATTCTAGATAATTTTTAAAGATTTGTTTATTTATTTGAAAAAGTTATACAGAAAGGAGAGAGAGAGAGCAAGAGAGACACGTCTTCCATCCAGTGGTTCACTCCACATTTGGCCACAAGTGCCAGAGCTGTGCTGGTCCAAAGCCAGGAGCCAGGAGCTTCTTCTGGGTTTCCCATGTGGGTGCAGGGGTGAAGGACTTGGGCCATCTTCCACTGCTTTTCCAGGCCATAGCAGAGAGCTGGATCAGAAGTGGATCAGCCGGGTCTCGAAGTAGTGCCCTTATGGGATGCTGGCACTTCAGGTCAGGGCATTAACCCACTGTGCCACTACGCTGGCCCCTTGAATTCTAGACTTAACATTTGTAAGTTAAATTTTATTTTTATTAAAATGTGAACAAACAAGTTCTGGAAACTTTAAAGGAATGTGTTTAGAATAGTAATTTTTTGTCTGAAATTATGGAATGCTTAATAATTATACATATATGTATGCTGATTTATGCTTTCCTGTGACTATTCCTCTAGAACACTAGCAGTGAAACCCTGTCAGTGCTGTATACGGCACCTGTGGAAGAAAACAGGCACTCTGAGAAAGAAGAGTTGAGTCCCTTAAATGACTTGGAGGCCTGTTCACAGACTTCTGCTGAAGTCAGTGAAAAAGAAGACCAGAGGATGCAACTGCCAGATGCTGCAGAGCCTTTTTCAGATACCAATTTAAGGTACAAGTGTGTACATCTGTGTGCTTTTAAAGAGCTTGTGAGGTTAAACTAAGTGTGGCTTCAAAGCAGAACGGATGCACGAGAGTGTCAGTGATTTTCAGATAGTTTTAGAAATCTTGGGAGAGGGAAGTGTGACCAATCTGGTAATGCATTGTAAGCGTTACCAGTATATACGGAACTGTATATAGCACTTACTCCTAAGTCAATACAGGTTTGACAGACCAGTCTCTTCTTTGGGCAAAAACGATGTAATTCCTAGGCTTATACCTGGATTGTAACTCATGTTTTTCAAAATATACCAAATAGTTCTGTTTACTTTTCTGTTAAAAATTAGAATTTAATGTTTACTGCAAATCTCTAAGGTTGTCAAAGACTCTGCTCCCACTGCCTCTTCAGTTCATTCTAATGTTTGGTAATTCTTGTTCCAAAAGCATATCTCTTCCTCAAGAACAGAAGCCACAAGAAGTTAAACCTGCAACTTTTGTGAGAAGTCGATTTAAAAGACCGAAACCAAATTTAGCAAGAGCAGCTTTAAAGAGAGAGACTATAGAAGCAGGAAAATATGCACCTGGAAAGAAATCAGAAACTGATAAAATGGAGACTGTTGTAGTACAACAGGGCAGTGAACAAGCTAATACTCTCCCTTCCCAACAAGTGAGTAGTATTTAAATGGAGCGTGTGCATGTGCATGTGCATGTGCGTGTGTGTGTATGTGACTAATTACTGTGGTCAACAAAAAAAGCCCCTGGATTAAATTTCATCAAATAATTTTTTATCTGGTGTGGTAGTTATTCCAGGGCATATTGTGCCTCCTTGTTCCTCAGAGTTTGTGTGAGTCTCGAATGTCTGATCACAGACAAGTGTGTTGTGGGAAGGTCTAAGCTATACTTCAAGTCTTGGCTTGTGTGACCATAGCTAAAGGAGACAATAAGTATATTTCATTCTATTGTGGAGGCAAAATGCAAAGTTTTATATGAGTTAAAGTAAGTATATTCTTCGTTAACTTGGTCCATAGCAGATTAAGTTTGTGTGATCCAGAGATGAAATGTTACCACTCATAAATTGAGTGTTTTATACCTAAAAAGTACTTTTTAGAATTAAAATTCTTATTTTATTTCTTAAAATGGCTGTTTTTTACAATGCATCAACATTTTCACTTTTTCTCCTAATTTTATATTTATAAAAGATAAGTTACTTTTTATTATTTTTCTGATTACAAAGATGTCAATTTTGAAAAATACATATATTCCAAAAAATGAGAGTTCTTTATATTGTTTCAGCCCATCCTCCCAGGATAATCATATAGCAATTTGAATATATCTACCCATACTTTTCCAGATAGTTATTTATAAAATAAAAAAACATACAAATATTTCTATTTTACAAAACTGGCATCATTCTTTGCTTTCTGCTTTTTCCCTTAAAACAAAATTGTGAACATCTCTTTGGATTGTTACAAAGAAATTTATCTTCTTTTAAATGACTGTGTACTGTTGCGTTGTAAAGAATTAAGGTTTATTTATTTAATCCTCTACTAATAGATTTGTCTTTCTAGTTTTTCATTTTTGATTTCTTTTCTCTGTTTTCTGTTTGGTGTTTTAAATTGTCACAGTTGTATTTACATTTCTAAGTACTTGTTTGAGAGTTTTTATAAATAAAGATTTTATTTATTTATTTGAAAGGCAGAATAACAGGGAGAGAGAGGTTTTCCATCTGCTGGTGCACTTCTCAAATACCTACAACAGCTGGGGCTGGGCCAGGCTGAAGCTGGGAGCCAGGAACTCTATTGGGGTCTCCCACATGGGTGGCAGGGACCCACATCCTTGGACTATCATTCTCTGTCTTCCAGAGGCATGAGCAGGAAGCTGTCTCAGAGGCACAGAGTATCCTGGACTGGAACCAAGCACTCCTGCCATATGGGATGCACACATCCAAAGTAGCAGCTTAACCTGTTGTGCTACAACTCCTGCCCCTGTTTGAGTATTTTAGAAAACAAATTTATAGACATGGAAATGCTGGGATTTTTAAAATTTTGGTAGATACTGTTGTCTTCTACAAAGAGTAGATCAATCAATTTATTCTACTAATAGTAGATGAAAGTTTTTATTTCCTTATTCTTTCACCAACCGTGGATGAATTTTTTTTCCTGCATTCTAGGCTGTGGCTTCCCTTATGCCATCAAGAGGAAAAGAAGAATCAGATGGAAAAGAAAAGGAGGACACTGTGATGCTGCCGTGTACACAAACTGAAAAGGACCTGTTACCTTCAGGTTCTTATGAACCTGAAGAGAAGTCTCAGTCAGCAGAAACCCAAGAAGATGATGTGGCTCTTTCCAGTGGGTAAGCCATGCTATTTCTTTGAAAATCTTTTTCATATTATTAAAACATACTAATATATTTAAAATGTGAATATAAATAACACTTGCTTTATTTTTATTGATGTGTCAGACATAGAAAATCAAATTGTGTTCTAAACTTTTTAATGCTTGCCGGCTTATTTCATTATGAGTTGTGTTAGATCTTACACAGAGCAATTCATTCATAATATATATATATATATTTAAGGTCTATATTTCTTTTAAAAATTGATAAAAATTAATAACATTTATATATTGCTTTAATCATTTTGAAATATATAGTCCAGCGGCATTACATATCATCTTCATTGTTGTTTAGTTATTACCACCATCTGACTCTGGAACTTTTTTATCTTTGCAAACTGAAATTCTATATCCATTCAATGTGAACTCTGCATTCTTTACTGCTTTCAGTCGCTGGCACCCAACATTCTACTTTCTGTCCCTATAAATTAGTCTACTTTAGGTATATAAAATATGCTATTACCTCTTGAGAATTGAAATAATTATTTTTTATAAAATAAGATATATTTATGGAAAGTTTATTAGAGGAAATTTACATTTTATATTTCATTCCAGTTCTCAACTTTTTAATCGTTAAGCATCCTCTCTCTCTACTTTTCTAGAACTCAGAATAAAAATGCCTTTCAACAAGAAATGAAGGAAAGTGTTATCCAAACTGTTCAACCAATAAGGGGCCGACTTCAGAGACCCAGACCAAATTTAAGAAAGGCTGGACAAAGACAAATAGAAAAAAGTGAAGCCAAAAGTGTAAATCAGGAAGAAAGAGCAGTACTACAAAATGATGAAGCTAATGAGAAATCCCTTACTGTGGTGAGTTGTATTAAAATCTCAAGTGATAGCTCATACTTGACTTAAAGTCATCTGACTCTTATTCTACTCAGTGAATATATAATACATCCAATTTTGTTTCAGATTTGCTGTTCTGGCTTTTAAGTGCAAATAGATCTTGTTTTCTTAACTATTGAAGTTATTCATTATGAAATGTTCAATCACTTAAAATACTATAATAAACACCCCTCAAATCTACCCACCCTGAGATAACCACTGAAAATCTATTTTTATTTATTTATTTATTTTTTGACAGGCAGAGTGGACAGTGAGAGAGAGAGAGAGAGAGAGAAAGGTCTTCCTTTGCCGTTGGTTCACCCTCCAATGGCCGCTGCAGCCGGTGCGCTGCTGCCGGCGCACTGCGCCTATCCGAAGGCAGGAGCCAGGTACTTATCCTGGTCTCTCATGGGGTGCAGGGCCCAAGCACTTGGGCCATCCTCCACTGCCCTCCTGGGCCACAGCAGAGAGCTGGCCTGGAAGAGGGGCAACTGGGACAGAATCTGGTGTCCCGACCGGGAGTAGAACCCAGTGTACCGGCGCCGCAAGGCGGAGGATTAGCCTACTGAGCTGTGGCGCCGGCCATGAAAATCTTTTGACATATCTTACTGGATCTGTGTCTGCACACACATGTGTATACTTACGTGGAGTTAAATAAGAAAATTGTGTCTGTGTTACTGTATAACTTTCTGTCATTCATTTAATACTATGTTAAATGGTTTTTGGTGTTAAGAAATTTGGAGGTACATACTTTTTTCTGTGTAACATGATACTTTGAATGAATGACAGTGTATCAGTTTCTTATTGATGAATTTTTTTCATAGTAGTCCATGTTCGTAGTCCAAGTTGTGTAGAGCTTAAACATGTCTGTTTCAGGGGCAGGCATCTATCTTAGTGATTAACACACTTACATTCCATATTGAAGTGTCTGGGTTTGTTTCCCAGCTCTTACTCCTGATTACACAGCTTTCCTGTTAATGGAGGCAATGGTGATTACTTGACTAATCGGGCTCCTACCCATATTGGAGACCTGAAATCAGTTCCTGGCCCTTGGCTTTAGCCTTGCCCAGCCCAGCCCCAGCCTGGCTCCAGCAGGCATTTGAAGGGGTAAACCAGTGAATGGGGAGCTCTCTCTCTTGCTTTCTCTCCCCTGACACACACTCTGTCCTCTCTCTCCCTCTCTCTTCTCTGCCTCTCAGAAAAATGATTTTTTAAATATCCATTTCAGCTAGTTTTTTTTTTTCTGTGCTTTTCTCTATCAGAGCAAAATCTAGATTTAAAGTGTTTATAATCTGTATTTGATCTAAAACTTTTTTAAAAAAAACAAAAAGCAATAAACTGTTTAAATTTTTTGTTTTGCAATGGATGACTTGTAGCTTTTAAAGCACTGTATAAACATATTACTGCAGTACTCTGCAACTTTCTCATGCAAGTAGCTAATCTTGTTTTGGCAGCAGAACATGAGCATTGAATACTCAGTTTGGTTCTTAATTTAAAAAATTAAATGTCTTTCTTAGTGATTAAAGAATCTTGGGAAGTATATACTCTGCTGTTAAAATGTGGTGGGTTTGTCATGCATTGGTTTACACTCCCACTTGGGAGGACCCGTTTGAGTCCTGGCTGCTCTGCTTCTGATCCAGCTTCCTGCTAATGCATCCTGGGAAGCAGCAGATGATGGCTCAAGTACCTGGGCCCCTACCACCTCATAGGAGACTTGATGAAGTCCCAGGCTTCTGATTTCGGCCTGGCCTGGCCTTGGCTGTTATAGGAATTGGGGAATAAAGCAGCAGATGGACGATCTCTCGCTGTTGTTCTTGCTGTTGCCCTCACTCTGCCTTTCTTTAAAAAAAAAAAAAAAAGACTTAAACTAACATAGTTTTTTGTCTTTCTAGCAAAATTCACAAATTGGAACTGAAATCGAAGTTGTGTCCTCCAAAGTTTCAGAATGCAGAATTTATGAAAATGAAAGTCACGATGTGGTTCTTGTAGAAAACGTTCATGTTAACAAAATAAATGTTTTAGATGAAAAGATGAGGTGAGTTTGCTATTAATGAGAAAAACACAAAACTTTTCAAGGATAAAGGTTGAAATTTTGCATAATTAATTTTATATAACTTCATATCTTGAAATGTTATGAAAGGATAAATTGATAATTATTAAACTATTTTAAATTTGCTCTTCACATATTGTAAGAATTGCATGAATATTGTTTTCTTAATTTTTACTTTCTCTGCAAAGTTTGGCAGAAAATTCTCATTTTTGGTGTTAAGGCTTAACTTTTATAGTAGACAAGATTCTTAAATTCTTTATATCTCCTATAGAAATGTGTAATGTACTGAATAGAATTCATAAATAGGAAGTGCTGTGAACCCCTTACTGCAGTGTAGTCAGAGGTAACTACATTAGAGCCAGCTGGTAAGAACAGTGTCTTGTAAATAAGATGCACTAGTTCAGAGATGAAATTTTCTCGTTATTTGTTATTTGCAGTCTGCTTGCATATTACTTGTATTAAAGCAGAATGTGTCAGTTTCTGTAGTGAAAACACCTCTTCTTTCTGTAAGTAGCTCATGGTCCATCTAATTTACTATATTATCTTTGTCACTGGGACATGTTTTAATGAAGTATTTATTAATATTCCTCCAGGATACCTTCACCTGTGAATTTACTTTGAATATTCCATCTCCCTCTAGTTACGTAGAAAGGCCTTGGTTTTTTGGGGAAGTGCAGAAGACATGTTATTAATATTCTTCACCTTCTGTACTTAGGTGAAGCCATAGAACTTATCTGAAAATGTCATCTTCTTTTATATGTCTTTAAACAGTTTGCTTTCATTTAGACAGGTTTCTTATGTGAACTTTTAATTATTTATTTAGAGAGGAAGAGAGAGTGCTCCCATCTCTTTGTTCATTCCCTAAATGCTTACAGCGGTCAGCACTAAGCTGGGCCAAAGCATGGAACTCAACCCAGGTATCCCACGTGGGTGGCAGGGATGCAAGTACTTGAGGCCATCATCTGCCATCTCCAAGGCTGTGCATTGGTGGGAATGAAGCTGGGACCTGAACTCAACACTTTGGGATATATGTATCCTAACCAGACTGCCCCTAGTATGGGTTTTTTTGCATTTCCTTTTTTGCTTTCTCTTGAAAAGCCTTTTGATATGGTTTTCATTTTAGGATTAACACCAGTTTTTACTTTATATTAATTTCATGCTCCTTTACTGAGCCACTCATTTTTAAAAGCTGAATGTTTAAATGATTGATGTTTAGAATTGTTTTTCACAAAAATTCATTATATATGTGCTTGTATTATGATTATAATTATTACAAATACTGTATTGGACTAGTTTGATCATATGTAGTAATCGTGTGTGACAGTGATTCTACGGAACATTTTCCCCCAAATTAAAGATGAACCTGTGAGTTAGACTTGTGACACAGTGATTAAGACACTGGGTAGAGCCGGCGCCGTGGCTCAATAGGCTAATCCTCCACCTTGCGGCGCCGGCACACCGGGTTCTAGTCCCGGTTGGGGTGCCGGATTCTGTCCCGGTTGCCCCTCTTCCAGGCCAGCTCTCTGCTATGGCCAGGGAGTGCAGTGGAGGATGGCCCAGGTGCTTGGGCCCTGCACCCCATGGGAGACCAGGAAAAGCACCTGGCTCCTGGCTCCTGCCATCGGATCAGCGCGGTGCGCCGGCTGCAGCGGCGGCCATTGGAGGGTGAACCAACGGCAAAGGAAGACCTTTCTCTCTCTCTCTCTCTCTCTCACTGTCCACTCTGCCTGTCAAAAATAAAAAAAAAAAAAAAAAAAAAAAAAAAAAAAAAAAAAGACACTGGGTAGGATCTCTACTTCCTGTGTTAGAGTGCTTGAGTTTGAGTCCTGGCTCTGTTTCCTGCTAACATACGCTGTGGGGAGAGCACATGATCGCTTAGATGATTGGGGCCCTGTCACCCACACGGGAGACTGGGCTTCTGCGTTGTGGCTCTGAGTTCTGGGCTCCTGGCTTTGGTCTGGCCCAGCTCAGCTATTGTGGGCATTTGGGAAGTGAGCAGTTGGAAGAGCTCTCTCTCTCTTTGTGTCTGTCTCTGCGTATTTCTTGTGTCTCTCTGCCTTTCAAATAAAATGAGAAATGAATAAAAAATTTTGTTTTGAATCTGTTTTAAGAAAAGAACAAGGCTATTTACATCTTTTAAAAAACATTTTATTTTTTCTTTATTTGAGAGGCAGAGAGACAGATGGATTGAGAGAGCTTTTCCTCTGGTTCACTACCTGTCTGCAGTGGCCAGCATGGGCTGGGCTGAAGTTAGGAGCTGGGAACTATATCCATGTCTCTCTTGCGGGTGGCAAGGACCCCCAACTACTTGAGCCATCTCCTGAGGCCTGCAATGATCTGCAACTTGGAATTGATCCCAGGCTCTGTGATGTGAGACACAGGCTTCTTAACCAGCATGTAAAATGCCAGCCAAATACCTGCCCCCTGGGCTTCCATGCATAATCTCTTGCCTTTTTGGTCTTAGAGAATTACAGATTTTTGTCACTATAAAGAACTTTATTCATTCACTCAACACTTTATTTACAATTTTTTAAAAAAATTATTATTTTTTTAAAGATTTAATGTATTTATTTGACAGAGTTACAGACAGTGAGAGAGAGAAACAGAGAGAAAGGTCTTCCCTCCATTGGTTCACTCTCCAAATGGCTGCAATGGCCGGAGCTGCGCTGATCCGAAGCCAAGAGCCAGGAGCCGCCTCCTGGTCTCCCATGTGGGTGCAGGGGCCCAGGGACCTGGGCCATCCTCCACTGCCATAGCAGAGATACTGGATGGGAAGAGGAGCAGCTGGGACTAGAACCAGCGCCCATATGGGATGCCAGCACCGCAGGCTACCGCGCTGGCCCCTAAAAAAGTTATTTTAAAGGCAGAGAGAGAGAGAGAGAGAGAGAGACACAGAGAGCTCCCATCTGCTGGTTCACTCCCCAAATGCTCACAACAGCCAGGGCTGGGCTAGGTCAAAACCAGGAGCCAGGAACTCAGTCTGGGTCTCTCACTTGGGTGGCAGGAGCCCAACCATTTGAACCATCACCTGCTGCCTCAGAATGTGTATTATCAGGAAACTTGAATTGGAAACGGAACTGGGACTCAAACTCAGGCCAATTTTGCCCCTAAATAGTCTTTTTTAAAAACTTTTATTTAATAAATATAAATTTTGAAAGTATACCTTTTGGATTATAGCAGCTTCCCCTGCCCCCATAATCTCCCTCCCACCTGCAACCATCCTATCTCCCACTCTAGAGTCTTATACATTGATTTATTCATAGTGTCCTTTATGTCTGTTGTTTTAGGTGCTGTTAATATAAGACTGAACAAGGCAAAACATCTTGCCATTGTGAGGATTATATTGTAATTTGGAGAACAGAATATAAATGAAAAATAGGTTGAATAGAAAAGAAATAAACTAGTAGAGAAAAATTAAGCAGACTTGAGGGGGGAGGGAGTGTCATGATTGGTTCAATTTTTAATTAGCATTGCCCAGAGAATGCTTTATTGAAAGGGTGCCACTAGAGAGAAAACCTAAAAGAAATGAAGGAGCAGGTCAAGGGGATATTTGGGAAGAAGGAACAGCAATTCAAAAACAGCAAGGCAAGAGTATGCCTGGCATGATCGAGGAGCAATAAAGAGGCCGGGTTGGAACCAGATTAAACAGAGGAAGAGGAGTAGATGTGTGAGAGGTGGAGAGGATGGATTCTGTAGAGCCGTTGTGAAGAGTTTATTAGATCAGCCTGTCACTTGATATGACAGGTCATTTTTTTTTTTTGAAGATTTATTTATTTATTTGAAAGAGTTACAGAGAGGCAGAGAGAGAGAGAAAGTCTTCCATCCACTGGTTCACTCCCCAAACGGCTGCAATGACTGGAGTTGGGCCAATCCAAAGCCAGGAGTCAGGAGCTTCTTCCAGGTCTCTCACATGGGTGCAGGGGCCCAAGCACTTGGGCCATCTTCCACTGCTTTCCCAGTCCATAACAGAGAGCTGGATTGGAAGTAGAGCAGCTGGGACTTGAACTGGCACCCATATGGGATGCTTGTACTGTAGGCGGCTGCTTTACCTGCTACACCACAGTGCCAGCCTCAGGATTTTTGAGTTTTACTCTAAGTGGGACTTCAAACTAGAGGGACCTTCAAGGTCAGCCTCTCCTATTTTTTTTTTTTTTTTTTGACAGGTAGAGTTAGACAGAGAGAAAGATCTTCCTTCCGTTGGTTCACCACCCCCCAAATGGCTGCTACGGCCGGCACACTGCGCTGATCCAATGGCAGGAGCCAGGAGCCAGGTGCTTTTCCTGGTCTCCCATGGGGTGCAGGGCCCAAGCACCTGGGCCATCCTCCACTGCACTCCCTGGCCACAGCAGAGGGCTGGCCTGGAAGAGGGGCAACCGGGACAGAATCCAGTGCCCCAACTGGCACTAGCACCCGGGGTGCCGGTGCCGCAGGTGGAGGATTAGCATAGTGAGCCGCGGCACCGGCCTCTCCTAGTGATTTAATTTATATTCAGCTCAATAGACCTAGAAGATTTTGAGAAAATGATTTTTTACTTGTTCTTTTTTATGCGGACAAGCAAAGTGGACAGTGAGAGAGAGAGACAGAGAGAAAGGTCTTCCTCCGCAGGCGGAGGATTAGCATAGTGAGCCACAGTGCCGGCCGAGAAAATGATTTCTTAAAGTTACATTGGCAGTTTAGTTATTAAACTTCAGTTTTCAGGATTGATGACTTTCAAACTAGGAAATTCCTGAGTTACACAGCCAGGGTTTCCTAGAAGAAGCTTTTGTTTTATGCTCAGCCTTTGTATTTCTTAATAAGAAAGATTTAACTTTTAAACTTCCTGTGTGGAAATCCATCCCTACCCTGCTTTTTAACCATTTTTAATTCATCAAGTTTATTCCTGTTGTCAGCTGTACCATGACTGAGAGTATCAGTCTCTGTATGCTTTTAAAATTAGCTTATTCTTTTTTTTTTTAAGATTTATTTATTTATTTGAAAGTCAGAGTTACACAGAGAGGGAGAGGCAGAGAGAGAGAGAGAGGGAGAGGTCTTCCATCCGCTGGTTCATTCCCCAATTGGCCTCAATGGCTGGAGCTGTGCTGATCCGAAGCCAGGAGCTTCTTCCGGGTCTCCCATGCAGGTTCAGGGGCCCCAGGACTTGGGCCATCTTGTACTGCTTTCCCAGGCTATAAGCAGAGAGCTTGATGGAAGTGGAGCAGCCGGGTCTTGAACCGGCGCCCATATGGGATGCCGGCACTGCAGGCAGCGGCTTTACCCGCTACACCACAGCGCTGGCCCAAAATTAACTTATTCTTATGTCCTGGCATTTTGTTGTCCCTTTTGACCTCAGTTGCCCCTTGGGCTTATGTGTATATTTTATTCTTAAATACCTTTGCAGAATCACACTTGATTGTAAACATCTTGTCGTTAAATTAAATTTGTTTCTCAAATACATTAACCTATGCTGCAATGTGTTAGCCAACATTGTAACCTTGTTAGAAATTCCTGTGAATTTTCTTGGTATTTCACTGCCAACTACTTTTCTCTTTTAGGTAATTTATTTTAAAACATTATATAAGGTGAATTTTTAATGCAGATTTTTCAGCTAACTCATGATAGATACTTATAAATCCTTTCTTAGAAATATTCGAGCTTATATTAGTTTTTAAATGTCCTATTTCAGCTCCTTGCCAATTATTAAAATATTTTCCAGGATACCTTAAGATGGGTTTCCTTGGAAGGTGTGGCAACTCTATTAGATATTAGAACATTGTCTTCATCTGATTTGGCAGATGCAGAATTGAAAACCTTATGGCATTGGGCCGGCACCTCGGCTCACTAGCCTAATCCTCCACCTTGCGGCGCCGGCACACTGGGTTCTAGTCCCGGTCGGGGCGCCGGATTCTGTCCCGGTTGCCCTTCTTCCAGGCCAGCTCTCTGCTGTGGCCAGGGAGTGCAGTGGAGGATGGCCCAAGTGCTTGGGCCCTGCACCCACATGGGAGACCAGGATAAGTACCTGGCTCCTGCCATCGGATCAGTGCGGTGTGCCAGCCGCAGCGCGCTGGCCGCGGCGGCCATTGGAGGGTGAACCAACAGCAAAAAGGAAGACCTTTCTCTGTCTCTCTCACTGTCCACTCTGCCTATCAAAAATAAAAAAAAAAAAAAAAAGAAAAGAAAGAAAACCTTATGGCATTGGCTGTCAGTAAATCTGTGAGTTTTCAGGTGGGTGCTGGGAGAATGGGTTTGTCTAAAGGCTGCTCCAGAGCCAGGACAGGTTGTGACGACCGGGAATTCATGTTTTGGAGTCCAGTTAAAGGCATTTGTTTAAAGTGCTGCTATGAAATACATCTTTAGCTACTAGCATTTTGAAGATGTCTAGTTATTTTTCTGAAGATTACTTAAAGTAGCATGAAACTACACACTGAGTCAGTGACTGAAAGTTAAAAAAAAAGTTAATATTATTTTATCATTTTTCCCTAGACTCTGTAGAAAATGGAAGCTATAAAAGCTTTTATATTCCTCCTTTCATATCAGCACTGTGTGGCTTCATTTTACATGCTTGGTTTTATAGCCAATTTATATATAGTCATTTGAACATAGAATTGGTTTGTATCCAGAACTATTTGATTTAACAGCTGCTGCATTAACAAGGAATTTTGATTTTTGTTCTTCAACATGATTTGTACTTCATTCTAGACATGAAAATAAGCCATATGTTCCTAGTCCTGCACAATTGATAAGAGGGAAATTCCAAAAGGCTAAGCCAAATTTGGGAACAGCACATGGTAAGAAAGAGGAACCAGATATAGAAAAAGGCACAGCAGATCAGAGCGAGGCAAGCAAACCAGAAGATAATATACTGCAGCCTGGAGATTCTGACACTCAGCTCCTTCTAAAAGTAAGCTTGAAAAAAAATTGTTGTTTGTCAGTGATCATGAAGGATCATGAAGGAAAGTGTTAGTAAAATACAGTTTTGACTTTGTACTATTTTCATGAAAAGGGAATGATTTTATAGTACTATAAGAATTTAGAAATTCATCATTTGTGTGTGTGTTAAAGCTTAGTGTTTTGGGTCAAACCACCACACCACATTTACACAGATTGTTTCCATAGTAATGTTAGCTATTTCTTCTTAAATTTGAGGAAAAAGCTGAGTTTCTGACGTCTCTGGAGGTTTCACCAAGAAAAGATGGTGTAGGTGCTGAGGAGTCTGGTTTGGCTGAAAAAGATGCTCAGTTAGAAGAAGTTGGACCATCAGGAAATGTCGAAGAGGAAACTGTAGGCGATGAATCTCAGTCTCCCATTGTTGAGAATCAGTATCTCAGTAAACCAAGGTAATGTTTCCTTTAACAAATACTTTTGATCTAGGAAATAAAAGTTACTTTTTCTTTATAAATGTCTCACTGTAACCTAGTGATAGAGCAGAAAGATAGTTTGTTAACAGAAGTGGGGTGGATTCTATTACTAGCCTATTTCTCTCCCACTTCTCATACTTGTTTACTACAGTCTGCTTGCTTTGTTCCTAAGAGTTTTCTTTCCTAGGTTTACAGGTTTTTTTCGCTCTATTAGGCACGAACAGAACCTGACCAAAGGAGTGTGCACTCACATTACCAAAGTAGTTAGAGTGCTAATTCACATGGGGTTACAACACAAATGAAGGGTATCCTTCTTCCATAGTTTTCAAATAAAGTGGGAAGAAACCTAAATTCTCCAAAACAGCATTCATTGCTCTGATGGATGTTCTGCCTCTTACCTAATTTGTTTCTTCAGTAAAACCACTATCACTTTTTGATCCCATATTCTGTATTTATGGGTTCCATGTTTTTCATCCCTTTTTCTTCTTCTTCTTCTTTTTTTTTTTTTTTGTTTTTTTGTTTTTTTTTTGTTTTTTTTTTTAAAGATTTTATTTGCTTACTTGAAAGGCAGAGTTACAGAGAGGCAGAGGCAGAGAAAGAGGTCTTGAATTCACTGGTTCACTCCCCAGGTGGCTACAATGGCTGGAGCTGCGCTGATCTGAAGCCAGGAGCCAAGAGCTTTTCCGGGTCTCCCATGTGGGTACAGAGGCCCAAGGACTTGGTCCATCTTGTACCGTTTTCCCAGGCCATGGCAGAGAGCTGTATCGGAAGTGGAGCAGCCGGGACTTGAACTGGCGCCCATATGGGATTTCAGCACTGCAGGCGGTAGCCTTAGCCACTACGCCACAGCACCGGCCCTCATCCCTTTTTCTTCTAACAATTTTCAGTCTTGTGTTAATTTCATCTCCACTTCCATATTTTCCATGTGGAAAAAGACATGGCCCAGAATTAGAAATTCACTGTGAAAAATTTATAATCTGGCAACTAAGCTAGCTAACTCTGATTGAAGTACTAATTTTTAATTAATTCTTTTACTATCTCACAGCATAAGCTTTTAAAAGAATGGGTGGTAAATGTTTTCATTTTAATGGATGCAATTTCACTTTATCAGTTTGGTTTTCATTAAAATTATTCATGGGGCAGGTGTTTGGTGTAGCAGTTAAATCACCACTTGGGATGCCTGCATCCCATATTGGAGTACCTGGTACCAAGTCCTGGCTCTGCTCTTCATTCCAGCTTCCTGTTAATGTGCACCCTGGGAGGCAGCTGGTGATGGCTCAAATAGTTGGGTCTCTCTCACCCACTAGGAAGACCTGGATTGAGTTCTAGGCTCCTGGCTTCAGATTGGCTCAGACCTGGCTGTTGTGAGCATTTGGGGAGCAAATCAGCGGTTGGGAGATCTCATTCTCTATTTCTTTTAAATAAACAAAGTAAATAAATAAAAACATTTAAAGTTATTCTTGTGCATATATGACCATATTGTTATTTTGATTATTTAGCTATCCACAGCTGTTAAAAGAATCAAGTTACTCTAAAATTGCTTCAGATCAAATACCAGCTATCTCTTCTGCCTCTGAATGTAAGATGGGTCATAATAAAAGGAGAATGCGTAGGAAAATCAAGCCAAATGTCACCAAGGGACGTGGATCAAAACGAATTCGGGGTAGGACCTCTAAGAAGGAACCTAGAGCATCCAGGGCCACACTGGTGACTCTTCGGGCTTCCCAGGAAGAAGAGGAGGATGATGCTGAAGATTTTGATTCTTATTTTGAGGAAGAGACCTATCATCTTGCCCCAGAAGAAGTAAACAAAGCTCCAGTGTTTGTGCCTGTTGGTCTCAGGTCTCCTGAACCTGTTTCTGCTCAGATTGAGGAAACAATGGAAGAGGTAGTTTGCTTTTTTGATTCTTTATAAAGCACTTCTATCTTACTGGCTTTTTTCTCCTTTATCTCTTACTTTTTCAATTAGTGATGATTAGGATTTGAAAAATTGCTTCTCCAAATAACTTCTACCAAATATAATTTGTCTGAGGCCTAGTGAATATAGTGAATAGCTTTAAGAATCAGTAGAAGTAGGCTTACGTGGCCTGCTTTGATGACTTAGCCCCTCCAACCCTGGCCCAGCAAGGAATCAGTATAACAATGAATACTAATGACAGAAATCTGTTTATGCTTGTATGTAGAAACTACTTCATCTACTTTGTGATTATTTGTTAGAAAATTTTTGTGGATATTTCCTTTTAATTCTTTTTATAGGCTCGGGCTGAGTTCTGGTGGTTAGAGACAGTAGACAGGAACCCCACCTCACCCCTAACCCCTTTTTTAAACAAACTTGTATTTATTTGAAAGTCTTAGTGAAAGAGAGAGAGAGAGAGAGAGATCTTCCGTTCACTAATTCACTCCCCAAATGGCCTCAATGGCTGGGGATGTGCTAGACCGAAGCCAGGAGCTAGGAGCTTAATCTGGATCTCTGATGTTGGTGGCAGAGGCCCAAGCACTTGGGCCATCTTGTACTGCTTTTTCCAAGCTATTAGGGAACTGAATCGGAAATGGAGCAGCCAGGACTTGAACTGGCACCTGTATGGGATACTGGTGTCCCAGGTGTGGCTTTACCCGCTATGCCACAGGCTCTGCCCCAGCCCCTAGTTATTTGTTCAACTTAACTGACTTATTTTAGTTTGCATAATATTTTCAAGGTTTATTTGTGTTGTAATGTATTTCAGAATGTCCTTCCATTTTAAGACTGAATAATATTCCAGTGGTATAACTTTTTATTGATTTATTCATCTGTCAGTGGACACTTGGGTAGCTTCTACTTTTTGGCTATTCTAATAATGTTTTGAACATGGTTTATGGATGCTTTTTTAAACCCCTACTTCCAGTTCCTTTGGAGATGTACCAGGAGTGAAATTGTTGGGTCATATGATAATTTTCTGTGCAATTTTTTTAGCACCCACTGTAATCTTTTCCGTATGCCTACATCATTTTATGTACTAAGCAACACTGTTTAAGGATTCCAGTTTCTCACATCAGTGGTGGTGGTTTGCTAATTTTTCTCCCTATTAAGATGGTTAGCTATCCTAAAGATGTGAGGTAGAGGGACATTTTATTTCCTTCTTTTGTCTTTGATATACCAATCCAACTTTGTAACTTCACAGTTCTCTGTTCTGCCTTAATTTTTTTATTCATTTATTTGGCTTATAGACCAATATGTTTGAATCAGTTTTGTGTAAGAAAGCACTGCAACTGGATGGTACCTTTAAGATCAGCTTTTCAGGGGTCAGTGCCTTGGTGCAATATGGGTGCTGGTTTGTGTCCCAGCTGCTCCTCTTCTGATCCAGCTCTCTGCTATGACCTGGGAAAGCAGTAGAAGATGGCCCAAGTCCTTGGACCCCTGCACCTTCATGGGAGGAGACCCTTGGCAAGACCCTGGCTCCTGGCTTAGGACCTGCCCAGCTCTGGCCATTGTGGCCATTTAGGGAGTGAACCATTGGGTGGAAGACCTTTCTCTTGGTCTCTCCCTCTCTGTCTTTCTCTAACTCTACCTCTCAAATAAATAAAAATCTTTAAAAAAATACCAACTTTTCATAATATAATTTGTCTCCTCAAATCACTTGAACCTTTTAATTTATCCTAGACCTATCAGGTATTAGCAAAAATTTTTCGCTTCTGAGTAAGCACAGAACACATGAGTATTACAATAATATTTAAGGCAGAATCTTTGCTCATAGTTTCTACTGAATCATCCAACATTTTATATTCATCTTTCTGTTAGTGGAAGTATAAGAGCCAGACGATATTGTATATATTTTAGAATGTAATTAAATATCTTGTTAACCCTCAGATTATAGGGCTCTTTGAGAAACAGGCCTGCCAAATAAAGAGTAAATGCAAGTCACCCATTATTTTACATGGCTGTTGCCTTGGGTATCAAGATTCGTGCAGGCTTTGGGGTTGTGGCATAGGGCAGTTGTAGTGCAGGGATGGGATGACAGATCTTTTTAAACATCTTCAGCTTATCTCTATTACAGCATTTGTGGCCATAAATATTTAGTTAATTATGTGTCTCATTCTTTTACATGGTGAATTCATTGAGGGCAAGGACCAGACTTTGTCTTATTTGACTTGGTATCACTATATCCATAATACTTCAGTATTTAGAAAACACTGCATAAATGTTAACACGTTGAAGAAAGAAATTAGAGGAAAAAAGCGGCATAGTGGAGAGCATAGAAACATGAAATGACAGCCAGTAGGAAGATAAGCCTTAGAAAATTTGTTGACTGTTTATATTTGTCACAGACCTTTCAAAAACCTTAACTGTTTTAGATTTGCTGAGTTGTGAATTGATGAATTTTTTTACTTTTTTTTGTTTTTTTTATTTGACAGGTAGATTTATAGACAGAGAGAGAGACAGAGAGAAAGGTCTTTTCTTCCGTTGGTTCACTCCCCAAATGGCCGCTATGGCCAGCACTGTGCCAATCCGAAGCCAGGAGCCAGGAGCTTCTTCCAGGTCTCCCATGCGGGTGCAGGGGCCCAAGTACTTGGGCCATCTTCTGCTGCTATCCCAGGGCACAGCAGAGAGCTGGACTGGAAGAGGAGCAACCGGGAGTAGAACCTGGGACTAGATCCTGGCGCCCATATGGGATGTCGGTGCTGCAGGCATAGGATTAATCTAGTGAGCCAAGGTGCTGGCCCCTTACTTTTTTTAATATTTAATTTATTGATTTGAGAGGTAAAGTTGCAGACGGTGAGAGGGAGAGACAGAGAAAAAGGTCTTCCATCTCCTGATTCACTCCCCAAATGATCTTAGTGGCCAGAACTGGGCAGATCCAAAGCCAGGAGCCAGGAGCTTCCTCTGGGTCTCCTATGTGGGTGCAGGGGCCACTGCTTTCTCAGGCCATAGCAGAGCTGCATTGGAAGTGGAGCAGCCGGGACTAGAACCAGCACCCATATGGGATTCTGGCACCACAGGCAGAGACTCAGCCCACTATGACACAGTGCCAGTCCCTATGAATTTTTTTAATCATGTATGAATGAATTATTTCTTCATTTTAATAGTTTGTTTTACTTATGTGGGAAATGAAGTTTTGTTTTGCTGTTAGCAGTGCAAGAATGAAATAATAAAATTTTATTTTGACAGCTTGAGATTACTGTGAATGTTCCAGACATAGAATGCATAGCAGTTGTTGAAGATCAGCTCTCAAACACAGATGTGACTGCTCAGGAAACGAAACAAGAAGAAAATTTGAATGCATCATCATTTGTAAGCATTCATTTTTATATGTTTTGCTTTTTATTCCTTCTTTAATTTCAAATGCCTAGAGGTTTATTTTGATAGTGTTAGGTTTACAAATACTTTTTTAAGCAAATGTCTTTTTATTTCCTTTTATTTTTTTTAAAAATTTATTAATATAAAGAAGACAGATTTTATGCATTTCGTAGATATAGTTCCAGGAAGACAACCTCACTTCCTTCATTCCCGTGTTGTCCTCCAGTAACTCTTCCTCCCTCCCCTCTCTTCATCAGTATGTGCAAAGACATAATTTTAATCCACTCTATATTCACAGGCTTAATTTTCCACTAATAATATTCAACAAGTAAAAGGTAGGAAGACCACAGTTCCACAGGAGTATAAAAAGGGCTAAAAACGACAGTTATATCCCAAAGTGACTATTTTATTCCTATACTCTTTTATTTTTTGTATTCTCTATTAACTGCCACATATCAAAGAAAACATGTTTGTCTTTTTGAGACTGGCTTATTTCACTAAGCATAATTGTTTCTAGTTGCATCCATTTTATTGCAAATGCGGAGTTTCCCAATGTTTTCCTCTAGTAATTTGATGGTATCAGGTTGTATATTCAGATCCTTGATCTATTTTAAGTTGATTTTTTTAAAGATTTATTTATTTATTTGAAAGGCAGAGCTACAAAGAGGCACAGAGGGAGAGACAGAGAGAGAGAGGGAAAAAGAGAGAGAGAGAGGGAGGGAGGGAGGTCTTCCATCCATTGGTTCACTCCCCTGATGGCCGCAATGGCTGGAGCTGTGCCGATCCGAAGCCAGGAGCCAGGAGCTTCTTCCAGATCTCCCACAAGGGTGCAGGGGCCCAAGCACTTGGGCCATCTTCTGCTGCTATCCCAGGCCATAACAGAGAGCTGGATTGGAAGAGGAGCAGAGGGGACTAGAACCAGCGCCCATATGGAATGCTGGTGCTTCAGGCCAGGACTTTAACCTGCTGTGCCATAGCACTGGCCCCCATAAACCAGCTCTTCATTTCACTGATCTTTTGTATCTTTTTTTTTTTTAGTTTAAATTTTGTTTATTTCTTCTCTAATTTTAATTTCTTTCCACCTACTGATGTTGGGTTTGGTTTTTCGTTGTTTTTCCAGGCTCTTGGGTTACACTGATAGTTCATTTATTTGATGCTTTTCTAATTTCTTGATGTAGGCAGTAATTGCTATAAACTTCCCTCTTTATACTGCTTTTAATGTATCCCATAAGTTTTGATACATTATGTTATCATCTTCATTTGTTTTAGGAATTTTTTGATTTCCCTTTGCTTTCTTTTGTGACCCACTGTTCATTCAGAACCATATATGTCATGCAGTCTCCATGTGTTTTCATATTTTTTAGAATTCCTTAAGTTGTTAATTCCCAACTTCATTCAGAAAAGATACATGATATAATTTCAGTTTTGTTGAATTTGCTGAAACTTGCTTTGTGGCCTATAGTGTATGGTATAATAAAGAGAAAGTTCCATGAACTGATGAAAAAAATATGTATTTTGTAATTGTGGGATGAAATGTTCTGTAGATATCAGTTAGGTCCATTTGGTCCATAGGGTAGATTAGCTCTGTTGTTTCTTTGCTGCTGATTGATCTGTCGATTGATGAAAGCAGGATGTTGAGGTCCGCCACTGTTATTGTATTGGAGTCAGTTTCTCCCCTTATTTCCATTAAATATGTTTTAAATAGGCAGGCACCCTGGTATTGGGTGCATATACATTTACTGTAGTCATATCTTCCTGTTGAATTGATCCCTCCATCATTACATAATGCCCTTCTTTGTCTCTTAACAGTTTTTTGTCAAGTCTGTTTTGTTTGATGTTACAATGGCTACCCCTGCTCATTTTTGCTTTCTTTTAGCATAGACTATCCTTTTCTATCCTTTGACTTTCAGTGAATTTAGGCCATTTACATTCAAGGTTACTATAGGTAAGTAACTATTGGCCCTGCCATCTTTCTATAAATATTCCTATTTTGCTTTGGATTTCCTTTGTAATTTTACTAGGAGATTTTCTGCCTTCACTTTATTTTATAATAATGGTTATTATTCTCTATTTCTGGTGTAATATCATCCTTAAGAATCATTAGTAAGGCAGGACAAATGATGACAAATGGTGGGTATTTCACCTTCATTTATAAATGAGAGCTTTGCTGGGTACAATATTCTGGGTTGATGGTTTCTTTCTTTTAGGACTTGGGCTGTGTCTCTCCATTCTCTCTTAGCCTGTAGGGTTTCTGATAAGAAATCAGCTGGTAGTCTAATTGGGATCCTCTGAAGGTAATCTGGCATTTCTCTTGTGTACATCTTAGAATCTTTTCCTATGTTTTACTGTTGAAGATTTGACTATTATGTGTTGTTGTGAAGAACTTTTCTGATCATGTCTATTAGGGGTTCTGGTGTGCTTTCTGTACTGGACTGTCCCCCCCCACCACCTTTTTTTTAAGATTTTTATTTATTTATTTGACAGGTAGAGTTGCAGACAGTGAAAAGAGAGACACAGAAAGAAAGGTCTTCCTTCTGTTGGTTTACTCCCCAAATGGCCGCTATGGCCGGAGCTATGCTAATCCAAAGCCAGGAGCCAGGTGCTTTTTCTTGGTCTCCCATGCGGGTCCAGGGGCCCAAGCATCTGGGCCATCCTCCACTGCCTTCCCAGGCCACAGCAGAGAGCTGGACTGGAAGAGGAGTAGCGGGGACTAGAACCCAGCGCCCATATGGGATGCTGGTGCCACAGGCATAGGATCAACTAGTGCGCCCCTGGACTGTCCCTTTGTTTCTCCAAATTAGGGAAGTTTTCTGCTATTTGCTAAATAAGCCTTCTAATATATTTTCTCTTTCCACACCTTCAGGAACTCCTAAGACATGTATGTTTGGTTATTTTATAGTAGCCCATAAATCTTGAACACTATTTCCAGTTTTTCAAATTTTTTTCCTTCCTTTTTTTTTGTCTGAGGTATTTCCAAGGATTTGTCTTCTACTTTTGTCTTCTTTCTTCTGCCTTACCAAATCTGTTGAAACTTTCCTGTGTGTTTTATATTTTACATATTGAATTTTTCATTTCTAATATTTCAGTTCGATTTCTCTTCAGTATTTCTATCTCTTGGCAGAATTTTTCATTCATGTCATTTATGGATTTCTTTATCTCCTGAATTTGTTCTGACATCGTCTTGATCACATCAACAAAGACCCTATTTCCAATAAAGGGTTACAATCACATTATTGCAGATTAGGACTTCTTAATTTTCTGGGGGACACAGTTCAACCTACAGCATTTTCCAACTTTCATCCCGTGCCCTGGCTATAACCTCTAGTTGAATATTTAGAAGTGTTGAGAGTGGATAGTCTAATTCTGTTCCTCAGCTTACAGAGAGAGCATCCAGTCTTTCACCATTAAATATGATGTTAATTGTGGGGTTTTTTGTAGGTCTCCTCTCTCAGCTGGAGGAAAGTCCCTTCTGTTCCTAGTTTTTTGACAGTATTTTTGTCATGAAAGGGTGTGGGATATTTTTGGTTGCTTTTTTTTGTTAAAGATTTATTTATTCACTTGAAAGAGTTATAGAGAGGCAGAGAGAGAGATAGGTGTGTGTGGGGGGGGGGGGGGTTCTTCCATCCGCTGGTTTATTTCCCAGGAGCCAGGAGCTTCCTCTGGGTCTCCCACATGGGTGCAGGGACTCAAGGACTTAGGCTATCTTCCAGTGCTTTCCCAGGCCATAGCGGAGAGCTGCATCGGAAGTGGAGCAGCCGGGACTAGAACCCATGCCCACATGAGATACTGGCACCACAGGTGGTGCCCCACTTGCTACACCACAGTACTGGCCCCAGTTTTAAATATTTTATTTATTTATTTGAATGACAGAGTGACAAAGAGAGGGAGAGACAGAAAGAGAACTTACATTCACTAGTTCACCAGCAAAATGGCTGAAGTGCCCAGGGCTGGGCTAGACCAAAGCCAGGAGCCAGGAACTCCACTTGGGTATCTCGCATGGACAGCAGGGTCCCATATATTTGGACTGTCTTCTGCACCTTCCCAGGAGCATTAGCAGGAAGATGGATTGGAAATGGAATAGCCAGGCATGAACTGGTTCCCATACAGGATGCCAGTGTTGCAGGCAGCAATTTAACCTACTGCGCCAGAGTGCTAGTCCCAGAATAGATGTTTCTTCATTTGCTTTTTGGCCTTAGAACTATTTCTGGAGACTTTATTTTTTATTTATTTTTTAAAGATTTATTTATTTTACTTGAAAGTCAGAGTTATACAGAGAGAGAAGGAGATGCAGAGAGAGAGAGAGAGAGGTCTTCCATCCACTGGTTCACTGCCCAATTGGCCACAATGGCTGGAGCTGCGCTGTTCCGAAGCCAGGAGCCAGGAGCTTCTTCTGGGTCTCCCACGCGGGTGCAGGGGCCTAAGGGTTTGAGCCATTTTCTGCTTTCCCAGGCTATAGCAGAGAGCTGGATAGGAAGTGGAACAGCCGGGACTCGAACCAGTGCCCATATGGGATGCTGGCACTGCAGGCGGTGGCTTTACTTGCTGCACTACAGTGCTGGCCCCAAGACTTTAAATAATGTTGTGGATTCTTTAAAAAATTTTTTTGAAAGGTATCTCCATCCAATGGTTCACTCCTGAAATGCCATTAATAGCTAAAGCTGGACAAAGCCAAAGCCATGTGCCTGGAACTCAGTTCAGGTCTCCCATGTAGGTGGCAGGGACCCAACTACTCAAGCCATCATTTGCTGCTTCCCAGGATGTGCATTAGCAGGAAGCTGGAATTGGAAGCAGATCTAGGATCTGGACCCAGACACTCCAGTATGGGATGTGAGCGTTCCAAGAAGCAGTTTTTATTTCCAGGTTTTTGTTTTTGTTTCTTGAATTAATATCACCAATTTCATTGGAACATTGGTCAGCAGATCTCCTTACATTGTCTCTAGACTTTTGTTTTTTTTTTTTTTTTAAGATATATTTATTTGAAAGTCAGGGTTACAAAGAGAGAAGGAGAGAGATCTTTCATCCACTGGTTCACTCCCTAAGTGGCTGCAGTGGCCAAGGCCAGGTTAGGCAAATCCAGGAGCTTCATCTGTGTTTCCCAGGTGAGTGGAGGAGGCGCACACACTTGGGCCATCTTCTGCTGCTTTTCCCAGTCCATTAGCAGGCAGCTGGATTGGAAGTGGAACAATGGGGAATATGAACTGACACCCTTATGGGATGTTGATGTCACAGGCGACGGCTTTACCTGCTATGCCATAGCTCTGGCCCCAAGTCCTGGAACTTCTAAATTTATTAAATGAAGTTGCAAGTTTAAGTAATAGTATAAGGAAATTGCAGGACTCTTCAGACCTTGGTTTTCATTGGGTAAGAAACTGGCAATCAATCTGACTAGAGTTGAAGGATTTTGTTTTATGAGAAGAGGTAAAATAGGGAATTAGATATACATAGGAGTTAAAAATGTGCATGTAATAAAAGAAAAAGGTAAAATCAGGAATGAAATGAAGAATTTGGTTTCCAAGTTGTGTTATTTGAGAAATTTTATGAATAATTATAAACTAGGGGGAAAATGTGCCCACTGTGGTTACTAAAAGACTAGAAAGACAGTAAAATGTGCTGATTATTTAATGTTTATTTATTTTCATCTACTTGAAAAGCAGACAGAGAGACAGAGAGATCTTCTGCCTGCTGATTTATTCCTGAAATGCACTCAACATCTGGCCAGGCCAAACCCAGGAGCCAAAAACTCCATCTGGTTCTTGGATATGGGTGGCAGGGTCCTAAGTACTTGGGCTATCATTAGTTGCTTTCTGAGGCACAATGGCAAGGAGCTAGATTACAAATGGATTAGCCAGTGCTTGAACTGGCACAGCAATATGGGATGTGGGGATCCCAGATGGCAGCTTAACTTACTGGGCCAAAGCGCCTGCCTCAAGTATTGTACTTTTTGAGAAACGGAGCGTGTGTTTGGAAAATACTAAGATGGTGTTTATCTTTTCCCCTCTTAGGAAATGACCACCAGTGTACATACCCAAGATGAACCAGGTAACTATTAACAAGGAAATGTCTAGTTAACACTAGCTCAAAGATTTAGTAATGGTGATAGTAAGTGTGTCAGTTTGCTAGAAAGTTGGACAAAATATTCTGTTTTTGAATACATTATCTCTATGAAAAAACTTGGATTTTTGACATGTTACTTTAGAAGGCAAGTTAAAAGTGAAGTTTTTTAAAATTTAAATTTATTTGAAAGATTGGAAAAGACAGAGAGGGGTCTTCCATCTACTGATATACTTTCCATATACCCTCATCAGTCAAGGCTGAATCAGGATGAAACCAGGAGCCAGGAATGCAATCCAGTTCTCACAAGAGGGTGGCTGGAGCCCAGATACTTGAGTCATCACTGCTTCCTGCTAGTGTGTGCATTAGCAGGAAGCTGGAATTTGGAGTGGAGCTGGTACTAAAAGCCAAGCATTCCAGTATGGAATGTGGACATCCCAAGCTATGTCTTAACACTGTGCCAAGTGCCTGCCCCACAGTTAAATGTTTACTACAGAAAGGCTTGTTGAGCATTTATTTCTTCTGGGTCTACCAAGATAAGGGTATTTTCTTAGAAATAAATGCCAACAATTCTTTATTTGTAGTATTTAACCTGACAATGCACTGTCCTAATAAGGAAATAATGGAACAGCAGAAACTGTTACTAGAAGATAGATACCTGAATTAAGAACCTTTTTTTTTTTTTTTTAAGATTTTATTTATCTGAGAGGCAGAGTTACAGACAGAGGGAGAGACAGACAGAAAGCTCTTCCATCTGTTGGTTCACTTCCCAAATGGCTGCAGTGGCTGGAGCTGGGCCTATCCTAAGTAGGAGCCAGGAGCTTCTTCTGGGTCTCCCAAGCGGGTGCAGGGGCCCAAGCAGTTGGGCCATCTTCCACTGTTTTCCCAGGCCATAAGCATAGAGCTGGATTGGAAGAGAAGCAGCTGGGACACGAACCAATGCCCGTATAGGATGCTGGTGCCACTGGCAGAAACTTATCTTATCTTACTATGTCACAGCACCGGCCCCTAAAAATGTTTTTTAAGTAAACTAATTTCTCAATTGATCCTTCTGTCTAAATGTTCTTATATTTCCTCACAAGGTACCAACGATGGAAGTGCTGAAGCAGCCATAGCTTTACTTACAATGGGGGACTTAGTATTGCAGTCAGAGGTCAATACTGAACAGGATGATGGTAAGAATGAAAGATAATTCCTACCCAAAAATCTCTTAAAATATGGCTTTTACGAAGTTATACCCACACTGAGTAATAAACCTTTCATATTTGAAGTGTTTAAAAGCATTTTGTTGTTTTTCCAAAAGAGGCAGTATTTGTGCATTGATCCATCCAGTGTTTTATTTAGCTCCTTAATGTGTATTGGCAGCCATCTGATTTATTAAGAATAAACAGTAGTGGGCCCTGTGCTTCTATGGGTATAACATCATTGGTTAACTGAGCTCAGTGAGTACTTTGTGAAACAGAGGACTTGCTGCTTGGGTTTTTTTCACAGTTAGATGCCAGACACAGTCTGGAGGGGCAGTGACAGTGAGGCAATTTAAACTGTGGACAGGCCAGAAGATATGCCAACCAGACTTAGAGAAAAGATTAAGCTGAACTTAGAAGCTATGGGCTTTCCTGTCTCAGTATCTTTAATTAAATTTCATGGATAATTATGCTATTCTATTTCTCATAATAATTTTGATTGATAATGACTGGTGCCATTCATTTTAGATGTTAGTCTTTTAGCTTTATAACCATATATGGAAAGTGTGATTTGCAATCTCTACATTTAGGGCTGCTTTCTGAGAGGCAGGGAGTTGTGGTGGAGGCTGTAACAAATCTTTAGAACATAAAATACAGGTTTAAAAAAAAGTCATTAATGAATGCAGTCCTGTCTTGAAATCTATTTAGAGTTATGTTGTTGCTGAAAGTAGCAGAATGATTCAGTTTTACTGATATAATATCATTTAGTTTCCAGTCTGTAAGAATTAAGCCTCATAAAAGGTCATGAAATAAATATATTATAAATTTAAATATCGAGCTGAAAAGAGTAAACATTATTTGGACATCTGTTTATACTAATCAGTTGTAATTTTCTTTCCTTTTATTTTTTCTCCCAGTAGGTGTATGTGTACTTACTGATGTTGATTCAAAGAGTGAAAGCCATGTTCCTTTCAGCCCAGATAATGTACATTTCAAAATCGTTCATGAATGTCAGGAGCTTTCTTCACCTGTCATCAATACAACTCCTGAATCATTTGAAGAAAACAAGATTGAATTGGAGGAACAAAGCACTAGAGAAGAAATTGGTTTAGTGGAAAAAGTAAAGGAGAATACAACACCAGCCAGGTTTATTTTAATATCTAACTATTAAATGCAGTTAAACCCACCATCAGTTAGTAGCTTTGAGTAATGCTTTTTAAATGTAAAATAGGTAATTAGGATTTCTTATCCTTTTCAGTAAGGTCTGACTGATTTTTATTTTAATTGTTTAATAGTTTGTCTATTTTTATATAGCACTGTGTATTGCAGGGATGGGGAATCTTTTTTTCTGCCAACGATCATTTGGATATTTATAACCTCATTCATGGGCCATACAGAACTATCAGTTTTGGGGGCTGGTGACAGCAGGTTAAACGCCTGCTGTGATGCCTGCATCCCATGTGAGTGCGGATTCCAGTCCTCGCTGCCTTGCTTCCAATCTAGTTCCCTGCTAACACGCCTGGGAAAGCAGCAGAAAATAGTTCAGTTGCTTGGTGCCTTGAACTCATGTCGGGGACCCTGAAGGAATTCCAGGCTCCTGGCTTCTGCCTTGCCCAGCCCTGGCTATAGCAGCTTTCTGGAGAGTGAACTAGCAGATGGAAGATCTTTTTTTCTCTTTCTATTTCTGTTTCTCTATGTCTCTCTAATCCTGCCTTTCAAGTAAATAATCTTAAAACAAAAAAAATTATTTGGGTCCAGCATTTTGGCATAGTGAGTTAAACTACCGCTTGTGACACTGGCAACCCCTATGGAGGCCGTTTGAGACCCAGCTCTCCACTTCTAATCCGGCTCTCTGCTAATGCTCCTGGGAAAGCAGTAGAAGATGGCCCAGGTGCTTGGGCCCCTGCACCCATGTGGGAGAACCAGAGGAGGCTCTGGACTCCTGGTTTTGGCCTGGCACAGCCCCTGTCATTGTGAACATTTGGGTAATGAACCACTGGATGGAAGATATCTCTCTTTTTCTGTCTCTCTATCCCTCTCTCTTTGAACTCTACCTTTTAAATACATAAAAAAGAAATTTTAAAAAAATTACCAGGGGCCAGCGCTGTAGTACAGTGAGTTAAGCCATGTCCTGCGGGTCCCATATGGGTGTGGGTTGAGTTCTGGCTGCTCCACATCTGATTCAGCTCCCTGCTAATGCACCTGGGAAAGCAGTGGAAGGTGGCCCAGGCCCCTGCACCCATGTGGGAGACACAGAAGCTCCTGGCTCCTGGCTTTGACCTGGCAGCCTTGGCTGTTGCAGCCATTTGGGGAGTAAGCCAACGGGTGGAAGATCTCCCTTCTCTCTCTCTGTGTAACTCTACCTTTCAAATAGATAAATCCATATTTCTTTAAAATTACAAACTTAAAAAAATTATCCTGCTATAGCTGTGTCAAATCTTGAGTTGCCAAAATCCTGCAGTTGCCAGACTGATTTCGTGAGCCTAATGTGTCCTACACGCCAGAGGTTGCCCAGCCCTGAATTGTATTGTGTGTCTTTGACACTTTAATGAAACAGAAATCTAATGTTAATGTAAGTGTTGTTTTACAGACATAGTCCAGATTCCTTTTTCAAGTAGTAAAGGAACTACTTTAACATTTTAGCATTAAGAAATGAATATTTGCAGACAATGTGACCTTGACAGGTGACACCTTAATGGTATAAGAGCTAAAAAAGTGCTAGACAAGAATGTATCAATGTGAAGGAGCAAGGGAATTCTTATATGGTGGCTTAGTGTCTCTTCCTGTTTTTTTTTTTTGTTTGTTTGTTTGTTTTTTGTTTTTTTTTTTGTATCTAGCAATACATCATCTAAAGTCACCAGTAATTTGAGAATGAGAAGAAGATTTGTCAAACCTAAACCCAATCTTGGGAAAGTTTTACGGACCAGCAGATTTCATGTTCTTGAGGAAGTTCCCAGTTTGTGTGTCACCCAGGAGGAAAAAGCAGAGATTCCAAGACGTAAGTTTTATTGTTCTCTTTACAAATTACAGAATGACTTTGACACCAGGAACTGTGTTAGCTTTTCAGTGTAATATTTAGATGTTACAAGTGGCTTATTTTTTGAACTTACAAAAAGGTAAAATGGGGGCCAGTGTTGTGGCACAGTAGTTAAGGTGCCACCTGTGACAGTGGTATCCCATCTGGATGCTGGTTCAAGTCCCAGCTGCTCCACTTCCAGTTCAGCTAGCTGCCTGCTAATGCATGTGGGAAAACAGCAGAAGATGACCTAAGTGCTTGGGCTCTTGCACCCACAAGGGAGACCTGAATGAAGCTCCTGAATCCAGCCATTTGGGGAGTGAAGCAGCAGACAAAGATCTCTGTCTCCCTTTTTCTCTATGAACTCTGCCTTTAAAATAAATAAATAAATCTTTAAAAAGCAAACAAAATGGCCAGCGCCGGCCGCGGCTCAATAGGCTAATCCTCCGCCTGCGGCACCAGCACCCCGGGTTCTAGTCCCTGTCAGGGTGCCAGATTCTGTCCCGGTTGCTCCTCTTCCAGTCCAGCTCTCTGCTGTGGTCAGGGAGTGCAGTGGAGGATGGCCTCAAGTGCTTGGGCCCTGCACCCACATGGGAGACCAGGAGAAGCACCTGGCTCCTGCCTTCGGATCAGCGCGGTGCACCGGCCACAGCGGCCATTGGAGGGTGAACCAACAGCAAAAGGAAGACCTTTCTCTCTGTCTCTCTCTCACTGTCCACTCTGCCTGTCAAAAAAAAAAAAAAAAAAAAAAAAAAAAAAAACCAAAAAAAAACAACAACCAAAAAACAAAAAAGGTAACATGACTGAAGAAATAAATATCCATAAATGCAATAACTGGTTTCAGTAATTAGAACCATTTCGCATCATTTGATCAGTCTTTTCTGGGTGTGTACATGTGTGTGTACTTGTGCGTATTCATGAATATCTCATACAAAGGTATATATGGAAAACATGGCCAGAGATACCATTTGCCTGAAGGGCATGAAATTAAAAACAGAATTCTCAGCTTCCTACTCCCATTTTTACTGGTAAACTGCTGTTAACCAGTCCTTTTAAAAAATTCTGTAATTTTTTTGTTTGGAAGGCAAAGAGATAGAGACAGAAATCTCCCCCCAGCTGCCTGATTCCCCAAATGTCCACATCAGTAAGGGCTGGGCAAGGCCAAGACCAGGATCCCAGAACTTAGTCCAGATCTTCCATCTGGGTGTCAAGAACCCAACCTCTTCGTCTTCCTTTTTTTTAAAAGAGTTATTATCTTTATTTGAAAGAGTTACAGAGAGAGATTCTTCCATCTGCTGGTTTACTCCCTAAAGGACCACAATGGCCAAGCCTGTGCCAGACCGATGCCAGGAGCTTCTTCCAGCTTTCCCACATGGGAGTTGGGAGCCCAAACACTTTGGCCATCTTCTGCTGCTTTTCTCAGTCCTTTAGCAGGCAGCTGGATCAGAAGTGGAACAGCCAGGACTCAAACTCATGCTTATATAGGATGCTGGCATTGCCTGCGACAGCTCTACTCACTATGCTGTGATGCCAGCCTCTGACCCAACTTCTTGAATCATTAAAAATAATGGTTTTATAAGTATATATCAAGGAGAGTGCAGTTTTAGAAGATTTATTTATTTATTTGAAAAAGTTACAAAGAAACAGAGAGCTTCCATCCACTAGTTCACAATGACGATATATTCTTGAAAATATTTAGAGAACGAACAGCTGTCTGGTGTTCTTATGATACAGATGATAAATGCATGAAGTCATACCATTCCACAATGTATATGTACTTCAGAACTTCATGTTATATACAATAAAAACAATGTTAAGTTTTTAAAAATTAGAGGCCAGCATTGTGGCCCAGTGGGTTAACCTGCTACTTGGAATGCATTCATCCCATATCAGAGTGCCCCTTTGAGTCCTGGTGGCCCCTCTTCCCGTCCACCTCCCTGTAAAAGCAGAAGAAAGTATTTTTGCTCTTGCCACCCTGTGGGCGACCTGGACTGAATTCCTGGCTCCTAACTTCAGCCTGGCCCAACCCAGCCATTGTGGCCATTTGGAGAGTAAACCATTAGATAGAAGATCTCTTCTCCCGCCCTCTCTCATTCTCCTTCTATCACTCTGACTTTCAAATAAATAAATAAATTTTTTTAAAAAATTGTATTTTGGGCCAGCACTGCAGCTCACTAGGCTAATCCTCCACCTGCGGCGCCAGTACTCTGGGTTCACTAGAAGGGTTGGGGTGCTGGTTCTGTCCCGGTTGGTCCTCATCCAGTCCAGCTCTCTGCTGTGGCCTGGGAAAGCAGTGGAGGATGGCCCAAGTGCTTGGGCCCTGCACCCGCACAGGAGACCAGGAGGAAGCACCTGGCCCCTGGCTTCGGATCGGTGCAGCGCGCCAGCCGTAGTGGCCATTTAGGGGGTGAACCAACGGAAGGAAGACCTTTCTCTATCTGTCTCTGTCTGTCTCTCTCTCACTGCCTAACTCTGTCAAAAAAAATATGGTATTTTGTTTACTCATTTATCTGTTCATGGGCATTCTGGATGTTCTAGCCTTTTGCTATAATGAATAATGCTGCTAAGATTATTGATGTATATGTTTTTGTGAGGATAGATCTTTTCATTTCTTTTAGGTTTATATCTAGAAGTAGAATTTCTGGGCCATGTAGTAATTCTATATTTTACCTTTTGAGGAACTGCCAAATTGTTTTCATGAGTGTGAGCATCATTTTATATTTTTATATATTTATTAGCAGTCTGCAAGTTTCAATTTCTGTGCCTCTGCCCCAACATTTGTTACCATTTGTCTTTTTGATTATAACTGTCTTGGTGTGAAGTGATGTTTCATTATGGTTTTGATTTGCATTTCCCTCCTGGCTAATGGTATTGTATATTTTTTCAGTGTTTGTGTATCTTTAAAAAAATGTTTGTTCAGATGTATGCTTTTTTTTAAATTGGGTTGTCTTTTTATTATTGATTTTTAAGAGTTTTTTATATATTAACACCTTTTTTTTGTTTTGTTTTGTTTTGTTTTGTTTTGTTTTTGACAGGCAGAGTGGATAGTGAGAAAGAGAGAGACAGAGAGAAAGGTTTTCCTTTGCCGTTGGTTCACCCTCCAATGGCCGCCACGGCCGGCGCGCTGCAGCCGGCACACCACACTGATCTGAAGACAGGAGCCAGGTGCTTCTCCTGGTCTCCCATGCGGGTGCAGGGCCCAAGCACTTGAGGCCATCCTCCACTGCACTTCCTGGCCACAGCAGAGAGCTGGCCTGGAAGAGGGGCAACCGGGAAAGAATCCAGTGCCCGACTGGGACTAGAACCTGTTGTGCCGGCGCCGCAAGGCGGAGGATTAGCCTATTGAGCTGCGGCACCGGCCTACCTTTTTGTTTTTAAAGCTCAACGTATTGAGGAAGTATCTCCCGTATGATCACAGAGCACCCTTTCATTTCTTAGTGACTTCATTATTTTTGTGCTGTATACATTGCCCCTTAGTCTCACTTCCTGTTCTACTTTCCCTCCTTGCCTAGAGCTCAACACCTTAGGGTGTTGATGGTAAGGGTAGAAATGGCGCTGTCAGCTCCAGGCTGCCTGGTGTACTGAATCCATGCCTAGAGGATCCGGGTAGTTAGCCTTATTTCCTGGTTTGGAGTTCCTGATGTCTGTGATCGCCTCTCATTGAGCAGCACTTTTGTGCATTGTGCATATGCAGTTAGGCCACAGTTAAGCTGCTTGAGCAGCCTCCCAGTGCTCTCAGTGGGTGGACTCACAGTGCCTTTTTCATACAGAAATCACTTGCTTCCTCTTGTGATATTATTCATTCCCGCATGGCCTCCTCCTGAGCCTTCTCCTCATGGGGAGCTAACCAGAGCTTATATGTTCCCACCTATCCCTCCTTTATGTATGTATTTCTCATTATAGCGCTATTACATAAAGCAGGATTACAGCTGCTGGGGCCGCCAGGACTGACATATGTGCAGCACAGGATTCACCAATAACATTGGCCAGGATCACACTTCTGCCTCATGAATAAGTTGATTTTTGGGTCAACAGAGGTTTGCGAGACTTAGCTATACTACTTTGAACTGTATCTTACATGTGTTTTATATTTAAGAAACAGAGGAAAATGCTCCCAGAGCAACAGAAGTGGAAGATAAAGGCTTTGGACCAGTTACAGGAGCAGAGAATGAGGAGCAGGGCAGATTGGAGTGCATACATGGTACCAATGAGACGAGTATTTCACAAGAAGCAAGCTTAACTCAAAGGTAAAAGAGGGAAGAGATTCTGGGTTTTGGTTTATATTCTGTTTTAGCTATTGCTGTTTGATGATAAAAGGAATTTTGTTGCTTTATGTATACTTAAAAACTTTTGAAAAACTATTGAATTATGTTATTGTTGATGTGCTTAGCTCGAGATAAATTCTCCAGCTGTTTGCTTCATTTCTGGTAAGTCACTACAACTTTCTTTCAGAGATGAAGAGGAAGAGGAGGGCTCGGAAACCGTGCTGATGCCGTCAGTTGCTCCGCTTGTTCCCCCCGAGCCAGTGGCCTGCACACTCGCTCTCGGTGAGAGCTCTGTTGACGAGCCCCTGAGACAGGAGTCTGAGGGAGGCAGTGTGCTCGCCCTTCACGTGCCGCAGGTGACGGATGCCAGCTATAACGGGGTAGTAGGGGCCTTGCCCTACTTCAAAACAGTCAAGTTTAAGTGACGTACAATAAACTTCACGCTTTTTCGTGTACAGTTCTGCAAGTTTTTGCAAATATATACATCATGTAACTAATACATGAATGGTTCCATCACCCCTCAAATTCCCTGCTATTTGTATAGTTACTTCTCTCCCTACCTCTACAACTGCTAATACTTTTTCTTTCTCGTTAGTTTACTTTAGTGTTTTGTTTTATTATTTCTTATTTTTTTAAAAATTATTTTTTTGAAAGTGAGAGTTAGACACACACACACACACACTGAGAGAGAGAGAGAGAGAGAGAAAGAGAGAGAGAGAGAGAGAAAGTTCTTCCATCTGATGGTTCACTCCCCAATTGGCTGCAGTGGCTGGAGCTGAGCCAGCCAGGAGCCAGGAGCCGCTTCTGGGTCTCCTACGTGGGTGCAGGGGCCCAAGGACTTGGGCCATCTGCTGCTGCTTTCCCAGGCCACAGCAGAGAGCTGGATGGGAAGTGGAGCAGCCAGGACTAGAACCAGCGCCCACATGGGATGCCAGCGCTTAAGGCCAGTGTGTTAATCCGCTGCACCACAGCACTGGCCCCTGTTTTATTTTAAGATGTAGGTATTTATTTGAAAGGTACAGCAACAGAGAGGAGAGACAATTTTTGCATCCTGTGGTTCACTCTCCAGATGGCTAAAACAGCCAGGTCAAAGCCAGCAGCCAGGAACTCCATCCTGGTCTTCCATTTGGGTGACAGAGACCAAGTACTTGGACCATCATCTGCTGCCTACCCAGGCATATTAGCAGGGAGCTGGATGAAAAGCAGAGCAGTCGGGACTCTGACCAGCACCTTGGTATGGGATGCTGGTGTTGCAAGCAGTGGCTTAACCTGCTGTGCCACAACGTTGCCTGCTTTCCTTGTAGTTCTAACTTCTCCAGAATATACTGTTGTACAGAATTGTAATGAAGCATGGTTCCCGTGTTGGAGCCTAGGATAAAACAGCTAATACTCTTGTAAAATATTTGGAAAAGGACAAAAGGAAGGATTTTTTTTCTAAGATTTATTTTATTTATTGAAAAGGTGGAGTTAGAGGGAGAGACAGAGAGAGATGTTTTCCATCCATTGGTTCACTCCCCAGATGGCCACAATGACCAGGTTGGGCCAGGACTGGGCCAGGCCAAAGCTAGGAACTTCCATGTCTCCCATGTAGGTGTATGGGCCAAAGCACTTGGGCTATCCACTGCTTTACCCAGGGCATTAGCAGGAAGCTGGATTGGTAATGGAGCAGCTGGGACACGAGATGGTGCCCATTTGGGATGCAGGTGTTGCAGGAGGCAAGTTTACCTGCTATGCCACAGTGCCAGCCCTAAAGGAAGTGTTTTATACGTAGAGAACAAATTTCTTGCCTGTAACCGGGGCATATGATGAGTTCATTCATAGAGCAAGTCTTAGTTGAGCTGTTACTAGTACATGTGTATACCATGTGAGATACCAAGGATACAGATCTTTGGGAACAGATGAATAGATGCGTGGTTAAGTTCAGTTTGATAGGTACTGTGCACAAGACTCCCAGGAGTTGTCATCAACCCAGTCCAGTAAATTGGACATCTGGGCATGGGCTCCATGCGTGATTTTTTTTTTTAAAGCTCCCCAGGTGGGAGAAGTCTTGTTATTGAAGAAAAAGTATAAACTAACCAGTTAAAGGGCCAGAACATGTGTGAAATAGCATGAAATGTTCAGGGATTATAATTACAAGTGGAATGTAAATGAAGAAAGTGGTTAGCAGTAAAGCCAAAAAGGTACCTTATAGACAGATCATAAGAAGATTTTTAAAGACTAGCTAAGGAGTTTCAGTATATCCAAAGTTACAAAATCCTCAACTCTCAACTTTTTTAGTTTTATTTTGAAATAATTTTTATTTATTCATTTGTGAGAAGTGTGCACATGCATGAGGGAACTCCCATCCCCTAGTTCACTCTCCAAATGCCTGAAATATTCCTAGAGGAGATCTTAGTTTAGGTCTCCCATGTGGATGGCAGGAGTGCATTCCCCCTCCCCCTGTTACCATCACCACTGCCTTCCAGGGTATGCATTAGCAGTAATTGGAGTCAGGAGCCAGAAGCAGTCATGAAACCCAGGCACTCTGATATATGCCAACTAGCAGCTTAACTGTCTGCTGCTGGAGTAATTTCAAACCTAGAGAAAAGTTACAAGAATCTGACGAAGACCTTTCCATTCCCTTTACTTGGATTCATTCATTGTTAACATTTTGCCTCATTTGTTTGCTTTCTGTCTTGTTCTCCATCTCTATAGGCAGAAAGATACTTTTTAAAACTGAACCATTTGAAAGAAAGCTACAAATATAAGCCTTTACTCCAAATATTCCATCTTTTATGGACATTTTCTTTTCTTTCTTTTTTTTTTAAGATTTATTTATTTTTTTTTATTTGAAAGACACAGTTCAGAGAGGCAGAGGCAGGGAGAGGGGGGAGAAAGAGAGATAGTGAGAGAGATCTTCCTTCTGCTGGTTCACTCCCCAAATGACCACAATGGCTAGAGCTAGGCCAAGCCAGAGCCAAGAGCCAGGAGCTTATTCCAAGTCTCCCAGGTGGGTGCAGGGGCCTAAGTACTTGGGCCTTGCTGCTCTCCCAGGCGTGTTAGCAGGGAGCTGGATCAGAAGTGGAACAGCCAGTATTTGAACTGGCACCTGTATGGGATGCTAGCACTGCAGGTGGCAGCTTTACTCTTTACGCCATAGCACTGGCCCCTGGACATTTTCTTGCAGAGATGTGATAATACTGTGTCACACTCAGTATTATTTAAGATTGACTCAATAGTATTGTATAATGCATAATATACAGTTCCCATTCAAATTTCCCCAGTTGTCCTAGTGATGTCCAGGATGGATTTTTTTTTTTTTAAAGATTTTTTTTTTAACTGAGAGGTAGAGTTACAGACAAGGAGAGACAGACAGAAAGGTCTTCCATCCTCTGGTTCACTCCCCAAAGTGGTTCGAACTGGGCTGATCTGGAGCCAGGAGCTCCCTCCAGATCTCTAATGCAGTTGCAGGTTTCCAGCACTTGGGCGATCTTCCACTGTTTTCCCAGGCCATAACTAGAGAGCTGTTTTGGAGGAGCAGCCAGGACTTGAACTGCTGCTCATATGGGATGCTAGCACCGCAGTCAGTAGTTTAGCCTACTGTGCCACAGCATTGGCCCAATTACTGACATTGTTGATTGAACCAGTGACTGGTGTGATGGGAGTAGAGAGAAGGTTAAGGGATTTGGCTCTCTCTGTCCTGTTGCTTTGAAAATCATTTCATATTATACAAGAATTCTTTATTTGAGTGAATCAGAAGTTTATTGGCATAGCTAAACATTTCATAACACTTGAACAATTGTACATGGTTTAATAAAGTGGTGAGTTTTAAGATTTTGTTCTTTTACTTGAGAGGCAAGAGAGAAAAGTGAGCTTCTAACCATTGGTTTACTTCCTGAATGCCTGTAATGGCTGGGCCAGGGCCAGGGCCAGGGCCAGAGTCAGAGCCAGGAGCCAGGAGCCTAATTACTTGAGCCGTCACCACTGCCTCCCATGGTCTGCATTGATGGGAAGCCGGAATCAGGAGCCAGAGCCTGCAATCAAAACCAGACACTCTGATGTGGAATATGAGCATCTTAACTGCTAGGCTAAATGCCTGCTCCAGCTGTTGAATTTTGAAAGAATTCTTCTGTGGTGTCACATTTTCAGGAAAACTTTTTAAAAATTAGACCTGGCTAACCTCAACCTTCATTTTAATTTTTTATGACAGTGTATACCAACTAGTATTCCAGAAGTCCAACAAGAGAATGTAATCAATCCTCAGGATTTAACAGGTATGACAAGTGTCAGAGCTGGATAGTATGATTTTTATGCCTCATGTAACTATGGAAAAGCACAGAACAGTATTTTTTTTAAGTTATATGGTAGCCTTAAATGAGGAAAAAAACTTCAAGTACTTTGTGTTTATCAATTTTGTTGTTTAGCATAAATTATCTACATGATAGATCAGATTTATTCTTAAAGAGTTATTTGTTTATTTGAAATGCAGAGTGACACACATGCATGGGGAAGAGGGGTATCTTTGGTTCACTCCAGAAATGACCACAAGTCAAGGCTCTGCCAGGCAAAGCCAGGAGCCCGTAACTCGTGAGGGGCAGGGGCCCAAGTGCTTGGCCATTGCATGCTGCCTTCGCAAGCACATTCGCAGGAGCTGGATCAGAACAGCCAGGGTGCAAACTGGCACTTTGATACGGGACGCCAGCCTTGCGAGTGGTGGCTTAACTTGGTGCATCACAACACTGACCCAGTATCGTTGTTATTCTTTATGAAGTTACTTGGTAAGGGGTGATGATATGTGATTTAGTTTTTTATTTTGATGGTAAATTGTCATGAAACTACCTTTTCAGAGATGAAATAAATGATTTTGTGTTATTTCATGGTTCACCTTTCTATTACTAACTTCTCAACTTTTTTAGTCATCCACGAAGAAGGAGAAGACGAACAAGCATTCATTCTAACTCTGGTGGAAATCCCAACTAACACAGCTGAAGAATTTACTGACGCCACTGCCCAATTAATGCCTGCCCCTTTGTTGCCAGCACCCATATTGGTGAAGTCAGTGAACACTGAAGAAAAAGGTGATAAGAGGTAATGAATGAGCTAAATTGTTTTGCTAGGAGAAAAGGCGCTTTGTGAATGGAATAGTATCAGTTGAACAAGCTGTTCACGAACATTATTTGTAATTGTTGTGGAATCTTAATTAGTAATTATATGGTAACAGAAAAGACATTTAATGTGGTTGATTTTATACCTGATAAAGATCCCATTTAAAGTATAATACTTAGAATTTGAAACTTGTTTTATATCTTAAGTTATTTTGAAAGCTAAAAAAATTTGGTAGTCTGGATACTTGTTAAAAGTAAACATATATATACAAAACTGAAATAAATGTTAACACAAAGTTGCAAAAAATGATAGAGAAGTAACATTTTTGTATATTCCTGATACTTGTATTTTAACTCCCTATTGTAGACATGTTACATTATATTTTAACCACTATTGTCTATAACACTTTATTGTCTATTAAGTACCATTAGAAATTGAAGCTTTTTATATTAGGCAGGGATTTTAGATTTTAGTTTAACTCTACAGAGATGGAAAGCATTATATACCTCAGATTTAACTCAGTATTGTAGAAGTTAGGTGAATGGAAATATGAATGGAACTTGAAACTAGTATTTTTATGGCTGTGACCATCTATATAATTAATTAGGAGGTTTTTTTTTCATTGTAATAGTTATCTTCGTTCTTACTAAGTAGCTTCTAATTCACTGTTTGAATATGTTTTTATTTTCTATGCAGTGTAAATTTACCAGTAACATCATTTATTAAAGATGACATGTATTTATCAGATTTTGGAAGAAATGATTCTAAAAAGCCTCCTGCTAATTTGGATCTTATATCTAGGAAAAGATTTCATTGCAGCCTTGATGAGAGTGACCAGGTTCCTCCTGCCAAAAAGAGTTCACTCGCGTCAGGAGATGATTGTCAAGAATACACCTCTGAGGTAAGAGAGAATCAGTTAGAAAATAACATGATCTTACTGCAGCAGCTCTTGCTTCTGTTTTTTCCTTTACTCTCTTTAAACTTTTAGACATATATAAAGATAGTTCTTATACTTTAATTCATAAATAATCCAGGAGTAGTAGGCATTTGGTTCAGTGGCTAAGTCACTGCTTGGGACAGCTCCATTGAATCAGAATGCCTGGATTGAGTCTCACCTACTCTCTTTCTGGTCTAGTTTTCTGCTAATGTGCCTGCTGGAAGGCAGCAGATGATGATTCAAGTATTTGGGTCCCTGCCACCCATATGAGAGACCTGGATGAAGCTCCAGGCCCCTGACTTCAGTCTGGCCCAGTCCTAGCTGTTGTGGAAATTTGGGGAGTGAACCAGCAAATGGAAGATCTCTCTCTCTCTCTCTCTCTCTCTGTCTCTCTGCCTTTAGACTAGAATAGAACAAAATAACATAGAATAATTTAGAATAATAATTCCAACCCAAATGGAATGAATATAATTGCTTTAAAGTAAATAATCTAGGTAAAACTGGTCTTAGGTTATAGTTTTTGACTAGTTCTAGTTGAAAATTAGTGGACATTAATCAAGAACCTCATATCCATCTCTGTGACCTTGGCTATACTACTTAATAGCTATGGTATCTTGGATATGATACTTCACCTCTCTGTAAACTTTCCTGATATTTAAACATAGTAATAATCATAATGCTTAAAGTTCTCTTTTGTCCTTAGGAATAAAACCAGAGCCTCTAGTGCCCTTTATAGTTGGCTCGTTTCTGTCTCTAGTCTGATTTTTGTGCTAGTCTCTTCCCCACTTTTTAGCTTCTCTCCATCCCTTGAATGCACTGTGTAACTCTTCCAAGTTTCCAGGGCATTTAATTTGTTGTCCCTTCTGTACAAAACATTTCCTTGCAAAGCATACCAGGCTCCTTTAGCTTAGTCATCACTGCCTTAGGGACATCTGACCAGACCACGCGTACTGGTGGCTTCTTGTTACTCTTTCTAGTACTCATCATAATTTGTAACTGCACTTTCTGAAATTTGTGAAACAGTTGATTTGGAATCTATATTCTCAAGGGAATTATTGAAGACCAATAGTTCTTGGATGATAGCGGATACAGAGGCAGTGTACTTTGATTTATCTGGTAGATAAAAATGGTATCCTATGGGCTGGCATGGTGGAGGAGCAGGTTAAGCCTCCATTTGCAATGCTGGCATCCCATATGAGTCCATCTGCTCCACTTCTGTCCAACTCCCTGCTAATGTGTCTGGAAAAGCAGTAGAAGATGGCCCAAGTACTCAGGCCCCTGCTACCTACGTGGAAGACTCAGATGAAGCTCCTAGCTTTGACCTGGCCCAGCCCAGGTTATTGCAGATATTTGGGGAGTGAACCAGCAGATGGAAGATCTCTGTCTCTGTCTCTTTTCTCTCTCTTCCCCTCTCTATAACTCTGCCTTTCAAATAAATAAAAATAAAATCTTAAAAAAAAAAAAAAAAAAAGATATCCCAGGGGTCAGCATTATGGTACAGTGGGTTAAACTGCTGCCTGCAACACTGGCATCCTGTGTGAGCAACATTTTGAGTCCTAGCTGCTCTACTTTCAATCTAGCTTCCTGCTAATGTGCCTGGAAAAGCAGTGGAAATGGCCCAAATGCTTGGGCTCCTGCCCCTCACATGGGAGACCTGGAAAGGAGGCTTCACCTCGCCCAGTCTTGGCTTTAGTGAACATTTGAGGAGTGGACCAGCAGATGGACGATCTCTCTTTCTCTGTGTCTACCTCTCTCTCTCTAACTCTGCCTTTCAAATAAATAAGTAAATCTTTTCTTAATAAAATGGTATCCCAGAAGGGCTGGCATTGTTTTATATCAGATTAAGCTGCCACTTGAGAGGAAAAATTGAAGACTGATAATTCTTGGATGATGGCAGATTTATCTGGTGGATAAAAAGTAGAATCTCATGGGTTGGCATCGTGGTACAGCAGGTTAAGCTGCTGCCTATGATGCTGGCATCCCATGTGAGTGCTAGTTCAAGTCCCATCTGGCATCCCATATCAGAGTGCCAGTTGGAATCCCAGCTGCCCCATTTTCTGTCCAGCTCCTGCTAATGTGGTTGGGAAAACAGCAGATGATGGCACAAGTACCTGGGCTCACGCCAACCACATGAGAGACTCAAATGGAGTTCCAGGCTCCTGGCATCAGCCTGGCCCAGCCCTGGCCATTGCAACCATTTGGGAGTGCACCAGCAGATGGAAGATCTCTGCCTTTCAAATAAATACATGTCTTAAAATAATAATAATAATAATAATAATAATAATAATAATAAATGGTATCCCAGAGTAGTTGTGATTTCTCATGTTGTGGCCGATATTGAACATCTTTTCATATGCTTAAAAGCCATTTTTGTATCCTTTTCTTTGAAATGAGTTTTATATTCTTTACCCACTTTCAACTGGGTTGATTTTTTTTCTTATAGGTTTAGAAGCACTTTCTATTCGGTGTCTGTGATAAACTACACCTATTTTTTTTTCTTAGTTTGTCATTTATATTTTGACTGTGTTTATTATTTTTTCCTAAAATTTTTTTTGCGTAGCCTTTTATTTTAAGCATTTATTTGAAAGGCAGAAGAACAGAGAGGCAGACTGAGAGATACAGAGAGCTCATCTTTCTGCTTGTTCACTCCCCAAATACCTGCAACAGCTGCGGTTGGGCCAGACTGAAGCCAGGTGCCATTAACAGGAATTCAGTGTAGATCTCCAACATGGGTGACAGGGTCCCAACTACTTGAGCCATCCCAGGCTGCCCCCTAAGTTGTGTATTAACAAGAAGCGAGAAGGCCGGCGCCACAGCTCATTAGGCTAATCCTCCGCCTTGCGGCACCGGCACACCGGGTTCTAGTCCCGGTCGGGGCGCCGGATTCTGTCCTGGTTGCCCCTCTTCCAGGCCAGCTCTCTGCTATGGCCAGGGAGTGCAGTGGAGGATGGCCCAAGTGTTTGGGCCCTGCACCCCATGGGAGACCAGGAGAAGTACCTGGCTCCTGCCATTGGATCAGCGCAGTGCGCTGGCCATTGGAGGGTGAACCAACGGCAAAAAGGAAGACCTTTCTCTCTGTCTGTCTCTCTCACTGTCCACTCTGCCTGTCAAAAAAAAAAAAAAAGAAAGCGAGAATCAGGAGGGGAGCCCAGGCACTCCAGTATGCAGATGAGGGGCTCCCAAGCAGCATCTTAACCACCACCAAATGCCCACACCTGTTTATCTTTTTAATATGAATATTGTCTAGCCTAATGTATCCCCATGTACCTCTTAGCCAATTTTAACAATTTGTTAGCATTCCCAGGAGACATTGTTTTGCTTTGTTTTAAAAGTATGTGTAGGGCCGGCACCGTGACTCAATAGGCTAATCCTCCGCCTTGTGGCGCCGGCACACCAGATTCTAGTCCCGGTCGGGGCACCAGATTCTGTCCCGGTTGCCCCTGTTCCAGTCCAGCTCTCTGCTGTGGCCCGGGAGTGCAGTGGAGGATGGCCCAAGTGCTTGGGCCCTGCACCCGCATGGGAGACCAGGATAAACACCTGGCTCCTGCCTTCGGATCAGCGTGGTGCGCTGGCCGCAGCGCACCAGCCGCAGCGGCCATTGGAGGGTGAACCAACGGAAAAGGAAGACCTTTTTCTCTCTCTCTCACTGTCCACTCTGCCTGTCAAAAAAAAAAAAAAAAAAAAAGTATGTTCAATAATAGCATGGCAGAAAGCATAGTGCATAACTTAAATCCAAAACTAAATTTAAATCTAAAACCAGATTATACTGTGCTGTTTAAAAAAAATAGATGTACATTGGTACAGCTATTTAAGAAAAGTATAGTATCTGTTGGGCTTATTTGTGGTTTCTATTTTCTAAACTTTCTTTTTTAAAAAATTTTTATTGTTTTATTTGAGAAGCAGAGAGAGAGCAACAGACAGACCCGCAGAAAGTTCCCATCTGCTGGTACACTCCCCAGATGTCTGCGATGGCCACCCTGGGCTGAGGCAATGGCCAGGAACCGGAACCAGGAACCTCAATCCAGATCTCTTACATGGGTAGCATGAACCCAATTACTTGAGCCATCATCCTAGCCTCCCATGGTCTGTGTTGGTTGGAAGCTAGTCAGGAGCTGAGGCTAGGAACTGAACCCAGCCACTCTGATATGGAACACTCTGATATCTTAACCACTTGGCTAAACAACTGCTCCCTAAAACAGAATTGTTTGTACAAAATTCTGGAATGCATGCATACTGCATTTAGAGAGGCATGCACACATTTTTTTCATTTTCTGTCATCAACTTCATTAATCTTTTCATTTGTGGCTTTAGGGGATTACGTTATACACTGAAAGGTCTTCTTTGAGATTTAAAATAAAGTTTCTAGGGGCGGCGCTGTGGTGTAGCAGGTAAAGCTGCCACTTGCAGTGTCAGCATCCCATACAGGCGCCGGTTCAAGACCCAGCTGTTCTACTTCTAATCCAGCTCCTTGCTATGGCCCCGGAAAGCAGTAGAAGATGGCCCAAGTCCTTGGGCCCCTGCATCCGTCTGGGAGACCCAGAAGAAGCTCCTGGCTCCTGGTTTCAGATCAGCGCAGCTCTGGCTGTTGCAGCCAATTGGGGAGTGAATCAGCGGATGGAAGACTTCTCTTCTTTCTGTGTGTGTGTGTGTGTGTGTGTGTGCACGCGTGTTGCGCGCCTCTCAGTAACTCTACCTTTCAAATAAATCTTTTATTTTTTTTGATATATTACCTTTTTTTTTTTTGACAGGCAGAGTGGACAGTGAGAGAGAGAGACATAGAGAAAGGTCTTCCTTTGCTGTTGGTTCACTCTCTAATGGCTGCCACGGCTGGCACGCTGCGACCAGCGCACCGCGCTGATCCAAAGGCAGGAGCCAGGTGTTTATCCTGGTCTCCCATGGGGTGCAGGGCCCAAGCACTTGGGCCATCCTCCACTGCACTTCTGGGCCACAGCAGAAAGCTGGCCTGGAAGAGGGGCAACCGGGACAGAATCCGGCGCCCCGACCGGGACTAGAACCCGGTGTGCCGGCACCGCAAGGCGGAGGATTAGTCTATTGAGCCGCGGCGCCGGCCCCAAATAAATAAATCTTTTATAAAATAAAATAAAAGTTTCTAGCAGCCTAACCCACTATGCCATAATGCTGGCTCCGAACAATTATTTTCTATCTGAAGTGCTTACTAAATTTCCTCATTGTGTGCAGCTGTTTTTCAGTTAACTCTCTTGAGTTTTATAGGTAAGCAGTCATTTCATCTGCATATGTAGTTTTAGTTTTTTCTCTTCTACTTTTTAAAGCTCTAATTTCTTTCTCCTTTCTAAAAATTGTATTCAAATAACTTAAAATGTTAATAGTCCCATTATTGGACATCTTTTCTTTGTTCCTGGTGTCAGTGGGAGTACTTCCAATGTTTAGTAAGTAAAATACTCACTTTCAGACTGTGATGGATACATATTATGATGTGAAGAAAATGGTAATCCTATTTCACTCAGTTTTTTTCAAGATTGAGTATTGTTGGACACCTTTTCTATAAAGAGATAGGACTTTTCTCCTCAGAGCTGTTGAATTGTATAGACTGTGTAATACTGTGTGTTTTCTGCATTCCTGAAACAAACTCTTAGTGACTGTGATATCTTTTTTCATTAAAGTTTATTTATTTGTAAAGTAGAGTGACAGAGAGAAAGATCTTCCATCTTCAACAGATGGGACTTGGGCAGATGGAAGCCAAGAGCCAGGACCTCATCTGGACCTCCCCTGTTGGTGATCCCAGCCCACCTACTTGGACCACTGTGTCCTGCCTCTCAGAGTGCACATTAGCAGGGAGCTGGGTCAGAGGAAAGGCTCAGACTGGCACTCCAGTATGGGGTGGTCTGTAACATTTCATATGGAATTTATACACTGATGTTACGTGAGACTGGTTAACTGGTTAGGCTTGATTCATAAAAAGCATTTGAGGGGCAGGCATTTGGTACAGTGGGTAAGATGCCACTTTTAAAAAAAATTTTTTTTTTATTTGACAGACAGTGAGAGAAAGAGAGAGAAAGGTCTTCCTTCTGTTGGTTCACCCCCCAAATGGCTGCTACAGCCGGCGCTGCGCTGATCCGAAGCCAGGAGCCAGGTGCTTCTTCCTGGTCTCCCACAGGGGTGCAGGTGCCCAAGCACTTGGGCCATCCTCCGTTGCCCTCCTGGGCCACAGCAGAGAGCTGGACTGGAAGAGGAGCAGCTGGGACTAGAACCCGGCACCCATATGGGATACTGGTGCCACAGGCGGAGGATTAGCCAAGTGAGCCTCGGTGCCGGCCCCAAGGTGCCACTTTGAGTGGACTTGCCTGGTTTCAAGCCCTGGCTCTGCCCCTGATTCTGTCTTCCTGCTAGTGTGTATCTTGGGAGGCAGCAGGTGATAGCTCAAGTAGTTGTATCCCTTCCACCTACATAGAAAACCTGACTTGAGTTCTGGCTTCCAGACATTTGGGTAGTAAATCAGTGGATGAGAACTGTCTCTCAAATGAAATAAATAAAGGACACTTAACAACTGTCTTTTTACTGGACTCTGGAACAGTTTAATTAATGGTAGCAGTGTCTTTTCCATCAACATTTGGTAAGTATGCCTCCTGTAATACATGTCTGACTCTAGAGCTTTCTGAGAGATGGCATGCTTTCTTAAAGAAGGAAAGACTTAAAATTTTATGTAATAAATGGATTTCTAATGTTTTTTGTAAATTTTCTTAAAACAGGTATGTTCAAAGGAATTAATAAATGTTTTTGAGGAAGCAGGTGAGTGAAGTAAATTTTAACATGATTGAATGTTGCTGAATACCCCTGAATATTTTTGATGTATTTTCTCTGAGAGTGATTCTTTTATTCTCAGCATTTCTTCCCTTCAACAACTGCCTTTTAGTTGAAGATGAAGGAATGTTTAAATCGGTACTTACCATTACCTGAAAATTCACTTAGAGCCAGACATCTTTTCAGGCTTAAGTCACCTATGGAAGCCCAAAGGATGTTAGAATAAACTCTCTCAAGGATATTAAACCATTTAGGGTCCAGTTCCCTCATAAATAAGACAACCAGACATATTTATCCTGTATTTTATACACTTGTTATCAATTTTTTATGGTGTTATTTCTCTTTTCTTTCAAACTTAATGTGCCTTAAGCTTATCATTCTCATCTTTAGCCATTGCTTAACTGTGACAATGCCACTTGTGAATTAAAAAGAAGTTGGTAATGACATTTAACAGAGTTAACCATGGGAAGGTTCAATAACCTTGGTGGTTCTCATTCTTTACAACATTGTCACAGATTTTACCTCAGTTGTCGCAACTGGGACTGTGAAACTGACACGTGATTGGAGTTTCTGTTTTCTAATAATGTCCAATATTTCTCCCATCTCTTCCTGTCCTGTAAAAGCATTTGACAAATCACAGTGCACTGAAATGCTAGTCAATGTGTTCCATCGCATCTGTAATTGGGTTGTTTGTTTCAGTGGGTATACTTGCCAACTCCATTCCCCCTTTACTCTGCTAGAAAATTTCCACTGGGACTAGGCCTGAAAAGCAGCTATCTTAAAGGAAAAAAATTTTTTTTAATTTAACGAGAAATTTCTCCATGTTTTGTGCTAATTAAATGCTTTTCAAGGTTTTTAAAATACTATTTAAGGCCTCTTTAAGTGTTTGAGATTCTATGGGCCTAATTTTTCCATGTGGCCATGGAATTACTGCCTCTGCTTTGGGTTAGTGTTTCTATATTATAATAGCCCTAGATTTTTAGAACATCATCATCAAATTCAAGAAATATTCATAGAAAAAGATTTTATAGGCAAGATATTGTGATATGACTATTTTATATCTGACTACAGAGGCTGTTGCAAATTTTTTACCAGTTATATTAATAGTTCTAGTAACTCCACTAATTATAATTTAGCCTAATCTTTTTAGGGTAGGTTTATCATAGAGTGGCCCTTCCAATACTGTGATTAAATTGCATTATTTCGATGTATGTGCTTACTGTTTGCCTTCCGGTTTGTTTTTTTTTTAAGGGAAGTCTTACAAGGGTCAAGATATTTCTCCTACCATAGGAAGCACGTTGAGTCCAGAACCTCAAAAGGAACACCGTGAATCAACTCTGCAAAGTATAGGATCTAGAACTGTTGATAACATTGGCCATACACTTGGAGAGAAAAGTGTGCCTCAGTTACCTCAGGTTGAGACAACAGTGTCTGATAAGGAAGGAAGGACTGATGCTGCTTGTACGTCTCAGCAGATGGAGAGCAGGGCACCTGCCACAAAGCCGCCACTGTCCAGGTACCACAAGACAACCTTCAGTGCAAGCTTCTCTCTCTCCGTCTCTCTTTCTCAGTGTATAAATATGAAGTACATGAAATGGCTACAACTTAGGTGTATCTGTAAAGATGAAATCTAGCACTGTGATGGCATTTTAGAAACCCAGTCTGTACCAGGAACGGAAAGGGAAGAAGTTTCAGCAGTTGGGAGTACAGAGATATTCCCGATAAGCATTCACTGCAGACATCCAGACTCTTAAGTGCTGCTACGACGGCTGTTTTAGATAGGAACTCTTAAACTGTGTTGTACACCTTTTCCAGATCATCCATGGTGATTCTGATTGTCACCTATTCTGCCATATGGGAGCTGCTCATACTCAGGTGGATGGTAGGAGACAAGAGGCTGATGTTTGAGATAACTCTGGAGCTTGCTTTTTTGAAGTCCCAGATAAATAATATGTTCTTTTTCTCTTTCATGGCATACCAACAAAGTAAAGCATGGTTTCCTATTTGTGAGAGTAAGTGTGGAATTTAAGCCCAAAGCCAGCTTCCCCCACATTGGTTTTCCTCAGAGTCTATAAGCAAGTTTTTGGGCTATTGATAACTGTTGGCTTGTCAGCAATACTCAAAAAGCTTACATGGTGAGGGAAACGGTGGGAAAGGACTGTGTTGCTTAAGTAGGCGTATTTAGTAAATCTATTTTGTTGTTACTAAAATTTCAAGTAGTAAAGCTTAAAATGTTTTGTCTGGCCTTGGAAATGTGCTGAAAATAGACAGCGGGAAGTATCCTGAGGGTTTGGGTGAAAACAGCTTGGAAGTAGTGTTTTAGAACAGAGGTCAGAGGACAGCACACTTTTTGTAAATGGGCACACAGTACATATTTTAGGCTTTGTGGAACTGTGGCCTATATTACAACTACTCAGCTCTGCAGTTGCAGTGCAAAAGTAGCAATAAACCATGTGTAAACAAACAGATGTGCTCCAGTAAAATCTACTTAGAGATTCAGGTTGGGCTGTACCTGGCTTGGTTGACCACAGTTTGCTGACCATTGCTTCAGAGCCTTACTTGCTACTCAAAGTGTGGTTCTAGGACCAGCAGCAAGGACAGTGTTAGGAGTGCAGGACTTGGGCCACACCTGCTATCAACTGTGTAATGATCTTCATTATAGTAAGATACTCATTTGGGAAGCACTGCCTGTCACAGCGTGGTGGTATCAGTACTCCACACAGATATAGGGGCCCAAGGACTTGGGCAATCCTCCACTGCTTCCCTAGGCCATTAGCAGAGAGCTGGACCAGAAGAGGAGCAGCCGGGATATGAGCCCACACCCATGTGGGATGCTGGTGCTGCAGATGAAGGCTTAGCCTACTATGCCACAGTGCCAGCTCCTTGAAACACACTTTTCAAAAACAAGTATAACCTGGTCTTATCTTTCTGGGACCCAGACCTGCTTACACAGCAGGAAGAATAAAGCCACCAACTTTTTAAAAAACATTTTTTTCTTTCCCCTTTATTTTAAAAAAAAATTTAAGTTATACAAATTTTATGTGTATATATACAGATTTAGCAACATAGTGATACTTCCCACCCTACCCTCCCTCCCACTTCTTCCTCCCTCTCCTATTCCCACTTTTAATTTTTACAAAGATTTGTTTTCACTTCACTTAATGATTGTAAGGTTAAACCTACACTAAGTAAAGAGTTCAACAAATAGTATGAAGGAAAAAAACACTGTTCTTCAACAGAAGAGACAAGAGCTGTAAATAGTCATTGAATCTCAAAATGTCCATTTTACTGTAATACATTACATTTTAGGTACTTTATTAGTTACCCCAGATCAGGGAAAACATATGATATCTGTCTTGTTGGGACTGGCTTATTTCACTTAGTATAATTGTCTCTAGTTGGATCCATTTTGTTGGAAAAGACAGGATTTCCTTTTTTTTTTTTTTTTTTTTTTCCTGCAGCTGAGTAGAACTCCATAGTGTATATACTATAGTTTCTTTATCCAGTCAACAGTTGATGGACTCCTGGGTTGATTCCCTATCTTAGCTATTGTGACTTGAGCTGCAGTGAATATAGGGGTACAGATAACTCATATGCTGATTTCTTCTGGTTTGGGTGAATTCCCAGGAATAGGATGGCTCGATCATATGGTAGGTCTATATTCAGATTTCTGAGGTAAAGCCACCAACTTTTACATCGCCTGGCTAATCATGGAAATATGTCCAGGCTTCAAATAACTTGAGTTTTAATTTTTTTCTAGGCAGAGCAATGTAAGATTAAAATGGGGAAAGATATTTAATATTTAATGTTAAGCTTTAAAAAGAAACCTGCTGTCATTGCTATGTATCTTCATAGAGGACTATGATGAGAAAGTACAAAAGACACTGTCATTCAGAGAAAAAAAAATCAATGTGTCTCTCTAGGTATTCTTGAATAACTTTTTAATTTTGCATTTCTAGACCTGGCAGAAGACCCTTGGGATTTTTATCTTTAATATGTTCAAAAAATAGTCTGGAGTCTGATGAACCCACTCAGGTCCATAGAAAGAAGCGCCTAAAACCTCTTATACCTGTATCAAGACAGAATTTGAAAAGGTCTACCCCACTCAATGAAGGCCAGGAAAAAAATGCGGAGTCCTCTGATGCGCTTCCATCTCCAGGTGTTGTTGCTAATGCTCCGTCTGAGAATGCTGGCGATTCAGCAGCTCAGGTGTGTGGTGACCACTCTGTTGTTTGTGTAAAATGGGTTGGGTTTCATACTTAACTGGGGAAACATCATAATTGCTATTTGAATATCAGAAATTATTTCACAGCAGTTGCATCTGGCTCCTCCCCATGGCGTCCCCTCCATACTGAAAAGTTAGCTATCAAATTAAGAAGTTACAGCTCTGTAGTATCGAATTAGCCATACGTGTACACACAGTTACCATTACTTTAATTTAAAGCCCACTTCTGACTTGTGGTAGCAGAATGAAGCAGTGCTTGCATTTTATTTGCCTTAGGAGACATGTCCTGACACCTATAAGAATTTAAGGGACTATGAATTGTTTGTGTGTTTCATTTCTGTGTGTTTCTTTCTTTTCTTTTTTTTACAAGCAGAGTTAGACAGTGAGAGAGAGAGAGAGACAGAGAGAAAGGTCTTCCTTCTGTTGGTTTACCCCCCAAATGGCCCCTATGGCCAGGGTGCTGTGCCGATCCGAAGCCAGGAGCCAGGTGCTTCCTCCTAGTCTCCCATGCAGGTGTAGGGCCCAAGCACTTGGGCCATCCTCCACTGCCTTCCTGGGCCACAGCAGAGAGCTGGACTGGAAGAGGAACAACCGGGACAGAATCCGGCGCCCCGACCGGGACTAGAACCCGGTGTGCCAGCGCTGCAGGCGGAGGATTAGCCTATTGAGCCGCGGCGCTGGCCAAGATTATTTCCTTAATTTTAATAGTAGGAAATTAAATTGTTGGGTCCATATGAACATATTTAGAAGTCAGTATTTATTGGCATATTGTTTTTGAAGCAGATGATATCCATTTAGGTTATGATTAGCAGTATCTAAATGTTGTGTTGCATTTTTCTTTTTATTTCTTTTTGTTTGTTTGTTTCCCAGAAACCTTTTATTTAAGGAATACAAACTTCATGCATTTCATAAATACAACTTTAGGAACATCGTGATTCTTCCCACCCTACCTGCCCTCCCACCCTTCTTTCTCCTCCCTCTGCTATTCCCATTCTTATTTTTTAAAAATAAGATCTATTATTAATTAATATACATAAGATTAACTCTATACAAAGTAGAGTTCAACAAACAGCGTGAAAAAAAAAAAACTGTTCCTCCACAATTGAGACAAGTGCTGTTCAAAGTCTTCATATCTCAAAGTGTCAATTTCACTTCTATAGATTATCATGCATTTTTATTTTCACTGTCTTCTTTAGGACTCTCGTGATCAACCCTTATTGACAGAAGAGTGTAAAAGTGGCCAGAAGCAGGCACCTGCGGAGGAGCCAACCTCAGTCTCTGAGTATTTCTTCAATGATATCTTCATTGAAGTGGATGAAACAGAATAAGACATTCTTAGGTTTTTTATCTTTTTAATTTCTGGACTCAGTTACATCAACAAAGCAGTATTTAGCAAAAAAGGAAAGGAAAAAAAAATCACTGTCTGTTTTTCTTTAGATTGATTTTGAATATTTAAGGAGCTTGAAGCTTGATTGGAAGCTTTTGTAATCAGTGGAAAAGATTGCTTGAGGTTCCTTCCTTCTGATTGATTCAGCATTTTGGAAGTACCAAGCAATTAGGACCTGCTTTCTCAGACAGAAATGCAGCTCTTGTTTACATTCTGACTCTTCCTGTGCGGAGCACACATGGACATTGGGAATGTCGTGGATAAATATCTCTGTACAAATCACAGTGCCGACGTCTTTGGAGGTTGATTGTATTTAACATTTTGTGAACTTCTCTTTGGAAGGTTTTTTTTCTTTGTCTGTTTTTTGGGGTGATGATGAAGGCCTTTTCAGTTGCCTTTAAGTATAGAAAAGCAAATTGTGAAATTCCACTTTAGTATGCTAAGATTAAAACTTTTCTATTATCAGCTGTTTGGCTGACTGAAAAATATGTATTTTTCTAATTCATGGTGATGTAACATTAGTCCTAATTGAAGAACTAGTATTTAAAGTTATTATTTATAAAATGACACATCAGAGAGCTTATTTATTTTTAAATTTTTTATTTAAAATGCTAGTCAGTTTTAATTATTTTCATCCCTCTGATTGTGGGTAAGGGAGGCATTAACAAATTTTGTCTCCTTTTCCTCTTTAATTTTAAAGATATTTAAAATGATACAACTAAAATGTTTGGGTAGTGTATATGTGTTGAATACTTTTTTTCATCGTTTATTATCTTTGTACTGTGAATTTTTTTGTTTTTATTTCTTGAATAATCTCAGGATTTTCATGGGTGAGAAAAACTCGTAAGTTGATTTATGAAAAAATTTCCATACAAAACGCAATCTCCTATATACACACATACACACTCCTTTTTAAAAAAAAAAAACAAAAACCTACTTCTTGATAGTTTTTCCACCATTAATTTCTGCTCAAGGAACTTCTTAGGCCTTTAAGTACACAACATAATTTTGATGTTAAAAGTAGAAAATAATGTAATAAGACTTTATATAAAAGTCAGTGATTACCATCAATATGAATTTAGGGTTTTTAATTTTGAAGCTTCATGATTTACATATTATTAAATAGAGTAGATAATTATCTGTTACCTATTCCAGCAAATCTTAGGAGTTCAAATTAAACTTCTCCAAGAGCAGATTGATTGTGGTTTTATTTGCAAAGCTTTTTGAGTTGGAAACATTTTGTGCAGAATAATCTGGGCTTTGCCAGATGTCACCGTGGCAGCCAGACAAGCCTGCCCTTTGAGTGGGAAAGCAGCCACAGACAGTACTTGAATGGAGAACCGTGGCTGAATTGGGCTCCTAGTTTGATTTGACCCCTGTGGTGCTGACGTGTCTATGTATGAGTTGTTGAAATCATGACTTGTGCCTAAAAGTCTGATGTGTGGATTGCATTATGAACTGATCAGATTTTTATTGGGAAGATATTTTAAAGTCCAGATAATTGTGTCTATATGTTGAAACACTGGTAGCCAGTTTTCAGGCTCCTTAGTAAGAAGGAGTGTGGCTCAGCAAGTGTAACAGTAAAGCTAATCTGTTGAAATGATTGCTGTAAGAGCTTTCGTATTCATTGCCTTATAGTAAAATTTACAGTAACTTTGTCACAAGAGAGGATGTATAAACTGGGAGATTCTCTATAGATATGCATTTATTTATTTTGTGTGATTAATATGTTACAAAAATCATGGAGTAAACCACATTGCTATTTTATAACTTGTTTTTGTAAATTCTAAACAATCTCATATTCTGAAAAGGCTTCCTTCTCTTAATTAATGTTGAGTATTGGATGTCCATGACTGTTATCCCTGTGTAATATTTATTTTTTAACTTTGTCCACATCTATTCCTGCTCATCTACAGTAAAATAATTTTATGGAAGATAAAATTACTGTACAAAGAATACAGAAGGCATTCCTTTTATTAGAGAATAAAGTTGGCCAACTAAATTATCCTAGTTTTTCTTAAAATGGATCTTGGGCAAAGAGAAACATAATCAGTGTATTTATCTTGTAAGATGGAAAGACCTATGCTGAGTCTGATTAATGTAAGAAGATGTTGCAAAGAATTGATTTTATAAATCTTAAAGGAGATGTGATTGAAGGGATTTATCTTTTCTTGATTTTTCCTTCTGAACATTGATGTCTTTAGAAAGTGATCAACATGATGGTTTCAGGGCCTAATTGTTGGTAAATGGTTGAGACTCAGATAAAAATGTTAATATCCACTGTTTACCACCATGTTATTTGAATTAGAAGTGACCATGTATATTATCTTGCTTGAAGAAGTATTTGACAAAAAAAAGCAGTATCTGTCATTTGTAAATTTTCTTGTTCTAAAGAAAGCATTATGTTCTATAGATATAAATTATGTAAATAAAAGTTATTTTATACCATTTCTATTGTGTCCTTTTCAAACAAGTTATTTATGTTCAGTTAACCAAACCAGTTACTGTTTTCACCTATACTGTGCACTTACTTTCTTCCTTCTGTAAAAACACAGCTGGAAGAATTAATTTTTATTCTTCTAAGCTTGCTATGTTTTGCTCTTGTAAGAGTAAAGAATAAAGAACAGCCTGCCCCCATATCTCTGACATGTAAAAAATTGCTTACATTTATTTTCTCCTTCTATAATGAATTTCTAAATATATGAGCTTGATCTGTTTTACTCATTTCTTTTCCTCTTCTTCTACCACACACTATGTTTTCTCTGTAGAGAAAGACAAATGGGAAACTTTAGACCTGGATATAATATAAAGTTGGATTTACAAAGTAGATATTGGCAGAATCTGAGTTGGCCAAAAAGTTTAGTCGAGAGAAATGTCTGGAAACTTTCCTGAAATGTAGGCAGTCTAGTCATTTCTCCAGATACTTGGCCTTGAGTTTTGCTATACTATCAAAGAGCTGCTCATATGGGCTGCATTTTTTTGTCTGCCCATTTTTAGGGACAATGTCAAGTACAGAAGTCTAAAAAAATAGTTTTTATTATAATGATGCAGACTTTGTTTATTATCATCTAGTATCCTATTTATGACAACCTATATTTTGTTCTAGTGCTAGGAATAATTGTGTTTCTTTTCGATTAATTTTTTTTTAATATGTGGTGTATCTGAATCTTCGTATTTTCTTTCGAAGGGCAAAGTCAAACTGGGAACCAACATGTTACAAGGTAGAATACTTTATGTCACACATTTTGCATATTAAATTCATTCTCATTTCCTCCCGTCTAGATTTTTAGAAACCTGTCACCTTTTCAAAATAAGAAGCTATGATTTATTAAACTGGGCATAGTGCTAACCTCTTCACTTTTCCCTTCTGTACCTGTCAGTTAATCTAATGTCTTCCAGGATTAAACATGGGTTCCTTCCTCTTTTTTTTTTTTTTCTTTTTTTTTTTTTTTTTTAAAGAGATTTATTTGTTTGAAAGGCAGAGAAACAGAGGGGGGAAAGACAAAGAGATTTTCCTTTTTTTTTTTTTTAAGATTTATTAATTTATTTGAAAGGCAGAGTTACAGAGAGGCAGAGGCAGAGCGAGAGGTCTTTCATCTGCTGGTTCATTCCCCAAATAGTTGCAACCACTGGAGCTGTTCCAATCTGAAGCCAGAAGCCAGGAGCTTCTTCCAGGTCTCCCACATGGGTGCAGTGGCCCAAGGACTTGGGCCATCTTCTGCTTTCCCAGCCATAGCAGAGAGCTGGATTGGAAGAGGAGCAGCTGGGACTTGAACCGGTGCCCATATGGGAAAGCTGACATTGCAGGCAGCAGCTTTACCCGCTACGCCACAGTGCCAGCTCTGAAAAAGATTTTCTGCTGGCTTACTCACCCAAATGGCTGTAACAGCCATGTCTGGGATAGGGTGAAGTAAGGAGCCAAGAACTCCATCTGGGCCTCCCATGAGGGTGGCAGGGGCCCATACAGTAGGGCCATCATCAGTTGCCTTCCCAGGCATGTCAGCATGGAGCTGAATTTGAAGCAAATCAACTTGGAATCAAACTAGCACTTTAGTATGGTATGCTATTGTTCTAAGGAGTGGCTGAACCTGCTGTCCAACAATGCTAGCCCCCACTATCCTCCTTTTATTAGGTTGAGCCATATTATCTGTGTTCATTTCCTTTGGATTAATACCCCTTAGTGGGGTGCTAAATCGTATGGTAATGTCCCTATTGAAGTTGGTGAATTACCCAGTTCTCTTAACTGTTGGTTCAGCGACTCTGTAATAACCTTTATGTTTCCTATTGGAAACATCTTCCATTGGATACTAGAACCTCCAAATACATAAAGGTTGAGGGCAAAGAGATGGGAAGCAATAATCTGCAAGTGGCATGGTGAGAGGGGCTGCTCCCCGTTAAGCTCTATAGTTTTAAGACTTGTGTATTCTGACTCTGAGGAAGACGGCACTTTACATTGGCTGCTAGTTTTAAGGCATATACAACATTGTCTTCTCTTCTTGACTAGAACTCTTTCAACTCAGTCTTCATGAGGCCATTCCACCCAGCAGCTACTTCTTTATTTTTATTTATTTGAAAGGCAGACAGATGTTCCATCCTCTGGCTCACGCTCCAGATGCCCACAACAGCTGAAGCTAAGCCAGGCTGAAGTCAAGAGATACCTGCACCACCATGTTTATAGCAGCCAAAACATGGAATCAACCAAGGGGTCCATCAGCAGATTAAGTGGATAAAGAAAATTTGGCATGTCTACACAATGGAATATTGTTCAGCTATTTAAAAAAATGAAATTCTAACATTGCAGCAAAATGGATGCAAGTGCCGAACATCATGTTGAGTGAAATGCCACACAGGGAAAGACAAATACCACGTTCTCCCTCATGTATGTGAGCTAAAATTAAAAATGGGGGGAAAAAAGCCTGCATATATCGTTATTACTACAAATATAGTTTTGTCAAACTTTATTTTATGTCTTTGCCAAAGCAATGGTTAACAATGTTATACTGGGGCAGGTTTTAGGCTGTAAAGCCACTGCCTATGACACCGACATCCCAGTTCAAGTCCTGGCTGCTCCACTTCCAATCCAGCTCCCTGCTAATGGCCTGGGAAAAGCAGTGGAAGATGACCCAAGTGTTTGGACCCCTGCCGCCCAAATGGGAGACCCGATGGAATTCCAAACTCCAGGCTTTGGCCTGGCTCAGTGCTGGCCATTGTAGCCATTTAGGGAGTGAACCAGTCGATTTAAGATATTCTCTTTCTTTCTCTAACTCTGACTTTCAAATAATAATAATAAAAAAGTTATACTACCAAGTTTTAATGACCTGTGATTACTCTCAAATTTGCTGTATGTGGGTGAAATGGTCATCTTTCTGTCTGAATGTTGTTTACAGCCCTTCCTATATCTACACTAAACTGGGGTCTTCTGGCTCTACTTGTTGAACTCTTTATTAAATGGAGCATTAAGCCCTGGACAGTGATGCAAATTAAAAAATATGTTATCTCAGAAAAAAAGAATAGAGAAGGAGGAAGGGAATATCATTATATTCTTAGAATGTATCTACTAACTATATTCAGTCTGTTGAAAACAAACTAAAAATTAATTAAAAAAAAAAAAAGGTTGCTGGCAGAATGCTGTTGGCACACAGACAGTTCCACACCAAGAACATGAATATCCCAATTAAAAAAAAAAAAAAGCTTTGAGGCCGGCGCCGCGGCTCACTAGGCTAATCCTCCGCCTTGCGGCGCCGGCACACCAGATTCTAGTCCCGGTCGGGGCGCCAGATTCTGTCCTGGTTGCCCCTCTTCCAGGCCAGCTCTCTGCTGTGGCCCAGGAGTGCAGTGGAGGATGGCCCAGGTGCTTGGGCCCTGCACCCCATGGGAGACCAGGATAAGTACCTGGCTCCTGCCATTGGATCAGCGCGGTACGCTGGCCGCAGCGCGCTGGCCACGGCGGCCATTGGAGGGTGAACCAACGGC